CCATTCTTACGGCGATTAGTTCTAAATCGAGTCTCTGATGTACTTGTGTTAATTAAAATTCCGTTTGAATGTCACAACAGATTTTACTTCTATTAGAGCTCTTCATTGTCTATTTATTTAGAGCGAGCTTTAGCCTTAAACTTAATATGCCATTTCAGATATTTGATTACTTTCTTGTTTTATGTAAAAATCGTGTGCGGAGAGCATTAATCACATCGTGACTGCCACTTCTGCCATCTCTACATCTGTGACCTAGTTGTTGTCGAAGAAACGATATTTCGATTTTTTTTCTTCTTCAAGAGTAGATATGTGCGCATATCTTTGAATATCAATTCGTTTATTGCACCTTTACGATTGATTGTTACTGCCGAGAAATACGAGATGCGAGGTCAGAGCGCGAGGGAGTTTGCCGCTTGTCGAACATGGCTTAATGTCCGTCATAAGTTGAGTCAGCATGTCCCATGCTCATCATTTCCACCCTAATTCGTTAACACGTACTGTGCATTTTGTGCCTTTTGTCTGTGTCACGTGCCATTTTAATATCCGAGAGCCATTGTCCTGCGATGCGCCCTTTACAATCGGCGCGCAGCACTCCCGTAACGATTTTTGCAGGTCACACTGTCGCTGCAACGATGACGATTATGATACCCGACAAGGCCATCGCGATCATAAATTGGAAGATGCGAAACGACGTGTGGCTTCCGGAATAATACTAAATTTCAAAATAAAAAAAAAAGACTCTGAGAGAGAACGTGTATCAAAGTTAAACATGAAAGGAAAAATTGCGTAATAATATTGGTTACAAGTAAAATTTTATTCAAATAGCAGTTTAAATATTTCTCCCTATTTCAATAAAGAGAAGCGAGAGTTTTATTCGCACGAACAACGTCGCAAAAAGCACGAGAAGTGCTTCTTTGTACAATAACATTTACCGTACAGTGTTATGTATTTGCAGTTTACAAAGATTTTATTCTAGATTATCTCTCTTATCAATTTCTTCCAGCGAGATCACTAAGCTCTATATTTCGTATACTTTCCTTCAACAATTCACGTCTTTATTAAGTGTAGATTTAATTACGATTTTGATAATTTAACGGAGATAATTTTACCGAGAACGAGCCGCGACGAGCTTTGAGAAAAATATGATCACGGTGTACGGCGCGTGGAACGTTTCTTCTCACAGTTTTCTACCCTCCAAAGATGCTCCCTCGAGAGTTCGGAGATTAGGGGTGGAGAGACTGCCACTCCAAATAAACACTCCTACTCCCGGGTTCCCCCGTGCCGATTCCGTAGAGATACTCTATATAGATATAGCGGACCTTTAGACCCGCGGATAGACGGTACGGCAGCAAAAGCGCCAGCTATTTCACAGATATTGGAAATGCCGAATTTCTTTAATAAAATTTGCAATTTTTCAGCACTATTTTGAAAAATACCTTCAAATTTGCCAGTTTGCTCTCGCTATTTGAATAATTTCCTAATTTACTGATGCATATACAATTCGTTTTGCTCTCTTATAAAGTTACATAACAGACATGTTTATTGAACAATGTATAAAACTACGTGCGGCTTTTACAAATGTTGTATTCCATATTGCAGGGGCTGCCAATTAACATCGCGATTGTACGAAATCACCAAGCAACCCCAATAATTGGAAAATGTCCGGATTCGCAGCGGCGGGTCTCGTAGCCTTCGATTCCTTCAAGACGAAAGCATCGCAGAAATTATCCGGGTAACATATTGCGTATATTTGTAGTATTTTCAACAAATTTAATCAATTATTACTGTAATTCAACACTTTAGTAATTATCTTGTTTTATAAATTATCTTATTTGTTCTCAATTTATGTATATATATCTATGTAGCTTTTTATTAAAATTATCTCTTGAATAGAAAATTAATTTTTGTGAGCATTGTGTATATGATCTCTCTGTAGATTCAAAAGAAATACGACCGGTTATGAGGAATTCGAAGGCTCGCGCGAGGGTAGCAAGGAGAATAGAGGATTCGAGGATGAGAGAGGATACAGCAGACAGGCCTCTCTCGAATCGCTCCCGGAGCCGCAGAGACCACCCTTGCGACACATCGATACTTATTGCATGCCGGAATGTCCGTGCCTTTCGAAGAGGTACACCATCGCGACGCTAGCTTGCGTAGGTAAGAACGCAAACAATGCGATAGAAAGTAATTTTGTTTCAAGAATAGAATGAACTCTAATCTCGTATTTTCACTCGTTTAATGAGTTAAGTCACCAAAGTTTTCATATATCACAATAAGAGTTTGCAAAGTTGCTACAAAACACTCTCTTGTTTCTTAGACGCTTGTCGTACGCTTTTGATAAAATATATTTTGAACCTCACTTTTTGCAATAGCTAAAAATCACAAAAATAAAATATGAACGACTGATTTGCAATAATTTTGCGCGAAATAGAAGAAATTGCATTTTTTTTACGTCTGCAAAGAAAAGTGAGTCCGAAAAATTATTATGTTACTTGATGATTACTTTTAGGATTTATTATTTCGTTCGGCATGAGGTGTAACATGGGCATGGCCAAGTTGGTAATGAAAAACACCACGGAGGGCGAGAACAATACCGTTAAGTTCAATTGGACAGTCGGCATGGAAAGCGCTCTCGATTCGTCATTCTTTTGGGGTTATCTCGTGACGCAAGTGCCCGGTGGCTTCGTCGCATCGTTATATCCCGCGAACAGGATATTTGGCACGGCTATTGCAATATCTTCCTTCTTAAATCTGCTGGTACCCGGTGCGTTGAAAGTGGATCCTATCGTCGACATGGGCGTGCAAGTGATGAAAGGACTGGTTGAGGTAAGTTTGATTAAATTGCGTGTAAAAATATCTTTCTATAAAAAATTTGTTTTATATATTGTAAATGAGTCTCTCAGTGATCTCATATATTTAACTGATCAAAGATAGATTTTTAATATTAGTTAACATTGAAATTAGTTTTAATTAAAGTTTTATCCTTTTGTATTAAATTAATCGAATTGAATAAATTAAAAGAATTAATCGACAAAGTGAAGAGAGACTAATTTTTTAAACGTCCTTTCACTTTTTGATTTATTTTCGTGACTCTCTCTTTCATCAGCGTTTATCAATAATCATATTCTTTTTATATTATAATTATACTTTCTATCGCGATTATAAATTTACTCTTTTTATACAGGGTGTCACATATCCGGCATGCCATGGCATTTGGAAATACTGGGCACCTCCTCTGGAGAGATCGCGTTTGGCCACGTTAGCGTTTTGTGGATCGTACGCCGCGATGGTGATAGGTATGCCGCTTTCCGGATATTTGAGCGCTTGGTTTGGTTGGACGGCATCGTTTTACTTCTACGGTAAGGATCTCTTTAATCTCTTTTAATTCTGTCTAAATATTTCCAACCAATTTCGCCAATCATTAAATACCGCTCATTAACAATGTATGAGTCACATGTTTGAACATTAACCCTTAGTCCCGACGGTTCTTTTCGGCACCTTTAATCCCGACTCATGGGTCGTTTGCGTCTTTGCGTTATTTGGATCAGTAAAAGCGCTTTAAAAAATCTGAAAAAATTCATGGAGCTTCTTTCAACCTTCAACTTGAAGTCCCAATCATAATATTTTGATAAAAATTATTTTTTTATATAGTTTGTTATTAAGAAATGGAGGTACCTACAGCACTTTGAAATTTCGCTTGGGTCGAAAACGACCCATGAGTCGGGAAGAAAGTCATATAAATTTTATGGAATTTTTCATTACTTATTTGCATAAAACTTTGACACAATTCTCTGATTATTTAATTAAATAGATGATTGCTTACCTCAAAGTTGCTCCGCTGACGCTTGATATCTTTCCTCCTTTTCTGAGTACGAGAATACAAATTCACTCGTAAAAATTCGGTTAAAATTATCGCGTGATATTTTGCACAGCACTTCCGGTGCATACTTTGTTAGGACAAACATCGCACACGAAACCACGATACGTTCGACATTTTGAAAGAATGAAAGCAGGGAGATCGAAACGATTGATAATTAATTTTCACGCGCTAGTCGTCGCGGCTATGCTACGCTTAAACTACTTCAGTACGCCTTCTATCTCTTTTCATTCCAAAAATATGCAATTGCGCTTTGCGGCATTCAAAGCATTTTAATATCTTTTATTGTAATTTGCAAATGTAAAATTAAAATAGAGAGCATCAAATAGCCACTGAGTGGAGAATCCGAATCGTTGAAAGCGAAAGCTAATTAACAGGACAAGCTCTTAATTAATAGTTGCTTATAGAAAATAATATTATCTCATCGCAATAATGAAGAATTATCAGGTCGACTCATCATGGGATTGTTTTCGACGCCGTAATTCTGCGTGCTCTGTATCCCCCTCCCCCCCTTCTCTTTCTCTCATACAGTTTCTTTTACGTTATGTATCGACTCGAAACTCTTAATATGATATGAAATATTTTACGATTACAAGATACTGCTTTGGTTCGATATTTTAATTTCAATTTTCTACTCGTCGAATTTCAGCAGATTTATGTGACACAATTAAACAAATGCAATTTTTAACAATGACTTGCAGGCGTCTGCGGTTTGATTTGGTACTGCTTTTGGTTGTGGCTGGCCTTCGAAAAGCCGTCGAAGCATCCCTGTATTTCGGCTCGCGAACTACGTTATATCGAAGATTCGCTCGGTCAAGGACAAGTACAAGCACCTGTGCCCACATTGTCGACGACTCCTTGGCGGAAATTTCTCACCTCGATGCCCGTCTATGCTATCATCGTCGCTAATTTTTGCAGATCATGGAATTTTTATCTGCTGGTGCTCTTCCAGCCACGTTTCATGCACGAGTCCTTCGGCATGCCGCTCGTCGAGGTAAAAATAAGTAATGATATAATCTTTAAAAAAAGACACGCTTGTCGGAACATTATTACACACGCGCGAAACAGTATTATTTCCATGTACTTTTATAAAAAATGTGTGCGTAAAAAACTGGCTTCAACTAACAATGAAAAATTGTACACATAAAAATTAACGAATTCTTCCGTTCAATGCAAAATATATTAAAAATTAAATTAATCATGATATTAATCTTTTGTTGTTTATTAATGCAATCGAATATTATGTAACTGACACGTACAGTTAAATATTGCACAATATTAATATTAAAGTAAAATAATTTTCACTCAGCGGTAAATTTTTTTCCATTAAATATTAAGAAAATAGCGCATCTCTTCGTCTCGAGCGACGTCATTCGAGCGACGTCATTCTGACGACGTCCCACTATTTGATCTAAACAGGACCTCCTTTTATCTCACTATTGGCGATGTGAACAAAATGAAGCGTCTTTGGCCACTCGAATTGACGACGTCCCACGTCTCGCGATTTAATCTAAACAGAACCTCCTTCGACCCCACTTTTCGCTTATTAGAAGAAAATGAAGCGCCTCGAACCACTCCAATTGCAGCGCCCCACCTTTGGCGCAGTATCCTCGCGTGTGAATCGTCGTTTGATCTAAACAAAACCCTTCTTCTTCTACTGTGCTATAGCGGTGTCAACAAAATGCCTTTCGGACCACTTCGGTTGCAGTACCCCCACCTTTCGCGCAGTACTCTTTCGCGTGATTGGACGAATTACAATGAGTTTCTGAACGTAATCATATGAGTTTTTGACAGTTCCGATTCTGCATTCCTTTATTTAACAACTTAACTCTTGCGACAAATTACTTGAGTCATTCCGTATATACTTTTATACAATAATGTTTTATAATTAATTTTGTAGATATATTTACAAATTATTGTTTGAAATACGTAAACAGACCGGAGTCATCGGGTCGCTTCCGCACTTGTTGATGACGATGATCGTGCCGTGCGGCGGTTTGCTGGCAGACCATCTTCGTAAACGCGGCATCATGACGACGACGAACGTGCGGAAAGTCTTCAATTGCGGTGGTTTTGGTATGGAAGCGCTTTTCTTCTTGGTGGTAGCTCAGGCAACGACGTCGAAGAACGGAACCGCGGCTACTGTCGCGCTCGCGATTGGCGTCGCGTGCAGTGGCTTTGCCATTTCTGGTTTCAATGTCAATCATCTGGATATTGCGCCCAGATACGCCAGTATTTTGATGGGGATGTCCAACGGGATTGGCACCATCGCTGGACTTTTGGTCCCTTTCTTCGTGGATAATATTACGGAAAAGAAGGTACGACGACACTGGAAAAAAGTCTGATTGATTTCGACGTAAAAAGATTCCGATTGAATTATTAACCTTTATAAAAAAAAAAAAAACTTTGAACGCAAATTAAAAAATGGATTTATTAACTTATAAAAATTGTCTTGATGCTTTAACGACACATTTTAAAAATTGAGGCATTTTGTGATCGTTTTTGGAAAAGTTTTATAAAAAGCCATATGATTTTAAAAAAACCGTTGGAAAATGTGTAAAATTTATGTACTGTTTTAAAAATAAGATTTTATTAATATCTTATTAAAATATAAAGTATTTTTCACAAATAAACAAAAATTCTATAACCGCGAACATGAATTAATAAGGAAGAAACAATTCTGTGTAGGATCCACACAGTTGGCGGAACGTTTTCATCATAGCAGCATGTGTTCACATTTTTGGAGTGACATTCTACGGTATTTTCTGCTCCGGCGAATTGCAGCCCTGGGCTGATCCCACCCTGGAAGAACAGAAGTCTTGGAATCCTATGGACGAGTTCGGTCAAACGAAACCGCCCGTTCCACCTCCACCGAAAACCATGCAATCCGATTTCATAGTAAGTTTATTGCAGATCTTTGCTCAAACGTGTTGCTCGCGTATCCTTTCCTAATTTCACTTATTTATATTAAAAAGAAAAATTAGCACTTTACCATGATGCAACGATTTAGGAAGAAAAATCTTAAAGTGGAAAAAAATGATCATCTTTTCAGAAACAACCGTCCCGAGAGGGAAGCGTCACCGATGACTGGAATGCCTACGAACAGCCGGCGCCCGAAAACCAGCTGTATGCACGGCAGGACAACAAAGGTCCTGTGATAAACTACGGTTCGACGGAGGCCAACAGCAACAATCCATTCCATTCGACGAATCCGTTTGCCAGCGACGTTAGCGCGACTCTCGTGCAACCGCCGGCTACAGACGATTACGCGCATGACGTCATGCACAATCAGCAGTGGAACTGAGAATGGTCGACCTCCGGATAGAGAAAACGGATGCGAAAGAAAGCTGACTGCTTCCCCGAGATCGTACGTCATTCATATTTGTTGTTCGTATCATTAGCTATCAATACGCCGCGTTCCTCAGACATGTCACATCTTCGTTAGCCAAAACACATGCAATGGAATTTGCGAAGTTCATAGTACAAAGTGCGGATGACTTTCTCTACCTTGAGAGAAAGAAGTCATTAAAAAGGTTTTAGTTTTCTCATTGAGAAAAATGGAGTGGTAGATTTAATTTAATTGGAAATATTACGTAACGACATATTGTTTTAATTTTTTGTGTATCGATTAGTAAAAGATAACAAGTCTCGTCACAATGTTATGGATTTATGACAATTTTAGAAAACTCTGAAATATTTTATACGCATTATAATTAGAGTCCGACCGAAACCACTTTTTTTAGTTTTGGCCGAAATTGAAAACGAATATTTGGTTTTTACTTTATTTCGACCGAAACCGAAACCGAAACCGAAATTTTTGGAGGAGTTTTATAAAAAGCCATATGATTTTTAAAAAACCGTTGGAAAATGTGTAAAATTTATGTACTGTTTTAAAAATAAGATTTTATTAATATCTTTATTAAAATATAAAGTATTTTTCACAAATAAAATGCAATATTACAAAATAAAAAATAATATATTATAAAGAAGGAAGAGATCGCGCCGGTTCGCGGCCGACCAATCGGCGCCGACCGGCGCGTTGTAACTTGTTTAAGTTTCGGCTTACTCATCGAAATTTTTTCTTAATTTCGGCCGAAACCTTGATTTTTGGCCGAAACTGGCCGTAACAGAAACCGAAACCGAAATTTCGGTCGGACTCTAATTATAATACAGTAAATCAGAAATCTTATATTAATTGTTCAATGAATCCAATCGCGACATGTCTGAGGATCGTACGTGAATAAAACTTCGTATATTAATCATGATTTAAAATTCTACGAATCAACATAAAAACCATTGAATATTAGGATTTCTATGTTTCACGTTAAAGATTTTTGGCAAATTGAAAGGACGGAAGAAAATTTTTATTGAGTGTAATACCTAAGAGTGCAGAGAATGGTGCTGTGAATCGCCGCGTTAGTAACTCGAATAGCGCAAGGGATTATCTCGCTGCATCGTGACAGTAGTTTAGCGAGATCTATCAATAGATGAAGCGTTATTTATTTACCTTATCAGAGATACATACGCTCACATGATATTCTTTATTGCAATCACGAGAATAAGTGACTCGGTTGCAGTTGTGCCGAAAAAATAAGCCGAAAGCTTTCGATATGTCGATTAGGCTTTCGGCTCATGTCAAACTTTTTTATTGATTATAGATCGCCTCGCATCAGCGACTAGGTCGGGATAAATCCCAAAGCGACAATAATTGAAAGTGCTGTGCAGACAATAATTTTCTCCGCAGACAATAATTAACAGCGAGGTTTAAAAACGTAGCAGTCGCGAGAGATCTTGGCGCGCGCGGCATAGCTCGATCGCTGTGACTTTTGGGTATTTCCAATTTTCCGCGACTTATCGTTAGTCACTTATTCGCAAAATAATAAAAAAACATAGCAATAAAGAAAGAAGCTTATACAAATATTATATTATCGATATTGAATGAACGATGAATCGTTTGTCGAAATTAAAATTTAAATATACGCAAAGACCCGCGGCATCTTTACGTACATTCAGAGATAATCAAATTAAATTCGCTCGAACAATGACAATAATATCCATACAACGTGAATATTTGAAAAATACGAGGTGTGTCAGAAGAATAATAAAACTAAATTTTTTTTCTAAACAACTGCAGAAATAAAATTGCATCGAGCGCCTTCAAATTCAAATTAGCGAATTGAAACTAGCATAGAAATTAGAATGGAGATATAGTTCTCAGCTCGGCACAGTTTTGTTTTTGCAGTGTTGCTAGTTCTTGAAAAAAAAAAATTATTAGTTTTATTAGTTTTCAAACATATCTCGATTATTGAATAATTTAATTATTTATCTATTAAATATCTAAATTGCATGGATACCGCTTAATTTTTTTATATGGTTTACGTTGAATTGCGAGCGTTGAATAAAATCGGAAAAGAATTATTATTGCATTAAAATATGTACTTTTTCAATTATTATATTGTTCTATTTTTAAAATATTGGCCTGTGCGTGACAGATCGCAACAGCAATCGACTTTAAGTGACATCCTCTATAAATGACAATAATTGCAATATTAATGAAAGTTCAGAGAAATCTGAACAACATTAGAGATATATCAGAAAAATACCTATGAAGATATTTATGTTGTATGGATGGCGCGTAAAATTAGTCAATATAAAAAGCACGGAGAAACGAAAAGTAGACCGCGACTATGAATTAATTTCTTATTAATACTTATCGGAAGCAAAGAACGCAATTTATTTAGAAGATAGCAAAAGGAAAGAAACGACAATAAATCGGTGCATTTGCGTTCACGTATGAAATCAAAAATTCTTATGTGAGTTTTTTTAATAACTCTAAAGCAGAAGCTTTTAATAACTCTAAAAGCAAGTTCAAAAACGCTCGTCAGTCTCACTTGAAACGTATGAAAGTATTTGCAAGAAAGCAAAAAAACAAAATGGAAGTACGAAATGAAAGTAAATTATACATTTTATCTGTATGTATTTCATATAAACATACATACATATATATGCTTATATCTCCCTGGCATCCACAAAATTAGTCAATTTATGCGAGACTTTTTTAAAGATACAAATATACCGATATAATTCGTGTAAAATACGTGTGTATCGACATATATAGATATCGGTATTAGTATCGTCTCGCGTTCTCATCGACAAATAAGATTATATACACATATGTCATGTGTTGTGCGTTATTATATTGTATGTTAATATAAATATAAATAATATATATATATTTAAAGTATACAATATATAGTTAGTATGCAGCCATAATACGATATATTTATACATAGGGTGTCCCTAAGTAATCCCTAAATAATAAATAATAAAGTAACCATCTATTTTGCAAAATAAGATGAAATGCAGAAAAGTGCTCTGATTATAAAAGTGGGCCTTTTTTGCGGAATGTCGTGTAATAGATGTTTACTTTTGGGATACCGTGTATATTGGTTACGTTATGGCTTCTACTGAATATTAATAATAATGCGTGTGATGATACATTTGAGAATGCGCGATTAGAAAGAGATGCTGTTTATTCGTTGCGAGATGTTAGAACATAAAAGGCGCGCTTCGAAGTATTAATTTACTCAAAAACAATTCTTCTCACACTGTATATGACAATAATACTTAAACTAAAGCCTGATGCACGTGTTATGACGGAGCACCAAATTTATATTTTAACTGTTCGTTTAGCTGTGCAATTTTATTATATTAACGTTTACGCATGTTATAGGATATTTAAAAGTTTAGTACGTTTAGTGAACAATTTCAACATTTTTTTCGCCAAGAACCCAAATTTATTTTTCCATACACAAACATACATACATAATTATTATATATAAAATAGAAATTACAATGAATGTTGAGATATCAATTTAAAAAGAATAGATATTGGCGTGTTAATATTAAAATTTTAACAAACTTTAATTTTCTCTCGCAAGTAGAATTTTATTCCAATCGTTTTAATAAAGATCAAATTTCTAGTTGAAAAATTATTTTAAATCAATTTTGATTGAGTGAAAATTTGGATAGAAAAAAAAACTGTTTCAGTTTTGGACAGGAAACATCACTCTGTTCACCGCATGCGTTTATTGCCATAGAACCACACACGTACACAATGACAATAGTATCACTCGTGACATAAATGACAATGCAGAATGGATAATAACGAGTCACGATTAGAACGCTTGCATTAATAATACGACGAGATGCCGCAACGCGCATTTTTTTTCAGCCACTGTATTTTTATCGAACGCCACGCTTTAAAAAAGACGCAACGATGGTAGAAAGTCGGAAATACTTACGACACACTTGAAATTAATGATATGCACGCTATAACTGTTATCTAACCACTGTATACCATCTGTGTCATTGTTGCACCAAGAGAAACGATTTGCTGGCAGGCTAACGCTCGAAAAAGAACAGATCTCTAACCGGGATGGCAATAACAAAATGCCTGAAAATGGAAAAAAATTTGTCGTATTATTTTTAAGCGTTTATACATATTTTCTGTCTTTCACGCTTCTTTTTGCACATCTTTTTATTTCTCGCGTTTCGTTTCGAATGTTTTTATTTTCTACTGCTTTAATCGCGACTTGTCCTGCATACGAAAAATAACGCATTACATTAAGCGTATCTATCTATACATATATTCATTGTATCAAAGTAGTGACTGGCCTAACGTTATCCACAACTTTATTTGCTAAACCAACAAACAAATTTCTATACTCGAGATATTTATAAAATATAATGATTACGAAAAGAAGACTTAGGATAAGTTCTAATGCTGTCGAACAATAATATTGATATACATATATACGTATAGCTTCAGTACGTGACAATAAATAAATAAATGGAGTAACGGGGTGGGCCGATAGTAGGAATAGATGCGAGTTCTAATTTACGCAGAGAAAATTCGAATGTATGTGTTTTACAAACGATTGTTGTCATTCCGCAAGATCGTTGCTTTTATTAGATAAATTAGTATAATTTTATTTTCGGCGCACCTTGTATCGCTTTATGACGATTAATTTTATACAGGACGATCGATTATAATCTGTAAATGGATTTATCTCTGAAAGTATAGCAAAGAAAAAAGTGGCACTAAAATCTAGCATAGAGTACTACTTGACCTTAAAATTTTCGAAATGCATCCTCCATCCTTGAAAACACATGCAGTGTCTGAACTCAATTTGATCCCCTTTATATGTCACTTTTTTTTTGTTTGCCATACTGTCAGAGAGAAATCTATTTCTAGATTATAATAAGTCGCCGTGTATATATGTAAACGAGATTACAGATTCGTATATTGGCTTTTCGCGAGTTTTCATGGCTAAAAGCAAGGGAGAGCATATCTCTCTCTCTGACTGCAGGAATATCTTTTTATTTTTACACATCGGCGTGAAAATGAGAGATCCTAAAATTGTGTTTACTGTTAAAGTACTTTTGAGCGCTCTTTGCACAAGGTAGAAGCGGGAAGCATTACAAGAATGTGATGAAAATATACGAGTCTCATCTAAGATCGTATTCATATTTTCCTGTTGGAATGTTTCCATATATTTTTGTGAAGAATATTCGCATCAGAGTATTTTACTGTTCCACGAAAGAAGATGCAAAAAAGAGAAACGAGAAGCGAATTAGCCGTGTCATATAGAGAAAACTGTAATAAGAAGACATTCGTGGAGTGAGTAAAAATGATGCGCATTGAGTTGCGAAGATACACCGAAGATATATTGTAAATTTCAATATCATATCTTTCTTCGATTTAGAGTAGTAAGAATAATGTATAATTTGTTAAGAATTTTGCATTCTAACGACGATTCAATCCTCCTTCGTGATTTTTAATATTATATTAAATATTTTCATGAGCTGAACGATGAATATAACACACAGAAACTGTATAGGATGTCCTATTTCAAATAAGAATTTTAAATATTTCGATAGAACAACGAAAGGAGTTGGATTAAAAAATTATTCAAAATAATTCCATAAATGTTTTAATTTTTTTCTCAGAAAGTTTTTAATAAAAAAAGGACAGTAACATACTATTTTGAAAATATCTCAATGCAAGAATCTCTAATAAAATTTTGAAATTTTTATTTAAAAAAGTACAGAGTAACTTTGGCACACAATCTTCGAAAGATCAATCAAAGATCAAATTGATATTATCTTTTTTTTTTTTCAGTTTTTAAATGTATTACAATTCTGGACGGAATCGAATTCCGAGATATTTCAGATTCTTATTAAAAATGAAGCACTTTGCATATTTTAGTATCGACCGTTTAGATGAAATCATTTACAAAAATAATTTTACCACCGAATCAATTCAAACACAAAGCTTTACAACTTAAGCGTTTAATAAGCACAAGAAGAAGATACTTATATGTGGAGGAGGGCACAAGCATATTCGACAGTTGACGGTATTGACCACCTCTCTATACTCATATATTTGCGTTCGCGCTTACACACACACACACACACACACACACAAAACTTCTCCATGTATGTATATATTCCACGTAATATGTACAATGCTGCATACATACCGGAATTTATAGTTCATCGTTATGTCTACATTCTCCGGCATGTAATGAAATAATACTAATTTACATATTTTGATTAAAACTTATGAAAGTATCAATTATTATATCGACAATAACAATGAAGGAATGAAAGTAATACGTTATAAGTACAATAAATGGGTAAAGACTTTTTAGAGATATACATATTGTATTGAATTAAAAACGACGCGAAATTCTCTCGAGGAATTCGTACACTATATACATATACTATAAAAATTACAATAATCAAATGTCAATAATGATATATTTGTCTTTTGACTTCGGTTTTACTTGAACGTGTAGTTAGTCGAATTTATTTCGTATGTTATTAGAGACGTTTACGATAAATATTTTATTGCTCTTAGGACAGAGAATTTCACGCCGAGAATGCGAAAAGTATTAATCAATAAGATTACACTCTAAGCTTTTGATGGTTTGATATTATCTATTGAGTGTAGAGCTCTAGGCGAATTTTCTTGTTGTTGCTCGTTATTCCGTTTGCGGAATTTAGAGAATTTTCTTTTATAGTTACTTAACGTGCTGTTTGATCTAACAAGAGAGATCCGAGGTGATCTCTGTTTTTGTGTCACGCGAAATGTTTCAGAGGAACAGCTCTCTCGACACGTTACCGCAATTGCATTGTGTAATGCAATTGTTACAATTGAATGAAACGAATAATGCGTTACGAATAATTGTTTCGTGTAATCGTTTAACTGCAAATGTACGATACGATGTATGCATCTTATGCGTCAACGAGAGCGACATTTGCGGTGCGTTTCCGACGGCTGATGTAAGATTTCTTTTCGCAAAGTATTTTTGATTCGTGTAGAAGAACGATTGTCTTTCGTGTTATTCCGCCGTTACTTTTCAGTATGTCTCGCTGGTTGAGAAATACTGCGTTAAGGCGTTGCAGACAATAAGTGCAATGTTAGCTATACATACATATACGGATTTGTTAAGAATATTAATACAATTAAGATTGCGCGTGAATCTTCAAGGAATCCGCTCTTCCGCGTTATACAAGCACGAGTTTGGCGTCAATAATAGCGCGCGCACGACCATGATTCATGTCCTCGTGTTCAGAACTACTCTGCGACAGGGCGCGACCCCCGTAAACACGAATTAAAATTAAGGAAAATTTAATAGACTCCTGGCACTTCTAAGTGTGCCGTTAGAAAGCAGCGACGACCTAATTGAGCCTCAATTAATTTTAATCGATGTTTATGGGAGCGGTACACAATAGACAGCACCGTAAAGTTCGATGTTTAGAAATGAATTCATGTTGTAAACGTCGCATTCTTCTTTAATGGGAATTTTCTCATCGCGAGAAAGGAAGAGATCAATTCGTGTGAAGTGAAATCGGTTCTATTAACGATTGTCATCTATCATTTACACAGCTAGCTATCGTTACAATCTATAGCGTGTTACAAGAATAATTATACATTCGGGAAATATATAATATATATAATTCAGATGTTTCTCAAATGATCTCTTTGGATCTTCCAAATGTTTTTTAACGATCCTCGATTGGAATGGAATGAAGACGGTCTGCTCACACAAAAATGCACACACACATAAACATGCACAGCCACACATACACGATGTGAACACAAGATAAATATATTTTGACCGTTTGTATTAGCAGGTCTGCTCTATACTGTACGTGTAGTCGCATATTAGAGGTTATTGTTACACGCCGGTTGCAATCTGGTTTGTTACTGATTATCGTAACAATAATTATTATGTAAAATATGTATGTAATACTGTAATTTTCAGTGTATCATGTAATTAAAACGAGAGATACCGGCGGCTATTGACAATAAATTGTAAACCAATCTTTTCAAACTTTTTGTTTCTTCTAAGTCTTTCGGGTAAATTCGTGCTTTAGAATAGCACGAGCAATAAATGCAGTGATTATTGCGAGATTTGCAATTTATTCCGTACTTATCGGTGTATCAGCTAGCTATAAAATTGACACACAAGTTGATAAAAAAAACACATTGATAAAAAAAACGAATGGAATCGCGTGAGAACGCGAAAAAAAAAACTGACACTTTTATTGGAATTCACTGACAATGATTTAGTTTTGCTTAGCCTTGAAACAGATATTGAGCGCGACGCCCTTGTTCGCATTTATTGCTATCGTATCGCTTATTAACTGTTGCGTTATCACATTACATATGATTAGACATAAAGAAGCACCTCTGCATAATATATGTCGTATTGTTGGTAATATCTGTTTAACATAAAGTACGCGCAAGACATTTTTTCTTCAACAAGACGGATATGAAAGCAAGTGCAATTGAATACATACGAGATCTCTTACAATTTCTCATAAGCATGACAGTAATTTGTGCACAGGACAATTGTTAAAAGTATGCTTCTCACATTGCATAAAGCATTGTTTATGGCAGCGTATCATTTTGTGATGTACAGAGAGTATTTCCGCGAGATATCCGCGTATATGATAATTAATACGCATATGACAATTAACTCTCTAATAATATCCCGTAAGATTAACCCATTACGCGTGCGCGGAAGCATGTTTTTACGTGATTTCCTAATACGCATATAATTATAGATACTCTGAAGCGCTGACTATCATGTAAATGCAAAATCGTATTTTTAACAAAGTGGTGCTTCAATTTTAGAAGAATACGATAAAATTTTTATATATTTTAAGGTTTAATATTAATTTTACATTTAATCTTTCTCTAATATTTGTGATTGCTGATTGAACTAAATTGCTCGCAAAGTCTTCAATTAAGAATCATGATTTTTCCACAGTACACAATTCTGTTCAGAGAAGATATAAAAAAATATAGAATAAAAAAAAATTTTTTCAAAGTTTTAAAATCATATTTCTGCAAAATTTTCATTTTTTAAATTCGTTTTTAAATTGCCGAAATCTTGTCATAAAACATGCACGCCCCAAACGTGTGGCACGCTTGCGTATACCGCGTATGCTTGGTCGTCGTCGCGTGCAATCACATATCGAGCGCAGTGTACATTTCAGCGTGCATCCAATACTGCCGAAGACAAGCGGGAGAAAGAAAGAAGCGACGAGAGAATGGTACGGAGAAGTAAAGCGCCGGTGTTACTGTCGCCGCTACCGCCGCCGCCGTCGCCGAATGTGCGTCGTTACTTTCTAAATTCCCCCCCGTGTGGTTGATATATATCCCCCCGGATGACTTTGCATTTTGCAATCGTACGCACCGCGGCGGGAAATCGCATCCGAGGGGATTTTTCACGCGTCGCGTGCGCTTGGATGTTATATCACAAACGACGAGATCACCGCGGGAGATGGCGATCAGTGTCGAGAGATACCTCGCTCTCCTCGTACTCTACATCTCGCTGTTGCTGCTGCAATTCCGTAAGTACTGATCACTTGACATTCGCGACACCGAATTCTTCTTCCCTTCTTTGTTTTTTCTCGTAAAAACAAATTCAATTTCCTTCTTACGCTCTTTTTTTTTTTTCGAACCGGATTTGATTCTCGGGTTAATTCAAAATTCGAGCGTTGCTGCTTGTCCGCGATCGATTTGCCATTGTGTTTTATATTAGTGATTGTTATTAATTTTTATTATTATATATATATATATTATATATATTATATATATATATTATATATATATTATATATATTTTATATTAGTGATTGTTATTAATTTTTTAACATACACATTTTAAAATAAATAAAAAAAATTAACACGTAAACATTTCACATTTATAATATAATCTCACTTTCTTCGAGAATAAAAACGTGTATTGTAACATTCGAACTTTTACTTTTAAATGAATCAGGAAATGAGAAATCTTTTCCGCAGTTTAGTAATCACATTGTTTATCATTTTGAGTAAAAGAAAACGCTTTCTACACTTATTGGCTTTGAAAAAAAGAAACAGGAACAAAATTATAGGATAATAATGTCTATTTACGAAAAACTTTTACTCTCAGTGAACTACTTTACTGAATCGTAAATAAATTCAGTAGCTTACAGAACAAATTGTCCGCCTTGCTATCTTGTCACAAATTGCTTTAACCGATTATTCTGTAACAATTGCATTCGACACGCATTTACCACTTATAGTTATCTCGCTTTGATTCTGCGTGAAGAAAGAATTTCAAATTGGAAAAATAAAAGTTCAAGGATAAAAGTAAGAGAGAGTAAAATCCTGTTTTCAGAGCTATAATCTATTTATAGCACCAGTAATAAGTTCAAGATCGTCAACCTTCACCTGATTTCGCATAATGGTTCAATAATTTCTAGCGCATATAATCCTTATTATTGTGTTTGATCAACTAACCGACCATAAGCTGAATATAAATGTGATACGATGACACTGCCCGTCCTTCAAAAATGAAAGGACAATTAAAACCGATTTGTGACAAACTTTTAGATCATGCAACAGCTCAAAACAAGACTCTCAAGGATCTCTTCAACAGCACATCTTGCGCCAAGCCGCCTTACATCTGTCCGCATCCGCAGATAGAATTCTATTTGTATACTAGGTATGTTTTCCTTTTTTGTCTTTATACCGGTTTTTTTTCTTCTCAATCTTCTTTCGAGTATTAATCTTTCTTAAAATATTAAAAGTGAAAAGTGTTTTTGCATTCGAAAAAATCCCGGAAACGATCAACATTGCCACTTTCAATTTCAAGATCACGATCACTTTATTATGTACTGAAAGTGGCCTCCTTTCGAAACTTCACCTTTCTCCGACATCTATAGTGCCGTCGAATGCTCTCACTATCGTCTATATTTACGTAGCAAATGCGCGCGGCGAACAAGCTTGTTGTACAAATGCGTGCTACAGATATCTCTCATCTGTCGCGATTTTCAGAGAAACGCAAAAAGATCCTCTGTTATTGGACGTCCGGGATTTCAATTCTCTCCAGTATTCCCAATTCAATAAGATTCATCCGACAAAAATTATTATTCACGGCTTCGGCGGTGGACGAAACTTAGTGCCCAGTACGGATTTGCGAGATGGTAAGATTAGACGTTTTTTAAATTTTTGTACGCTTAAACTAGTTTGCAAGAAAGACTTCACTTATTGCTAATATTAAAGAGACGTGCATTATCGTCTATTAGTTTATCCGATAACTTCGTAATTTTGTAGAAAAAGGTTAAAGTAAGCCATGAACAAGGACATAAAATAAAAAATACACATTTTTGCTAAATTTTTATTTTAACAAAGTGTATTTCTTAGCCTTTATTACAGCTTTACAGATTCTAAACATTCTTCTTAATTCATTAGTGTTTTTAATCCAACGTTCTTTTATTCACTCAAGATATTCCAAAGAGTTGGTTTTTATTATATTGAATCAACATAAATTTACGTTTATTCAAGTGTATCCTAAAGATTTATATTATATACTTATTTAATTTTCTCTTTTCTATTTTCAGAAACATTTCTTTAAAATTTAAAATAAATTTTTAAATAATTCTGAAGTAAAATATCACAGATTTTTCGCTAATGAAGTTTCTTTTTTTTCAGAATCTACTTAGATTCTCATTATTTTTGCAACACAAATGTCAGAATATTTTTGCTACACTGCGAAATTAATCATTCAACGCACTCGACTTAATTAGAAACGCTAAAGAGTATTGAAACATAGCCGTTCAGCCAAAATAGCAATACCACCTCGTTCGATTTCAGCGTATTTCACGCGAGGCGATTACAATATTATAATCGTGGATTACGGTTCGTTGGTACGCGAGCCCTGTCTCTCGCAGATTTATTGGGGCCCGGACTTTTGCTCTCAATGCATCGCACAGTTGGTCAAGTACCTGAGGGATCATCCTCGCGGCACGAGAGTGGAGAACATACACGTGCTCGGATACAGCGTCGGCGCGCACATAGCCGGACTCATCGCGAATTACTTGCCCAATGACAAACTCGGAAGAATTACGGGTAATTACTCGTATGCAGCCGATCGCTGTCTCGCAATTTATTCCCCGAAATAATCATAAATTTATTCGCAAATTTTTGCTCCCCCCGCATATCAATAAACGAATATTAATAATCCGTCGTAAAACCGACACATGGTCCGATTGACCGCTCGTGCGTTACAGGCCTCGATCCGACGATATTTTTCTACATGAACGGCAACCGCTCGATGGATTTAGACGAATCGGATGCCCATTTTGTGGACGTGATCCATACAGGCGCCGGGATTTTGGGGCAATGGGGGCCGAACGGCCACGCGGACTTTTATGTAAACGGTGGCTCGAGTCAACCCGGATGCGCCACTTCTTCTATACTTCGTAAGTGATTGGAAAAGTTATTGGAGGAAAGGATTATGGCGAAAATTGAGAAATTTTGTTCACAGAAACGCTTTCGTGCGATCACACAAAGGTGACGCCGTATTACATAGAGTCAATCACGACAAAAAAGGGATTTTGGGCGGCGCCGTGCGCAAATCTGTTTTCTTACCTGATCGGATGGTGCAATCCAAAGAGAGAGGATCACATACTGATGGGGGAGGACACCCCTCATACGTAAGTGAATTTTACATGAATTTTGCATATTTGCTGGCCTGCAAAGTTAGATACGTTTGTTGTTATTAACAAAAAAAAGGTAGTGTTTTATCCAGTTTCGAAAAGTGCGTAATGCATTAAAATTCTGAGAAAATAAAAAAATAACGATTGCGCGAATTGATTGCGTGAAAAGTGACGGAAAACCATTCTTCTCTTCAATATTCATTCTTGTACGTGAAAAATTGACAGAGCACGCGGCATCTTCTATCTGTCAACAAACGCACACAAACCGTACGCCCGAGGACTGCCCGTAAAAAGCCAGCGTCGGACAAATCGGAAGCAATCGTCCTCCCGCCAGTATTAAGTCTGTTAAAGCAACTGATCAACATAATTATAGAATAGCATGTACATGATTTAGTCATTTTAAGCTACATAGTATTACATATGGTAAGTTCTGTTTTTTTTTTTTTTTTTCTTTACACTGTTACGTCACTTTGTATATTTAATCGTTATAAATATTGTCTATATACTCCTTTTTATTTTATTTTTATCCAATATGCGTCAGGTTGACTATTTTATGAAAAGCAGAAACTACAAAAAAAATATCGTAATCTGCTCGGCGACTGATGTATAGTAAATGTTCTGCTTAACACATAACATCTTTATACTTTTCTATTCCTCTCTTATATTTTATCGCAGGAGTTTTATACATGTTATTTATTTTGAGCCGAGCGCACGCATGTTTATAAGACGGCTCTTGATATATTCAGAAAAATCGATGTGTAATTATTCAATCACATCCTAAGGCAATAAAGTGTCATGTCATCAGAAGGAGAACACAAATGGGGTCAAGTTACATCAATGTGAAGCTTCTAGCATTGTGCAACAACGAAAGCAAAACAAGACGTTTATGTTATTAAAATTTATACTGCTACTACGTGAACAGGAGATTAATTTATTTCGCCAAACGCTACAATATCATTGTAAATAGTAAAATTAAAAATATGTTCTATGCCATTTTTATTAATCGCGATCGATTTTTGATTAATGGAATATCAGCAATTTTGCGTGATGCAACCTAATATGTATTGTCATTGAATATTTCATTGATTTTTGTAAATTGTAATATAAGTATTTTAAATTTATAATGCGAAAGCAGAAATATTTATAATTTGTAAAGAGAGATTTATGCAATACAGACATCTATCGAAGGATTGTAGTTGCTTTATTTAGCCCATGGCACCTGCTTGTCGTCATCGTGCCAATAATAAGTATCGGCACACTTGCAAGAATATCAAGCCAGATTTATGTTAATAACAATATTTACATAATTATTACGATATAGTAGTAATTTGCGGTACACACTGCCGCATTAAACTTTGGTATTATTCATAACATATAATAAAATGATTATACGTACATACGTATGTCTTTTAATACTCTCGAAAGTGCCTCGGTAACTTTCCTCTTTCCTTTCTCTTTTTTTTAACTCTTTACAAGTTTATACAATAAAAAATCGTGGATAACGCAAATTTATTTAAAAATGTGATTTTTAAACATTATGCTTTGAATAAAATTCGAGGTCAAGATCTCGATATTTGATGAATTAAAATACGCTCGATTGCGTTCGATTACTTCCTTGCTTGAAGCATTCAACTTATTATGTTAATATCTTAGTTTAACGCAAATATGATCGTGCATTGCGATGTCACTTTTAACATTTTTTACAGCCGTGAGAGAAAGTAACTTTTATCGGCAAGACTTGCGATTATTTCGCAAGATGTTTTGAATTGTGTTGAATCATCATTCGATTGCTTTTGCGAAACGAAATCTAGACAGGTATATAAACGCAATACCGTTTGATGACGTTGCCAATTACATATCGAGGATCTTATTTCCGGATTAAACTACAGCTTTGCAAATGCTCATCGTGTGGTTCCGCTTTATGTACATTTGTGCCTTCGTGCGTGCTACGTGTTGTCATTCGAATTAGCATACATGTGTATGAACGGATTTAACGCTACGCATATCAATTATTTAACGGAGCTTTGCCTCTCCCTCCTTCCTCCTCTCACTTTCCTCCTTTATTCTTGATTAACATAAGGTCTGTTTTTTATAGCTGAACTAGTGCAGCCAGTACAAACCTATAATAACATGAGATCTTCGCTGTAGCATAGTTTTGCGCATTCGAATGTGAGTGATGCGCGCACATTTGTCTTTGATCATTTTGTTGTCAGCTTTTTGTCAGCTAAAATGATTATATCGTTGATTAAATCATCAGTGTATTAATTCTAAATATTTCTTTGAAAAAATACATTAAATTTAGAAAATAGCAAATTTACACTTTATTATATTATTTATTTCTATACATGTATTTTGCACAAAATATAACATCTCAAGCGAAATTTTTCTTTCATAAGTGATTAGCTAAATTGTTCTTATATTTTTTTTGTATAAATACATTAGAAAAAAAAATTATTAAAATTGAACACTTTGTGATCTTATATTTACACAAGAAAAGTAACGAATAATACAAAAGACATTTATATTATAAGTATTAATTAATAAATTATTTATCTTCCAAAACAAACAACAAAATATATATATTAATTTATAGGAATAATACATTAACAAATAACAACATCAAATCTTTTTCTGTTTTAGAAATGTTGTGTAAATAAAAAAAATATATAGAATATGTAATGAATATATATATTTTATAAATATGTAAAGAAGTTGTTGCCAATTTGATCGTCCACTTACTTTATTGCATTTACTTTGTTATATCTAGAATTGTATCCCTGTTTCTAGATCCAACCTGAATATATAAAAATCAAATACATATCAAAGATGTAAATACAAACAAGAAATAACGTTACACTTACACTTAATAATTAATTCAATTAAATATAATATATTAGGTTAAAATTACATCAGAAAAATAGTTATTTTTAAGAGTTTTTTGAGAATTAATTGAACAAATTAGTTTGAACAAAAAAAATATTATAAAATACTGCTGACAGATAAAAAATTAATTACTCCAAAGTTATTGCGATGCATATCAAATTTTAGTTAGTTTAGCAAGAACTCATAATACATGGCAGAGAACGTACCTCGGTAATGCGCTCTAACAATTGCTTCAAGAGATTGCATTTACAATAGATATTCTGCATCTGATTTCTTTCTAGTTTATTCAATTTTACGACTGCCGCGTTGTTAGATAAAAATAGTCTTAATCTTTTACAATAATCCATCAATTTTAAACCGAGTGACGAGCGATTCCTGATGAACGTGATGTATACATTTTGAATTTGCATAATTAGCGACTCTATTTTTATTAGCATAATTTTGCAATACAATTGCTTGTCGACGATATAATCGTTGATGGAATTAAGGATATCATCAAAAAGAACGGCGTCAAAAGGATCATTAATATTCTCACCGATATCCACGTCGCTAAATATTTCATCACTGTGTTCATCGCTGTTTATGTTTTCATCAAATATGGATAAGAATTGAATTTTTAACTATGTGCAACACAAAATGCATGATGTTATTATAAAATCACTCAAACCAATAAAACAATAAAGAACTTAGAAATAATCTTCGAATTCAAAGATCCAAAATTCATAATTTTATAGAGAAATAATTGCTTACAATTTTTTATTTTAATTTTACTTTCGCTTGCACAACAGACTTTAACTGCTTCAACTCACCCTTGAATAAATGTCTAAAGCTTTTAACATAATCGCAAATATCATTTGGCTTTCCTGATTACGCTCGTCCAAACCATTCGCCAGATTCAAATATTTCTTGCCTTGGTTCAGAAAATCTTCCAAATTCTTTACTCGATCTGACGACTAACGAGAACGCATGGGAAAAAATTTTCAGGAATGTTTTTTAAAACTTTTTTAATTCACAATGTTATTGTATTGTTTGCAAGAATACTTACGTAAAGCTTCTCACCGTCTACAATTTTATCAATTAGGCACGGTTTTATCTTCTGGAGCAGCAATATGCTTAAATAAAATGTACAACAAAAATTTAGAAACATAGAATTATTACATATTCTGTCGCAAATTATAGATTCTCCAAACAATTGACTTTTCATGACTTTTTATGACACACACATTTAATACAAACCTTTGCAAATTGGAATAAACTTCGTGTGCTTGTTTTATCACATCCTCTATCGTGTGACAGTAGCATGCTACGCATATTCCTTCGTTTGACGTCATGTTTATGACTATGTGTACTTGTATGACTATGTATACTTTTACATCTAAAGAAATATAGAAGAAACAACTTTTTTTATTTGCGTACGACTTAATTGGCTGATAGAGAAATAGCTGTTCACGAACTATCAGCAAAGCACGAGAGAAGACTGGAAAATAAACTATAACAATGGAACAATTTCTTCGGAAATTATCGAATCATCATGAATGTATCAAATTTCGATGTTTACTCAAGAGAGAAAGAAGAAAAGAGAGAAAAAGCGGGAGAGAGAGAGAGAGAGAGAGAGAGAGAGAGAGAGAAAGAGAGAGAGAGAGACAGTTGTGTTTATCTGCTGGAAAATCATAAACGGCATTTGGTGGGAAAAATAACGACTATTCTTTTTTTTAAATCGCAAATACTAATTTGCGATTTAATTATTATGTATTATTTAATATAATTTTAATAAGAATTTTAATAAAAATAAATAGATAATTATCTGCTTTATTTAGTCACCAAAATTGTTTGTGTTAATACACACATGTGGACGTAAGATTAAAATAATTAGCAGAATGATAAAGTGCTATAAAAAAGTTATTATACGTGACTTAATTAAGAGTATTAAATTGTTTTAACAATGATATCGATTAGGTAGCGTTTGCTTACACCAATGAGTCCACCACATTTTCATACACTTCATTTAATTCCTGCGCTTTAATGCCTTCCGCAATTAATCTATAAAAACGTTTAGAAAATAATTAAACGCTTCTATCGCATTTATGATTATCAAATTAATTTTTCTACTGCCGCTACTAATTATGAAAAGAACGATATAATAACAATAATTAAGTGCCGCTAAACGGAAAGATCAATCAGTTTAATTAAGAACCGTTTTAATCTTAATCTGAAGGGAACAAACTTGTTGTATAATTGTTTGACGATTTTCATCAATCCTCGCGCTTGGGTAACGTTGAAGAGCGTTAAATCCGAAATGGAACTCTGCAGAAATTTCATTATATCCCGGCTAATCTGCTCGGCCCGCGATTTCGAGATGTTCATCAGTGCTACATCTCCACCATTATCTGGATCGTCGTGTTTCTCATGATAAGTCTGCTGCTGCTGAAACTCAAGCGCGGATAAGGATAAATTCCCTCGCGTCCAATCTCTATCTGGTGCACAGTGCTTTGCGAGTATTGTGTAAAGCATAGATAGAGGAATGCTAAATGAAAAAGGAAGTGTGTTCTCGGAGGAGAGAAACGAGTGCAGTGGCAAACGAGCGTCTGACCAACGGACGAGACGATCAGGATTGAATCTTCGCGTCCAGAATCTTTGATCGAGAGTTTTTATCTTCGTCAGAAGATAAAAAGAACGTCAGCGAGAAACTTCTTTAGTTTTGCTGTATTAATAAATTTTTTCCACTAAAAAAATAGTACGTTTTGAACGTGTCTCGTTTTTATTTAAGCGTTATCATATTTCATTGACAAATACTCTTTAATAATAATTAGTAAAAGTTTGTAATCGAATTTGATATTGTGCCTATTAAACGGTATATTTAGTCTATTCTTAAATTGTATAAACATATTTTAATATTGCATATTTAATAATTATTAGTCACGACTTAATGACATAAATTAAAATAATTAAATCTTATGAATGAGTAGTGATTTAACGATGAGTGAACGCCGCATGATTTTTAACTGTATCGTTACGAGGAAAATCGGCGATAATAACTATTAGAGTGTGGAAAATCGTGAGATTTTACAGTTTTATTTTAATCGACTGGTTCAAGATTCTTTATTTTTTTGACAACATAAAAATAAATTAATAAAGATTTATAGCTTAAGCAGCGCGACACTAGTTACACGTAGTTTGCCTCAATGCATCCTGAGAAAGTTGGAATCACATGGGACCCATTGAGCAGAAGAGCTCATTGTAAAATCTCAAGAACTTCCGCACTTTAGTAACGCTATGCAATATAATTTTTATAACATCTGATATTTTTAATGCTTTCTAGATATATTTTACGCTGAATTTAAAAATGTAAAATAAATTGGATATCTAAAATTGAAGAAAAGTAAGCAATTTAAAGAGCATTCGTAAGAGAACTATAATGTATGTATAAGAATATATACTTATAGAAAATATATAACTTTCCTGTATTGGATATAATTATGCAAAGCAGAAAAAAATTATATAAAAAAATTTAAATTTATTAATTATATTTATTATGTATGTCTCTATTAATTATAAAATATAGATTTTTAAGTTTTAATAATTAAAATAATTTAACTGTCTCACGTAGACTAACAAATTATTTTAAAAAAAAAAATTATAATTTCGCACTAACATCCCGCGACGGCTCTCTATGCCTTTCTATTATATTAATTGATTGTTATCATTTGAGCCTTTCCTTTATATGTGAAATAATTTTATTGTTAATTAATCAAGGAAAGAATTTTTCAGATTAATTTGTTAAATTTAGAGATGTCTGTGGCATTTGAAAACCGCAATCAATATTTCCAATTTCCAACATTACACTTCCGTTGTTTTTCGAAAATAAATGACGATAATTTGTTTGAATTTTCGCAATTGTCCATTTTTAAATAAGAATTAGAAAGATCTCTTGGAATTGGATAGAGATACAAAAGACGTTTCAAGTAAAAGGAGAGCAGGAAGAGGAGTAATAAAAAGAGTAATCAGTTTGATCCTGTGGTGATCTCTGAAAGTCTCGCAAAGGTCAGCTCGAATTTTTTAAATATAAATTTTCAAATTTTATTACAGATTCTCATAGCTTTCTTTTGCACTTCTACCCAATTCTGAAATATTTTAGGTGCCCACTTAAAACGAGACATTTTGTTTCCGTGTATGCATGTGTATGTGTGTGAGTGTGTGAGACAAATTAATTTCAACATATGCACACATGCGGACTAATTTCGAAAGACCAGGAGAAATGGAGGAAGGACCGACAGTGTCTGTAGTGACGTCCCCATCCCCACAAGAGAACTCTACAATAAATTATTTTAATTTTCATGTTGTAACGGTATATAGATGTAACGTGTAATTATAATCTTGTATATCGAGTAAACGCTACAATACAAAGCTAAAACCAATACATAATAGCCCATATAGCCCACGGCCAAATAGCCTATGGTTATTAACATTCTCGCTGTCCTCGTTATTATTAACATTATTATGATTATTATTTAATCGTGCATCTATCTCAATTAGATATACACACATATATATACACATATGTATTATGTATATATATATACATGTATACATACGCATACATACATACATTATCGAGAAACGCGGTAGAACGTCCACATCCTTATACTTATAAGGTAACCATTTTCTTTTATGTATGGCTAGACCAATAGCGGAACTTGTTACAAATATTCTATAAAATATAACATTCGTTATGAAAACATATGAAAAGATAACAAAAATATGTCGCTCGTAACAAGAAACAAATAGATTGATAGATGAAACCTGTATCCTTTTTTGAGAAAAAATACATTTTACAATTACAAGGGACTTGTATTTTTATAAAATTCTTTTTCTCATTAAATAAAGAAGAAAAAAAACTTATTTAAAATTGTAAGACTTAAAAGAAAACAAAATGATAAACACATAGACTAATATTTTTACATCCTTTAAATTTGCTACCGCTCTAACAATAAGTATATCATCAATCGGACGCTACCATGCGCGATGTGTATGAATTCTTACGATAGCATTATTAGAACTTGATATGGCATATTTAACTTTTCTCTCGAGTTGCTAAAACTAAACTTGCACCCGTTACATATATATGTATATATATATATAATGGAACGATCAAGCAACTATCAAGTACAGTGGTCATCGAAAAATTGTGTTGTAACTTCTGAAAGAATTCATGACTAACATATATATTTACAAAAAGGTCGATGCATCATTCAGGCAAAAAAGAAACATGTACAAACTTTGATCATTCGCGACGAAGTTGCACTATGTATATATGAAAATATATGAAAGTATATCAAAGTATTACTTGTGGTTTGAAAAACTTTTTTCGGAAACAAGTAAGTTATATTTCGTGCAAAAACATCAATAAATCGTTACTTTCGAAATGTTGTATGCAGATTTTCGGCTAATATTAAAATTTTACTACGTGGTATTAAACGCAACGCTGCTTATTGTTTAGATTCCTTTCAAATTTCCGCGTCTTTTTTGTATTTGTATTTCGTATAAATTATAATTTCTCACGCAGATGTTCCACGGCACCCAAAAATATTGGATTCTGCTCTTTCGATTGTTTAACGATAAGGTAAATGTCTCAGTGTCCAAACATTTAAGAATTAATCATTACTATATTTTTTTTATTAAAATAATATTTAAAAAAATCTTTTTATACACATAAAAATTAAAATTTACTTAGTAAAGATAAAACAAAAATTACAATTATTAATTTATAATTGTTTAAATATATACAAAAGAACAAGCAAAAGAAATATTTTAAATAAAAGATCCAGAAATTTATTTTTAAAACTGATCAAAAATGCTTCCCTTTAGTGCTATAAAATATTACTTGTTCTTAATAAAATCAAACAATGATAAATCAGACGATAAGAACTAGAAGCGCATTGTCGAAGTGCAAGAATTATAAAATACAAAAAAAAAAGACAAAGAAATTTTTAATTGTGTAAAAAGTACGTGAATTTAACCACTTATTTTTATATTTTCCATGTAATTTAAACCTATTTTATATTATTTCTCAAGTCTTGCACTTCGACAATCGCGCTTCTGATTCTTCTTTATCATTATTCCGTTTTGAAGAACGATATTCCAGAGTCTTAGTAAAAGCGTTAAGAATCAATCTACATTGTGTCACATGATATAATCTCAGTTTATTGTATTAATTATTATATAATTAAATATTACACAACAATTCTTAATTTTTTTTATATATAAACTCTACTTACTTTATATTTATAAATATTAAATAATAACGTGTTTAGTTTAATATATGGTCGGAAATGAAGCATGCTCAGCCACTGGGACATTTACTTTACTGCGAATTGTATCGTGACTATCGTGGATAGGCCTATTCGCGATATTTATAATTAAAAAACGATAACAATATTTGCAGGTATAATTCGCGATATAATGTATTTTATGTATATGCATATGCACAATATTATATATTATACATACATACATACATACATGTATTATGTTGCGCGCTACACAGTTGCATGCACATGCACACGTCTGTCGCACATCATTAGCGACGATGGATGACAGTTAGTAGAAAATTGCGTAATTACACGCAAAGCGTACACACCGAAAGTTTCGAGCTAACTCAAAAGCCCTACCTCGTATCTCGTATCACATTGTTGATCAAATTTACGACAGAACTCAGATTGTGTTTAGCCAAACATCGTGAAAAGTTGGCCGGTCAAAAGTCATCTCGTGTTTCAAATGCACACTTCGCTGAATTAATTACTTTTTTGCTTTATTGTAATAATTTTTGTGCGCAAATAGAAACTTTTGGAAATGGTGGTAGGAAAAAAATACAGAGATTGAACAATGTTGGAAACAGTTGAACAACAATGTATTATTATCTTAACAGTGGGCTCGGAACTCTAGTATGTGTTCAGCTTAAAGTGTTACGCGCGACTATACGCGATTCGAGCGCAATATTATACATTTTCTACTTTCGGAAATCGAATAGCATACATGGTCTATCGATCAAGGTATCTTGATCGTTTAAATCATAAATCATTAAATAAAATTAGCAATACATTATACAATCGATATACTATCTATATAATATACAATCAATGAAAATTCTTCCAAAAAACCGAGTCGACATTTATTTCTTATTTTTAATCTCAACTTTTTTACATTTATGACTTTTAAAAGAAATAGATCAATTTATGTGAAAATTAAACTTCTACTTTGCGTCTCAAATAACAAGCGAACAATTTTTCAGTTCAAAAGTTTTAAAAAAGTGAGTTCTCCGAAGTTAAGAAAACTTTAGAAATGTCAAAGTAGGAGCAACATTCAAACTCAAGTGGAATAATAATTTTTTCAAAGTTTTACAAGCTGTAGTAAAATTGGAAGAGATTGAGTGTTCAAAGTATTAAAACAAATGTTAAAGTTCAAATATTCAAAGATTAAAGTTGAAAATAGGAGAAAAATTTCGACTCGAGGAATTATCATAAATCTGCATTCGATATCCGAGTCCATTGGAGTCGCATGAAAATGTTTCACACACATATATATATAACAAGATATAATCATAAAATAATTAACGGATAATATGATAAAATATAACAATGAAATATAAATTATATGCAGTTTTGTATAACAAGCTGTTGTAACTTTGTTGTGTACATTATTAGCGTATCATCAAATTACAAGTTTGCGCCTTTTTATCGAATGTAAAGAAATATTTTTGCTAATATTGCAGTTCAAAAGGCTTCAGACGTGTATACATTTGAAAAATCAACGATAATTCTTCGCCACGTACTGGTTTCACTATATCGCATCGCGAGTTCTTCGTACAAATGGCGCATAATCCGAAAGTAACACGCAAGTATATTACATATTTAAGCATTGTACGAAAATATGCGGTCTTACTCGGATCGATACGGAAACATCCATTGTCTCTGAACGACGTTTATGCACATTCCAGAGTTACGCTTCGATCTTTCAAATGTACGACGCACAATTCTTTCTCCAAAGTAATGCGAGAATACGGTATACGATACTCCAATGCTAACATTCAATTAAAGAACTTGGAAAAGAGAAAATGCAAGAAAGAAATGTACGAAAATCAAGATATACACTGACGCAAGAAAAGTTGAGCAATGCAAAAATTCTAAAACTTCGAACTCTTTCGAATTTTTGGATTGCCAAATCGTGTCCTATATAAAAATGATTTTTTTCACAAATTTCTTCGTCGATTCAATGCTAATTTATTACGAGTTATAATTTTTACCTTTGTAAAGCATTCGCCTTGTTACATATCGCAATCTATATTTCGAGATATCTTCGTGGAAATTCGATTATGTCATCATCCATCATTACCATTCCATTACACGGACGCAACTGTTGACGCCGCCCCCGCCGCATACTTCTTCTCTCGGAAGAAAGTTACTCTGTTACTTCTACGGACGATAACAACTGAAATTGTTTATATGTATATCTTTTGTGTGCAACATGAACGACGCATTTAGAAAGTTTATTATAGAAATCTGCGCCGAGATCAGCCAAACAAAGTTGGAAGCGTATCTGCGAGACTACCTAATAACGTAGATATTTTTTTCAACGGGGTGTGAATATTTTTTCTTTCGCGAATCCTCAACGTCTTTTTTCATTTTTGCTCGATCGATATCTCAAAAAGGACGCGTTACTTGAAATTCATTCAATGTTACATCTACAGAGAGAAGTATATTAGATATATATATATACAAGACACTACACTCTCCACATGGGAACATATTATTTTAATGTTAAATCCTTCATGGTTTGGTATTTTTATATTGTGTAGTTAATTATAGATTATTAATATCTATTAAGTATCCATTTGTTTTTTTATCTCTTTCTTTGGTATGTATTCTTTCTCTTTTTTTTCTCTCTCTTTCTCTCTCTCACCCCTATTCTCTACATTCATTTATCTTTCTTCTTTCCGTCCGCTTTTCTCTCAATTATCCTGCAAAAAGAGAATCGCTTTCAGGAAATTCTTATTAAAGAGAGATAAGCAAGATAAAACAAAGATACCTCGGAATTTCAATTAAATTCTCAATCTATTAATGTGTTAAAAGTCGATTGCGAATTAATTGAAGAGTTCGTTGTTAGAAATAAAATCGAATGTTCCGAAATATCCTGCACACCTTGTCAAATCCGATTGACACGAAACGTACCTTAAACTGGAAAGTCAACGTTCTTAATCTTTCTTATCTCCGTCTTCAGGATCCTTCAGCGTGTGCCATTGAGCAATTGGGCGCCTTGGAGACGCCAACATGTCGGACCAATGTCTCAATTCCGTTCCGCTTGCATTATATCCCAGCACCACCTTTCCGATCGGTTCTGATGTTCCAATACGATCGTAATCTACTACAGTGACGACAAGTTGTACTTTCTGAAAAACCACAGAGAAATCACAAATGTTATCAGACCTTCGAGTCGTGTTTTTGAAAATTCTAAATAATTTTCTTCGAGTCATTTTCGTGTAGAGCTTTTTTATAATAAAATATATTTCTTTCCGTACCTGTATCTGCTCAAAGGGTACCTCGAAGGTGAATGATTCGTTGTAATACGGATTAAGGGTGCACTTCTTGATCGACGTTTTCTTCTTCTTCAATCTCTTTCCATTCTGCATCAATGCGATTTTAACGTAAGGATCTGAAAGGCCACCGACGTCCATCTTTTTCAGATTCTTGGCTTCCAGAATGACTACCGTGAGCTTTCCAGCCGTTGGGACGTATCTCAATGAAAAGCATATATCTCCCAGTTTGTTATCCTGCAAATTGATCAAATAATCTTATTGAAAATTAAGCAAACAATTGAACGCTGACGCGAGCCAATAAAACAGTTATTTTTACACAAGTGTATTTGTTCTTTCCAATAATGTAATACAGAGAGCTTTGCACCTGAGATCAAATTTTAAAGGCTGGAACTACTTTCCTGCGTAATACAAAAAAAAATAAAAAAACGAAGGCTTTGTTTAAAATAAGAATTTTGATTAAAAAGATCTTTCAAGGCGACATTTTAATTCCATTAAAGTATTAAAGGGATTGATTTCTTAGATCCTTCTTTACTACTTTCTTGACTTATCTTTTATTTTTTTATGCTCGATATATACTGATTAAATTCTCAACGGTAGTTATCTCAGCGATTAAATTAGTTTGCAAAGCAAAATACAAGTTCATCGATTTAATGTCGCATTCTATTTTTAGTTGTTTGTTAACTGATCGACTAACCTGTCCGCCCTCGCCCTCGACACTCTGTAATTCCCTCCATTCCTCAATCGTTTGCGCTAAGTCGATTTGGCACAGTGGCACCTTAACTTCGCCAATTTGATCGTGTTTCGAAAATCTATCGAAATCGAAAATGGCGAAGACCAGAGTCTTATTCATGGCATCGGCATACGGGACGCTCTGTACAAACGTGTTCATGAAACAGCAATATCATAGTGAATTATACTTCATTCAGATTTAGGATATAAAGAAGTTTTCGCAAATCGAATATTGCAAATGTAAAAATTATAAGTTATTTTCTACCAGAGAAATGATTGCGGAGGATCGCATTTTGAGGAAATTATCCAATAACTAATAATAGTTATTGATAAAACTGACCTTAAATGTGAACGTTTCGTTGAAGACTGGATTGAGTGTCTTTCTATGAACCTTCGTCTCGAATTTTTTCTTCTTGTCCGGTAATAAATACACTTTGACGTATGGATCTGACGTGCCGCCCATGTCCAGCGCTGGTAACTCTTCCGCTTGTATTACTGTCACAGCGAGACTGTTCGAGTTGAAGTCGTATTCGAGCTGAAATCAAACGCTTGCTATTTTCTCAACTGTGCAAAGATAATAAAATTAAAATCAATCTGTTATAAATTGTATAATTTTTTCACACGATTTAGCTTATTGCATTAATTATTATGTAATTAAATATTACATAATAATTCTTAATCTTTTTAGGGATAAATTTATTTCTGGATTTTATGCTTCCAAATATTAAATAATAACTCTTTTTGTTACACTTAGAATGAATAACAATATGTACCTTGTATTGCAGTTTTCCGAGTTTAACTTCGCTCTGCTTGCTCTCGGCCTCGTCCGGTTCCTCGGCATTGTCCGTCAGTTCTTCCATATCCGGCTGGACCTTCGCATATCGAAGTGGATTCCACGAGTGTAGAATGTATCTCTACGATCTACATGAAGTCACGGCACACTGTATACATACCTTGTCTTTGTACGTGCTCCCTAAAAGCTGCACGGACTTTAAGTCCACCGCGCCCTTTAGACCCTTTTTGCCATCTTTGGAACGTCTTTTGCGACAACATCTTCGTATACAGCAGAAGCAGATTCCAAGAATGATTATGCCTAGACCTGTGCAGAAGAAACACGCGTTCGGATTTGAATTGATTAATATTTTGACAATTACACGTTCAGATATACATTTCGAGTAACATTTAATTAAAATTTGTTAAAATTCTGAAGAGAATTGATTGCAGCGCGCAGCAATTATTTCAAATGTAAATAAGTTGTTTCATTATAACAAAGAAGCATCTTTCCGCCTCAATAAAGATTAATTGTCCTCCATCTGTTAAATATAGAAGTTGATTTATTGAAGAATGTGCGCCTCATTACCTATTAAAATAGCAATAAGCCCCCATTGCGGTATTCCTGTTTCTTGCTCGATGCCTTTCCCGATTTTTTCAAGCTTTTCTTCAATGGACGACTTTATTACGCCTTCGGTCACGCTTTCTTCCGTTCCTATAAATAATAATAACAGGCTTGAACTAACATTTCACAAAAGAAAAAATTATTACATGCAATATGAGTGTGTCTGCATCCAAAATATGCAGCCAATTTGACGCGCAATAGCAATTAAATTGAAATTTGGCAATAATAAAAAGTTGAAATTCAGATTTTTCAATCGTTACTGTTGGAAAAAAACAATTTATAGCACTTACCAGTTTTATCTCCGGTTTCTGTACTGAAAATTGGTTCGCCCTCAGTAACAACTGCGCTGACACCGACTTCCTGGACACCGACGTCTCTCTTGGATGGCGGCATTTTGTTTTCTGCATCAGACGAGAACATATTATTACAAATGCACGTTTCTCACAATAGCCTTTACAAACAATAATTTATCTCCAACAATAATTTTTCCTTCCAATAAATTTAATAGTTTCGGAAGTGATTTCGAAGTTTTGTCTTATCTGTCGCAAAGTAGATTGCTTTAATAAACGCAAGAACGTAATATACTACGACGAATAATAACACTGAAAATAGAGTATGATGCATGCGACTGATATCAAATATCGTCGGAAATTCGTAATCTATGGGAGCATTGCACGGCGGTCAAAGCCGCATGCGTATCTCGAGAACTCTGTGCACGGAACGAGAATTATTCAACGGGCATGCAATGCATCGCGGATATGGATACCATTTATCGCGCGGAAAGTAGAAAATAGCACTTTTTACGGTATAAAGAAGCGGCGCGCCGACACCTCACAAACGCTAACACCTCACAATGATATTGGATTTAACGCAACAAGGCTCTTTCAAAGAAAAATTATTTGAGGAACGTGACCTTGTGTTCGGCCCTTTTTAAGCGGAGTCCCCGATTAATTTCCATGATCAAAGTTTCCTCGGCGCGGCACTCGCGAGATTAGTGCGCGTAATTTCAGCAAAATCTCGACGACGGCGCACGAGTTCTGTCGCTCTAGCACTTCGACTCCCATTGACGCGAGGCGATAGAAAATAACAGAGAAGTCAGTGACAGGGAACAATGCAAAAAGGTTGTCGCGACGAGGCTGAAGGGGGATGAGCGTGATATAAAGGCGAAACGTTGTCGCGCGCCCGACGATATATTTTATCGAGTATCGCGTGGGAGTTTGTCCGCATCAATCCATAACTGAACGACGGGGTGCAATACACATTAACAAGAGTTCACAAGTTGTTACGTAGATGAGCATAATTATGAATGGAATGATAAAAAAAAAGTATTAAATATAAAAACTCGGAAAATAATGTCTTATCTTTCTAAAACATTGCATTTTCTAATCCATAGCAGTTCACCTTTTATTTTTATCGAAAAATTCGGAGGGATTTTCTGATCAACTCAATACAAGCATATATACTTAACGGAATTTCAAAGTTATTTTTTTCAAAAATAAAGTCTCTAAGTCAAAAGCAAATTATTTCAAAGTTTTAAAGAGGCATCAATTTGTGCAACGACTCGTGAATCTTTATAAAGATTCGTTTATCTTCAGCTTGCTTGTATTTAGATGTAAATGCTTATATAACGGTACAAAATTATTTTTAGTGTAAAAAATCAATCGCGTACTATGTTCGAATTGATGTGCAGCAAAAAATTCCAATTTTCCTTCTTACTCATTTTACAATTTTGAAATCAAACTAAAATCAACTTTTAATCAAATATTAAATTAGCTATTCTCACGAGAATTTTTTATTATAAATAAAGTATTTTTTATTTTATATTTAAAGGATATATATATATATTTTCTTAACACATAAAGCTTTTTTATAAAAGTGTGAATAGCGGCCACGCTCTCTCCTATCAATATTTGCCTAATTAAAATAATCGAAGATCTGTTTCGTGTTCTGTTTATGAATTAGAAACGATTGATCATCAGGCGCGGTAGAAACCCTATGTTCATTTTCCATAATTAGGCGAGCAAGTCTCGCTGTGCATTCATTAGTGTGTCCAGTCATGTTTAAGCAATTTCATAGATATGCGCGTGTGCGTAAATAAGTACATTTAAAGCGCGAATCAATATAACTTGATATTGATAAGTAGACTGGCTGAATAATATCGTTCGCGGTCATCTCACGTTTCTAATAAAATTTATTTCAATTATTCCGACGAGATATTATATATGCAATGCATATTAGATTATAGCGAAAGATTATTCGAATTTTCTTGAGAGATAATGAAAATGATTTTCTACCCAATAAAAAATTCAATTCTTCTAAAAGTAAGATTTAAATATTCAGTAAAAATATTTTTCAGCGAATCGACGAATTCCATGGCTCAAGAAAAATATTAACAAGAAGGTAAAATTATCGATACATTAATGAAGCCTAAACTTTAGATTCAAGGAGTTTCCGATACATCAATACACACACACACACTCACACTCAAACTCTCACACACACACGCACACAACACGCGCACACACACATACATATATATATATTGACATATTTCTTGAACTGTTTTATAATTATATTACACAAATATAAAGTTTTATATTTATAAAATTCATATTTTTTAAAGAGTTGTATAAATGTTGACTCATAAATTTATTAAATACATATAAATCAATGTTTTTTTGTTAATTTTAAGAAAAAGGGTTTTCTCCTCAGTAATTAACTTTGAATTTCCGAAAATGTAGATCTGTGTGTTAGACGAGCAATAAGCAATAATATATTTTCGATATTTTAATAAATGGAGAATTGTGTTTTTGTAGTGTGCCTTAGCGCAATTCCAAAACTTATATGGCTAATTTTGTAAATAATTAACATGAGACTGCAGAAACATCTAAATTATTCTAGAAATATTAGAAGGCAATAAAAATGAGAAGTCAATGGTACCTTTTCTCTCTTAAATAACGATCATTCGATTATCGACTGGCCTACACCCTTTTCAAGGACGATTTTACAACGAACATTCTTAGAGCGTCTCCAGTGCCTTTTTCATGAATAAACGTCCCAATGGCAGCTGTAGAATGAGTGAAAATGCTAATCAGAAAGGAAGGGGATGTTTTCTCCATCACAAATGCAATAATCACAGCACTAATACTTTTCAATTTTCGTATATGTAGAAGAAAAATTTACAAATTTCTGCAACATAATTATATATATGCATATATATGTGCAGTAGAATTTTATAAATTTTTAAATTTGTTCAAAAATTATTTAACATTAATAATAAATACAGAATAAAATGTGTTTCGGATTTACAATAAATTTCTCGCACTGGATTTCTCTGTCTTATCTCACGCGAACCATCGCGCTATTTTTACTAATACTAATAATAATCAATTCTGTTAAGAATCTAATAATAAGAAGCCGCCCTAGAATCCGAGCAAATTCCTGTATTTATCTATTGTCACTTACGACGGCTCCTGCATGTAATTTTTCTCCCTTCCTGATTAATATACCAGCTTAAGAAGATTTATCGATTACTGGTTTATCCAATCCGTCGTGATTTCTGCCGTGTCGGGTGAAAGCGATAAGAGATCGCACGTAAGGTTGCACAATTCCTAATTAACAGAAGCCACATTTCGAGACGGCGACGCGAAAGAAAGGAACCGGAACTTGAGAATCGACTGGCAACTCGCACCCTCGAAACGAGCAGGAGGAAGCAATTAATTCTTTTCGGCGAAAATGTTTACGGTTCGCTCTTCGAAATGTGTGTCACCCTCGGTCACCCTCTCTCGTTGAACCGAAAACGAAACATAATGGTAATCGTTAAGGACTCGTTTCCCGACTGAGTCGAATCGAATGCGGTTCGATTATTTTTCTTCCCAGGAGGTAATCAATTTTCGATTTTACGTCCGCCACGGGAAATTTCGATAAGACGAACAGATGGATCGTTGTTTCGCCGGAAAAAAGTACTTACGGAAGCTGCTGACTAACTCTCTTGCACTCTCTTTTCTCTCCTCGAGCTATTTCCTCCCCTGGGCGTTACTCGGCGGCGGCCTCGACTCGGCTGTAACTACTTGCGGATTCGCGTGTGTATTGCGTATCGCGCGACAATAAGGAAATGCAATGTGCGGGAGTGGATTACCACTTGCGCTCGTTTTATAGGCACATCGCGCGCTGTGCGTCGTCCGCGAGGACGATGACGATAGACGACGGCCGAAAGAGACAAGAATCTATCCTGCCGTACACCACGACGGTCTCTCGTCGACGACGACGACGACGATGGATCGAGCCGAGTGCGCCTGACCGGTGGTTACGAACGCGAACATGGCCGTCGACGGTAAATCGATAAAACACGGTACGTTTCCCGGCGGCGCGTTTTCGACGCGCCGCTACTCGGAGCCGACGCTCTGCGTCGTTCTCTCGGCACCGTCGCTCCCACCCCATCGCCCCCGCATGCGAACAGCGCGATGGCGACTACGATATCGGGGATTGACTACCGATCGACGTCATCAGACGCGCGAATGTTCGATATGAAGAGGAGTTCCCTTCTTCCAAGATATGTCACCGTCATTTCCACGGTGACGATAACGGTTATCGATGACGTTGGTCCATCTGTGTCTGTCTGTGATCTTAATCGGCGATTTCAGTTTATTAGCTCTTTATCATAGCGCAATCGGTTGGTATAACGAAGCGGAAACAACATCTGCAAAATGTCTAAAAAATTCGGACCATCCCTTTGTCACTTAAATATTTCTTTGTCTTTGACGCATTATGAGCTAAAGCTCTTACTCAGTGCAGCAAGATAATATTATTTCTGACATAGCTATTCTAATTATAATTTTTGACATAGCTGCTTCTAAATATAATTATATTTGATACAAACATGTAACCATGAAAGATATTCGCATAACTATTTTATTTTCGTACTTATTTTTATTCGGCAAGATCATATTTTGGAGAAAAATAAACTTGAAAAGGTTATTTCATTTTAATTTCTTTTATACGTATATCAAGTAGGTTCAAGCATTCGTCTGACATTACCTTATAAAGGTTTAAAATCAATTTGTATCTGATAAAATTCGATGATATTTACTTGTTTGTGCGTCAAGTGCAATCATTCGAAAGAGAACTTTATTTTGTTTGTTAAAAAGTACGCTGTATTGAAATAGCGATCTTTTGACGGCGATGAGGAAAGATATCAACCACGAGTTAACGCTAGTACAGTGTAAAGCTTCGCATGCGCAAAAGTGATTCTTCCAAGAGATGGAAAGAATGATTGGAAGGAAATCGATTGGTAATTTTATTCCATTCATACAACTGAATATAGGACTGCTATATAAAGCTTTATAACTGCTATATATAAATCTCTTTGCGAGAGCTCATTTGCCTTAGCAAAGAAGAACTAGTGAAGTATTTGTCTACTTTTACATTATAAGCTTGTATCGCATATTCTCATCGAAGAAATATATCTAAATAACTACCTTTCACTAATTTCGCGAAAATCACGTTCGAAAGCGGAATCGAAAAACTAAAATCACCGAAAAATTGAAATATCTCACAAACGAAAGCAGATAGGATCTCTTCGAAAGGTGAAAAGCACTCAAGATTAGATTAGATTCTTTTGGAAAGCATACAAGATTACTCTAAGATCCTTTTAGTATAGAATTGAATGGAAAAGTGATAAATTTTTTATACCAATCTTGTCAATGCTTTATGATAAATCTTTTATTTAAAAATATCAATTTTGTTGTTTTTTTTTTTTTTGCAATTGTTCGTTTGTAAAAACTAATTATGCTTTGAAAAACCATCGAACTTATGTAGCTGACCTTTGACATTATCGACTTAACATAAGTCGGTAAAGCAAAAAGTTACATGATCTTCAGTCAGTACATAGTTTTATTATCAATAGCAAATAATGTTGATACATAATCGCGAGAGGTCGCACAAAATATTTTTGTGAGGTTTCGACTAATTTGGTGTAGAGGCGTATCAATCAATCGAGTGTCTCGCCCCAATGGTTCCCCCAAGTTCTACCAAGCTATAAAATATTTGTAATTTGTAATTGAAACGTGCTTCAATTCATCGCTTTGATAATGAATTTGACACGGCCGCCGTCAGTCTTATCATTCATTTTGTATACAATCTCACATGACTCGCGTCTTTGTTGTCATGGTGAAACGGTGTAGCTGCATCAACGAGTGGAAATATGCTGTCGGCGATGGGATAAACAGTGATCACAGTCATTAAAAGAAGGGTCCTATGTCATTTTGGCTATGTATTTGATGCACACATCTGATCGTTGATGTACAGCGATAATTTGCTAATACGCGAGACGCGATACGCGGTGGCTCGTTTTACATCTAGTACGTTGAATACAATCGTCATGTTATTCTACACTTGATTTTACTCTTTGTTTACTTCAGTAACGTCAAATTATAATTAATAATATTGTCGATTTAGCGCAAGAAGTCACCAATTAATATGCAATCACTTTTCCAAAAATAAAATTCTTTCAAATGAAATTTGCAACAAAAAGATGATGTAATATTGATATTTGTATCATTTTGTTTTGTTGTAATACTTTAATTATAATATCAATTTTTATTGTATTCATGTATATAGCTTTAATAAATAATAAATTTTGTATTGATTACATAATAAAATGATGACATTGTAAAGTGTGATAAAATTATTAAGTATTAATTTGTGACTTTTTGCAAGATAAGGAGTAAAAACATTAGTATTGTTTTGTAGCAAGTCTTTCTAATTTTAATTTGTATAACAATTTGTAAATTTTAGAAATTGTTTTGATTTTGTTTAGATGAATAATGGGTTGTGTCAATAGCCGGACAGACATAACCGATTTATATCCAAATGTCTTTCAAGTGATGAATATAGATGATGACGGAAATATCGTTTCTCCTGGCCGTTTAGAAGTCACTGATACAGACATTATATTATACCAGCGCAGCAAGCCGCCAATAAAATGGCCGTTGCGCTGTTTAAGGCGATATGGATTTGATATAGATGGGCTTTTCAGTTTTGAGTCTGGTAGACGGTGCTCTACAGGCGCTGGAATATACGCTTTTAGATGTCTGAAGGCCGAAGATTTGTTTAATCTTGTACAAACAAAAATTCAGGTTTACATTAAAATATATATTTCACATTGCGCTGATCTTTTCTACTATTTGAATATTTAACTGAATATTATTACTTTATTGATAGGTGCGCAATAACGCTGGCGATAACCCGCTGTCAACAGATCTTCCAGTTGCATCACATCCTATTGCAGCAGCGATACCATCAGAGCCTAATTATTTGGATCCAACACCCAGAAGTAATATTTGCGCGGTATCTAGATTTATTCATAATCAGAATGGTATTGGAAGATTGAACAGTGTCGGAAGCAGTAATGGTCCTATTTCACCCCAAGAAACCATAGGATCACCACCAGCTACGATGCCACCACCACCACCAATTTCTCAATCTCATCCGTCCTTTCAATATGTCAATGAAGAATTTTTGTCATCTGCGGCCATGGAAATGGAACGTAACAATAACAAGAGTCTTATAAGCACAACGCAGAGGTAGCATATCGATTCGTTGAATCAATCGAATAAAACATGTCGGATATTGCATAATTTGTTTTTCTCATTATTGCAGATCGCCACAAACCGATAACACGATATCTAACGATGAACTCTTGACGGACATGGAATTGATATCTATTCAGCGTGGTACAGATGTCACCAGCTGTGACTCAGCTTTGCTGACTGCGCCGTCTTATGTGAACATAGATATCCACGGTGATGACCTTCCATTTCGCCAAGGCACAACTTGCGAGACGACGCAACTCAAGAAGGAAATAACGACGCAGGTGGTCCTGAACACGCATACGAGAACATAAGTCCCGGACAAGAGCATTTGGAGCATGTTGCCGTTAGAGTACGTCCGCCTCCGATACCTATCTTGCCGCCGGACGTGGACGAAGGCTCCAGGCATTGCTATGTTAATCTGGAAACGAATGAAATCGAAAAGAAGAGATTCTCCGGCACTTCGGTGATCGAGCGATCGCCCTTGGCGCCTTCCACGCCAACGGGATGCTCGATTAAGGAGATGTATTATGCGGATTTGGATTTGAAGCAGAAAGAACCACTTCCTGCTTCGGAGGAAGCGACGGAGGAAGCGGTGGAGGAAACGGCAGAGGAAGCGCCATCTCCGAACAAGCTGAAAGAATTTTACGCAAAAATAGACTTTAACAAAACGATCGCTGTCCAAAACTGTGTCAATCCCGATCTCGAGAACGATGACGAAGGCTTCAGGAAGACTCGTCACAACTCCACAAACGATCAGGTCTAAATGAACCTGACAACAGGCACAATTCATCAGTAAGTGAGTGACATTTTATATTTCATACAAAAAAAATTCTCATAACGGCTATCTGTTATTTGCAGTAGAAAAAAAGTTGGGAAGGATCGATTTAGTTTCACTATGAGCCTCTGAAATCATTGAAATAATTTGATTAAACGTTAAATATCCGATGTTTCTTAACACATTGGAAGCTATAGTAGTCGATATACCATGAAATATTCCAGTGTGCAGTCTCTAAACATGGATTTATATGTATTTTCAGTGCATTTTATCAGAGCAACCAGTATTCATAAATAATAAGTCTGTTTTTCAAGTGGAAATAAGGCATTATAGAGAAAATGTTTTTTATATGACAAGTGCATAGATAAGTTTGTAGTATTTCATGCAGACAGATTTTTTACATTTAGCATTTTGGAGGAATTGGAAGCTAAAATGCCCCAATCTTTTTTCTGTAAATATTGTAGAAATTAATACGGCTCAAGACATCGATTGTAACGAATACAAAAAATAGTATGATAAAGGAAATATGATATACTATAAACTATCGCTGATAACAGAAAACGTAATGGCTAATTTTAAATAATTACTATCACCAATGATTTATCGTATCTGTGAAGCGCGAAGGCAACTAATAACAACAAAACAGTGTGAATTTAATATTACTAACAATAAGCCGTCATTTAAAATAAGATCATGAATAGCATATTCATATGAAATTTGATACATGTGATGTGAGTAACTAATAATATTCAAGACAATGTTGAAGTGATGCGGAAATCTGTTGATTTTCAAAGGTTATATATTTTCGCATTATAAGAGTTTTTTATATGAGCATTATTTAGCATTATATTATTAATCATTACTCGTGCACGAGAACGTAATGGATAATAATTTTATTAATGATTTTAATTGATTTGGGCAATATTTCCTTTCAATAGCTTTTAATCAGTAATAAAATTGTGATACAAGATGTAAAGAAGCACAAGTCTTTTTATGGACAAGCTCATGTTTACGTTAATTATATTCATAATTTGTTATAAAAAAATTTAACATTTAATCAATCGCATCACATATTTACATATTTTACGTTGCCAAAAATATATTTAAGAAACAGATATGATTAAATTAAGTAAGTCTAATCACAGTAACTATACCAGTCACACAAGATATACGCATAATATACGCATAATATATTGCATAAATGCAATTCCATTGGTGTGCAATGAAAGATATGTAGAACATATTACAGATACAATATTAGATTTTTTTTTTCACTCGTATCTTAGTTTTTGTTAGTAAAAGCTTAATCCTCTCTATTCCGATAAATTTAACATACGCTCGCGTAAGCTACAGAAATATTAAGTTTTTACTAGGAAACGCCTAACTTTTTTATAGAGTAGACAGAACATTTGTACGACTATTACATTTACTATTACATATCTTTTTGAACACGTTATGTTAGATTGCGTCTTGTATATTCTACCCCTGTAAAAGTTTCTTGAGTCACAGCGACAATAAGGAAATATTTAACATAACAGTAGCAGATAATCGAACATATAGAGTCCTAAAAAAATTGAAAATTTCAAGTAGATACATTATGTAATTGATTTTTCTAGGTTTTATACGCACATAGTGCTTATTTATATATATAAAGGAATAGATGTGTGCACACGCACACATGCATGTCTGTTTCCTCTTTGCTATTTTTTGTTTGTATGAAAAGTATGACTATTATTTATTATTATTACACACATTTTCGACAGCACGATTTTTTTACCTTTTGAAGTCTTCCGTTATATTTGTTTACCAATAATTAAAAAATAAATAATTAATAATTAATTAAGAAATAAATAATTTAAAAAAATGTTTTACCAAAGGCAAGCAGGAAATGCTTACAAAAAGTGTAATATTTTGTTTTTTTATTTTTTTAAATTTTTATTAATCGTAGAACAGAATTAGTATACATGTATGTTCAAAGTGATACGTATATCAAAGACAGGAATATAATGTTAAAAAAAGAAAATGTTAGAAAATATTCATCATCTTATGATATTAACGTATTCACTGCCATATATGCGTTGGCATATATACATAATCTTTAGAATATTTTCTGCAGTTTCTTGCTTAGAAAATAGTTGATTGATGTGAAAAAACAATATGCCAAATAATTGAAAGTTTACATGATATAATCTTCATATACGATGTATACTATAAGTATACTATAAGTCGACATTATTATGAATATCTTATTTATTATCTATTGCGTTAATATCATACTTTTAAAACTTTTATCATTTTTACTACTGGATACTTTCAAAACGTATAAATGAATATTATTAAAAGACTGAGCTGATCGGTAAAATAATACGTAGAAGATTAGTAAATGATAAAAGTAAAATCAATATAGTCAGAATATTTTATAAACTACACGAAAGATATATGTGAATTTTTTAATATTTTTGTATAATTTTAGACATTTGTTTTCATGCAACGAATAATAAACGAACGATTTTAATATTAACGTTAAACAATCTTTTATGATTTTCTGAATTCTGTAAATATTTTTTGCAGGCTCTAAACAGATATAAAATCAGCAAAATAGTTTAAAATTGGTAGTGAATAAGTTAATATAAGATTTCTTTGGCTTTAACATTCAACAATTTTACGTGAAAGAGAAATAAATTTGCCTTGAATAAAAGAAATCTCTGTTATACGATATTATCGGGAAAAAATTGGTTCTTTTTAATATGTTATTTAAATTCTCATATAACATATTCCCATTTTTAGTAAAAAAAAGCTCTGGATTATACACTTTACAGTAAATATCAAAGATTGATAAGATTTTTCTAAAATAAATTAAACGGTAAAGAAAAGTTCACAATTTAATTGTGACAAATTTCATTTTTATTTGAAGAATTATTTCTTCGATTAAATAGTTATTTAAATAATTAACTTTTATTTAGATAACTGCACTTTATTGTCGCTGCACTGTATCAAAATGATTATGTAGAATATTAAAATAAATAAAATCTTTTTTATCTCTCCTTATTGTTTTTTTAATTAAATTATTCTGTGAATTTTGTAATCATACTTTGTATACGCATAATTCGAAAAACGATGAACAATATGAATAGTAAATAAAAAACTTTTATTTTGGAATGAACACATTGGATAGAAATTTGTGGGAATAACGCCCACCTGAAAATTCTTGCAATATACGGCGTGCACATGGAAGATTGTAATATCTGTAAAAACCGAATTTGTTCACCTTTCAAAATTATCGCCAGTGCTCAATATCTTACATACATACATAAATGTATATGTATATGTTTAAAAATTACTCATTACAATGATTTATGCCTTAGAAAGAATATGCCTTAAAAAATGTATGGTTTAAGATATTTTAATTAGATTAGACAAAAAGCATATAAGCGAGCTCTTTTTTTGTTACAATAAGATTTTTAAAGTCATTCATCGAGGCGTATAAATAATTTCGATAATATAGTATACGTATATTGTTTTTTTTTTTTTACTGGAATTGTAATTAATGATTTAAACGTTGGGAATTTTTGCAAACTTAGAAACTATGATTAAAGACTGTTGTAATGAAAGAAAGTGTTATTGAAAGAAGTGAATGTATGTGATCAAATATTTTTATTTGTTCACTTATAGATCACTTGGTGAATAGGAATAGAATGTGCCAAAAGAAAAGAAGTATAAATCTGTTTTATAAGGAGGCTGGAAGGCTTTTTTTGTGCTACATGCAGATATTCTCAAAATGGACATGGTTGACAATCATATTTTTCAGCAAGAAAACAGAAATAGATATCGTATCAGTTGAACACAATTTATGGATGCTTGACATTTTTGCAATTTTCGACATAGTTCGCACTGATTTATACTTATTATTTTTGCCTGTAGTAATTACAATGTGCAATAATACTTTTGTTTTGACTTAATGATAAATTTTATTTGATGAATTAAATTGAATCAATTTAATCAATTAAATTTTCGAAAACTAAGACTAAAGAGAGAATTGTAATATAAAAACTTTTACAAAATTTTAACGTTAAAGTTTTAAGAATTATTAAAACTGACAATTATAATTTCGATACAGATTTTCGATTTTGCTTCACAGCTGCATTAGCTTGTGTATCGATTTGTATCAAATTTACAAAAAAAAAGCACTTGTATCGATACTGTGTTACGCTGATTGTGTTCTTTGCTGGAAAGTTCACGGAGTGTCACCATGTCAATCTTGAATGTGCAATATAGCAGGCTGTAATATAGACGTATACATCGAAGTAAATTTCTAGGCGAAATACACGCATAGATATTATGTATCACGATATCATACGCGCCTACTTTAATATTTAACCCATGTAATATTGTAAAAGTTTCTCATTGGTAGACCGCGAGAAATAAAAACTTGTCCGAGCGCTCAGTAGAACAGTCTTACTGTTCTTTCTTTATATTTTATACTATTATTCTTTTTATTCGGTACGCGCGATGTAACAAAATTTATGTAAGGAAAGACATTTATTTTCATACAATGTATTCTTTTCTTGACGTGAGTAAAATGTAGCGAATTACATTGTATATTGTATTGACCACTGTATGACATTTATTTCGTAATTCAACACAGCCTTCCACAAATATTATGTAATACTTTGAGAAAAATAGTTTAAAGCCTCCGTTTTTGCTTAACTGTACGTATAAACATACTTTAAATCTATTCAATTCTGCTCTTTATTTCAGACTATATGGATTTATAAAATATAAAAAAAATATAAAAAAATATTAAAACTATATAAAAACTGTTACATCTTATTTTATTAATCCCTATTCGAATAACTTGAATATAAGTGAACATATCTCAAATATTAATAATGCGATTACGGCGATTACAGTGACAATAGTTCAAACGATTACGACAATGACATTAAAGCTTGTAACATTGTGGTTTTACGTATTCTAAATCACATGTCGCAGTTTTCTAAATTAATGCACTTTGATCCACAGTCGCGATTTATGGCAACGGTTTCGTATTATACTTACAATTGCACATAGCGATATTGAGCAATAACGAGTGTAACAATTACATTTTGTACATAGTAATCTTTAGCAGTCAACTCTAGAACGCTAACACGCTGTCAAAAAGGCGGATAGTAAGTTATATAAGCTCCTTACACATTTCGAGGTATTTACAATATTAAATTTTTTCTACAAAGTACTTTTTTGTGATAACATATTCTATTTATTTTATGTATATTCCGACCTAAAAAAATAGGGTGAGCTCTTACACAGCGGCGTCAGAGATGCCTTTCGTAGACGCCGGTCCCTTTTGCCTCGTTTTCTGTGCATACGTTAATGAGATTATCTTTTTTTCCTAGATAGATTATATATTAGGTGTTAAACTTAGTTTCCGCCGTTTTTCGTCTTACAAAATTCATTTATTAGAGAGTAAAATACATTAATCAAAATATTTTCCCTCATTTTCTATGACTTTTGCTCATCTTTCTGAAAGGAGACATTTTCCTTTTTTCTTCTCTGGATTTTTCCGAGAGTAAGCGTTTGCAAACAGCCATTGAAGTAACATCCAACGCTTTCGACAATTCTAAAAGCGTTTGAGATGGATTTTCATCCAGTAAAGCTTGAAGTTCGGCATCCTCAAACTTTGTCGGCTGTCCTGAACGTTCTTTGTCTTCCATGCTAAAATCACCACTTCGAAAACGTTGAAACCACTCTCTACACATTCTTTCTGATGGAGCTTCTTCACCATAAGTCTCGGACAGTAAGCGATGCGTTTCAGCTGTAGTTTTCTTCATGTCGAATTAGTGGAGAAGTACATGTCGAAAAAATACTTTATTACGATTCATTTTTCATCGATTAAAAAATCTTCTCTCTGTTTACACAATACTCAACCTTTGCACACTAAATTGTATTGACCAATGTTTATCTTTCATAAGGCAACTTCAAACATCAAAACTTACTTCGTCTGCAGCTGGCACCATCTACTTGTGAGCGGCGGAAACTAAGTTTAGTACCTAATATATATTTAAATTTTTATTTTATTTGTATCTTTATCTTCTGGACTATCCTCATATAACTACGATTTTTATAGATAATTAATTAAAAAAACCGTCAGTTTTAAAACACTAGCATTTTTGGATTAAATAGTGATTAACTGCCGGAAACATATCCAAGCAGACTTCTTATAAAAGTATATGGAAAATATACGCGACGCGATAGATTAAGCGGCGAGTTGTCGACGTCTCATCAGCTCGTGGTCAATGAGAAGCGAGATATCGGGATGCCGACGTAAAATGGTCGCGCGATAATGCACAGACTGACTGGGATCGGCGCCGGCTTTCAGCAATATTCTGACGGTGTTGACGAATCCACTCTCGGTGGCAACTTGCAGCGCTGTCAGGCCGTCAACATTGATCTTTTCCAATTGAGCCAGAGGCGACGTGACCAACAAAGATACCGTCTCGTGAAATCCTCTTGCCGACGCGAGATGCAGTGGCGTGTTATCGCCAGCGTCTTGCGTGCCAGGATCCTCATTGTGCTCTAGTAGCTTGGCCACTATGTCGACCTGATTTTTCCGCGACGCTATGTGCAACGGGGTTTCGCCGTATCGCGATTTAATGCCCGCCGGCGTATGCGGTATCAACAGCATAGCCGTGTTTAACGCGCCGCACTCCAGACTCTCGTGCAACGCTGTCTCCCCGCGATCGTTCTTCAGGGCGGCGTCCACGTCGGCGGCTAGGAGTGTCCCGATCAGCGACTCGATGTCGCTTTTGTCATCGTTATCTGTGAAGTGGCGTGAGTGAAAATCAAGAAAAGAAGCGAAAAATCAATTGTCATGCAAATAAAATATTTTAATTTTCATACCGAAGATAGTGGACGACGCTAGAATGTGCAAAGCGCTTCGGCCTTGATGATCCTTAGCGTTCACAGGACCTGCTTTTGCCAATAGTTCCAGCGTTTTCAAGGCCGCGTCGTGATTCAGATGAAGGGATTTCAGCGACGCGTGAGCTAGCTGGCGGGAGAGAACGTGCAATGCAGTTGATCCGCTGCCGGCTTCTTTGACGCTCGGCGGACAGCCGTGTTTCAAGAGGTCCTCCACGAATTTTAATACATTGCCTGGCCCGCCGTTCAGAATCGCTCTGTGCAGCGCCGTTTCGCCCCGCGGCGAACGCACAGCTGGATCGCACCCGCTCGCCAGCAGAACGCTGTGTGTGTGTGTGTATAATCCGTTAATAAAAAAATATGAGAGGAATTTACGGGACGCCACATTAGTATAATAATAATGATAAAAAATAGTTTGCTAATAGTAAAAAAATTATTAGGATACCATCATTAAATGTTATTTCTTCGAATTTTTGAAAGAAACAAAAATTTCGAAGTTTAATATCAGTTTTTTTTTCAGGTAATAGATTTATGTATAAAATGCTTTGTCCAAGACGAACTAATGACAAGATAGAATTCTATCTGACTCTGATAAATCTACCTCAGCATAGGAAGACAACGATTCGTCGCCGCAATCAGTAAGGGTGGATCGCCCGACACATTCCAATCCGGTTCGTCCAGGTTTTGCACGCGACCGCTGGCAATTAGCATCGAGACATGCTCGGCGTTTCCTGATCGCACAGCATCATAGAATGAGTCACCATCCTGCCTCTCGATCGGATCGAGTTTTGTCATGTTCTCGCAATGAACACGCACGTCTTCCGTCATGGAATCTCGAAGATTCCCCCCGGCGTGTACGCTATCGTTGGCGCATCGTTCTTGTACGCTCAAATTTCGCTGATCTTGGTTCGCGCGCTGGTTTAATCTTTTTTTATCCTCCTTCTGATTCCTGTTCTGCTCGTTTCTCTCGCATGTGGACGCGTATTCCGATGCACTGTCCGCCGGCAAAATCAAAATTGAACTCATCTCTTTACGCTTTTCACCGTCTTCTATAAACGTCTCCTCGTTGCTAGATTCATTTATTTGCGAACTATCATTCACTGAATTCGTAGAAGTGTTGATGTTTTCTTTACTTTTCTCTTCGCGCATATCCATCGTTCTCTGCATCTCCTCGCCGAGAGCGCTTACATCCCCATCGAACGATTCACTAAGCGATCGTGCTTGATTAACTTCCGTAGAAGTCGCGAGTTCTTCGAAAAAGGAATCACCTGTTGCAAAACTGGCGTGCAGCGACGACAACGATGAAGTCTCTTCTGCGTCCGAGTTGTCCAGTTGCCGATCGTTGAAGCAAGTTTTTGTTGAGCCACGCGAAGTCGTCACTTCGTATGCGGAAGTCATTGCGCGCGCTTAATTGAGTTCAATTATCCTCGCAGTTGACTCAATGTTTTTTATGTGGAATGATAATTAGTCCAGAATCTCACTTTGGTGGCTGTTGGTTGAACTACACGCACCACGCGACACGTCGTCGTACAATAAAATCTACACTATAATAAAAAGAAGCGAGGCTGACGAAATGCGGCAAGCAAAGCGGCTTTCCGACCGAACAAAACCGAAGTGAGGCAGTCGCTGGCGCTTTATGATGCTTTTATCGTGGTCCCGTCAGCTTCTTCCCTTTCTCCTCCACATCTTCTTTCTTCGCTCCCTTCACTTCTCGCCTTCTGCATTCTCTGTTTAGCATTGCAGTGCGTTTTGTGTTCATCTGTCGCTTATTTCACTTTGTCAGTCTGCTCCTTAATCCCTTCTTAGACGAGCTCTGGGTGTCAAACAGCTGAAATTTAGAGCAGCGCATGTTGATTGCGGTCTATCTATATTTCTACGACTATGTAAAATGAAAGAATTATATTTTTTGAAAATTAAATATACTATTGAGATATTATATGTTTTAATTAAGATGTTATAAAAGAGTGTACTTCATTATTATGTTATATAATATAAAATAATTATTTAAGTCACACATGATTTTCTTCAAAAACACTTAGCTTATCAATTTTTCAAGAAAAACGCGTTATTTCATATAACTGTAATTTAATTCAATTTCGTAATTGTTTCACAAAAAATTTGGCAAAAGCTGATATTACTTAATTTTTTATTTTTCAAAAATATGACAAAGAAACATGAAGTTTATTTTCTTGAAACACGATTTCTATCTACCAAAATCTAAACATCCAAAATTTCATCATAAGTCGAATTTCTTCAGACTTACATTGTGAAAATGCATACTTCATTCTTTCTCTCTATCAATGAAGCTACTTTACCTGATTCATATTTTTTCTTCATTATTTTTAAAGAGTATTCATATTTACACATAAATTTCTCATACAGGACAAATTTGACAATTCAAAGTTTAATTGATGCCTAAAACGAATAAATGATAAAAGTGAAGAGTGGAAAATAATATGAAATCCAATTTATAGTAAAAAAGTGAATTAAGTTTCTCTTTATCGGCTGCTTATTGATTTAATTTATCTGTGCAATATGTTGTGCTTAGAATGTGATGTATTTACAAACCCGGTCACACCAATCGCTACGCCTATTAATTCGCTGCTTTTCGTCGAGTACAGCGATGACACAAAAAATTTCAAAAGAAAAGATAACTCGACGGCGTCACATCGTGATTGCCAGCAGACACGCAGATGTACGGCATACGAATACGGCAGAAAAATTTGTCACTTAAATTGTACGTGTACTTACACGATTATGTAAATCTATAGATACAGCGACATGAATGACGAATGAATAACATTGATTGACGTATGTACAATACAATCTAACACGTGCATATCTAAAAAATTACACTTTATCGAATTTATAGCAATTCAAAAACGAGCGACAAACATAATAAAGAACTTCAGGAAATCACATGATCAAAAATAGCAATGTATTTGCTATTTTTTCCTTACTCTTTTTCACGTACAAAATAAGTTTTTTACATACCTATGTGTATCCGCATTATAAAATTAAAACTTTTATATGCACTAAATAATCAAAACCTAATTTGTTGAATTATTAAAGGAGTCTTGGTTTTCTAATTAGTTTAAAGAAATCTGTCGAGCATCGATTACATTTAATTAAGTTTATACTTTCTTCTTCTTTGATGGCAATTTTATTTAAGCTGGCAATTTTGTTGACAAAGTTTCAACCATAAAAATAGTAATCCAAAGACAAAGGGGACTAGAAGTTAATCAGTCAAAAGAAATTGCGAATTGTAGTAAATTTCTCTAAAGGGAGGATCACAATACAACGCAAAGTAGATCATTTGTCACTAGCGTAAAAAACATTGTTATTTCGCCTTTGCTAAGCTTCTGATTGCTTACGCGTTACGCAAAAAAATATGTGCCATGTGATGTTACCCTTAAAAACATAAAAATAACTAGGTGGAAGCTAATATTCAAATGAGACGATGTGATTGGTCGGCGCAAGTTACGCTTACGCAAATTACGTTGCATGTGACGGCACCCTTACTTTTAAGGTTTTTAGGTTAATCTCATACGTATCTTTTCTATCTATCGGTATTTCTATGGATATAACCATTACTGAAACGTTATTACGAAAACTAAAATCACTAGTTCGTATAGTCTGCTACGTTGCTGTCAAAATTATGCGTTCACGCGTACGTGTGTAGTAAGGAAGAGTAAAGTCAATGCATAAATGTATAAAATAGCGAGTGCTGTATAAAATGGCTATTTGAAGTATTTTATTACGTTATTCATTATGTACAAATGCTATATTAGTGAGTAAGCAATCTTCATATAACGGCCTCTTTTGTGCATCTTTTACTTTGCATATGTACAGAATGGAATTTATTAAGCGTTTGTTAATTTCAGAGGAAAAATTAGATATTAGTATTATTTCTGTTCTCTCTTCGCTAATTTTAATTATCTTTTATATTCAATAATTCTGCAAACTATCAATTTCTTAATACGATACATTAACCCTTTAACCATGTTTTGTTCTGCATTTTTTTTTATTATCTAATCATTAATATTTTCTGTTGTTGTTACTTATGAAATATTATACTACTGTTATTTTGCGATACAAACAGCATATATTTGCACACTTGTATTTACAAATATGATTAATTTAACAACTTGCATTTTTAATCTTCGAATTTTGTTTTTATAGGATCTTGTAGAATTTTTAACTAGAAGTATGCTTTAAAAAATGCCATCTGAGACAAATGTCATGAATAGTGTTTCTAAGCAAGAGGAGGATACCGAGGAATCTAATGAACAATCCGTTGCATTAATGACTTTAAGTTCTACAAATCAAGAATCAAGTATATCTACAAAACATGTAGATAATCATCTAGCAAATATTAATAGTGACAAAGTGTCCATATCGAACATCAGAATAAAATTCCTAACTTCAACTGATGATGTAGCCTCATCGACAAGTAATAGTTGTGTAGTAGCAAACAATTCGTTAAAAGCAGAGAGTTTATGTTTTCCAGATAAAACGATAGGTAATCCAATATCAATTGCAAACTTTTGTCAATTTTGTTTATATTTTACAAAATATAAAATTTATTTAATTTTAGGTTCAGAATTCAATGAGGATGTATCCTTGGATTCATCAATATTGGCTGACAAAACTGAAGAAAATGATGATGATCCAGGTACGGCGCACAATGATACGACAAACAATTCAACGAAAAAACCAATTTCTCTTGCTCACGAAAGCTTATCCAGAAAGAAAGGCTTGCTAGTGCAGAATATTTCGGAAATTTATCACAACACAGAATTAACAGCATGTTCTGACGATTTCTTAAATGGAAAGACTTGTGGCCATAAAGAGAGCCATAGTAATAATATTGACATAGAAGAATGCAAACCTGAGCCGACAATAGGAAATCTACATAATGACAGTGAAAATGTGACATCGGATGGTAAGCATAAATTGGTGGAAGAGAGAGTATCTTTGCATACTTGTAAACAATCTTTAAAAGATAATGATTCTGCTGCAAACCATAGCAGTCCTACGTGTACATTATTAAACGCATCTAGTGATAATAATAAAGACTCTAATATAGATTGTGATGCTAGCTTGGTAACGGATGGATTAACATCTTTGTCTTTACACGCACCTAAAGAATCGTCAGATTTGCAATGTGCTTCACCGAGCACTTCAGCGTATGCAACTGATGATGCAAAAGTATCTTTAAATCCATTAGACAATAATAATGAAAATTTACTTGAAAATGCAGCCGATGGAAATAAATTAGCTGTCTCATCTGAACCTGTTTGTAAAGAAACATTAACGTTGCAAGATATGGGGTGTGCTTCTTCGCTCTGCAATGATTCCGCAAGTACAAGTAAACCATTTAAACTGCCAATTTTAGAAAAGATATCCAAAACTGCCAATATTCAGCAACCTGAAATCGAGGAAAATGCAGTAGCACTCTTAGAACCGTCACTCATCAGACAAGAACAATTAGAAGAAGTTCGTTGTTTAGATTTAGAGCCTCGTTCGTCAAACAGCAGTGAAGAAAGTAATTCGGATATCGAGTCTCAGCATCCAAGCACAAGTCATAATGATATTAAAAAAGTGAGTATTTATTTTCCATCTTAGAAAAAAAAAACTTTACAGCCTTTTTTAGCGCTATTTATTGAAGATTTATAAAAAATCTATTCCAATTGCTAATTTGTAAAGCAAATATATAAGCTACTCAATATTTCAATATTTTAATTTTAGAGACAATGCAGACCCAATGGAATTGTATCGAAAGAAGGGGTGGAATATTATCAACTATGGCGTAGCACAGGTGGCCCCACGTCTCCTGAATCTTTATATGAGACTCTCTATCCGATGCCACCGCCACTTCCACCGAGAGCAGCACACCGACCGTTACACAGAAGCAACGCTTTACAAAGTGGCGCACCGGAGTTACCTAAACGATATCCTCAAAGGCATCCTTTGCCGATGCATCCTGAGGATTGTTTTGGATTCGAGATTGTAGATGTTGATGAAGCCTCAAATCTTCAGGTATGCAATTACACTATCTTGGATTATTAGGAAAAGAAGAACGGATTTCCATTGTTATTTTTGCTACATTTTTTAAGAATTCTGATGCAATACGTAAAAACTATGGAAAAATTGTCTTCTTGTTAAAAAAACAATATTGCGTTTGCTATTGCAGGACAATGTCGTTACATTCAATGCGTACTTTGGCATCTAGATATAAATGATCGAATGTTTCAGTTGAGAACAGCGGTTACGAAGAGCATCGCATTGTTGAGTTCGCCGAGATCGCACAGACAACGAGAAAGGCCCGAGTCGACGCTGACTAATCAATTAGAATGTCCGCCCACACCTACACATCGACCTAAACCTTTATGCCCATTGCCTGTATGTCAGACATCAAATGTACCTTTATCTTCGGAAGAATCTCTGCCCCCGTGTAAGTAAATCAATATCCGTTTAACTCGCATTGAGTTCTGAATTCTCAAATTTTGACCGCAGATTTCGTTTCAACGGATCTTAAATAAAATCTTCGCCTAAATTTGATTATTATCTTTATCAAAATTATTTTAATTTCTTAACAATTAACGAGTATAACATCTTGTAACTTATTCTTGCGTCTTCCTTTCAATTCTTGATGTTAATCGTCTTGTATATTTCAGCATGGGAAGCGAGAATAGATAGCCACGGTCGAATATTTTACATAGATCATATTAATCGGACCACGACGTGGCAGAGACCAAGTTTGACGTCACGCAACACCGGTTGCGATCTACGAAGACAACAATTAGATAGGCGTTATCAAAGTGTACGACGTACGATTTCACGTTCCGATAATATAGATCGCGAAGCCAACAACTCGAACTGCAGTCCCTTCGAAAATACGGAGCGGCAGAGCGATCATGTCGACAGAAGTGAATTTGAGCCGTTCGATATTACAACAATACCTCCAATATTATTTTTAACACGGCCCGACTTTTTCACCGTGCTGCACACCAATGCAGACGCCATGGAGCTGTACAATCGTAATCCGAGTATAAAGCACATGATCAGCAGAGTCAGGAGAGATCCGATAGTGTTCCCAAGATATGAACATAACAGAGATTTAGTTGCCTTAATCAATTTCTTCGCCGATCCGAGCAAGGAACTCCCGAGGGGATACGACTCGAAGCTCGACAGGACTGGCAAAGTAAGTTTTCTAAAATAAATATGCATTACAAACAGATTACGTGGAGTGGAAAGGCAAACGCATGATATGTCATGAGAGTTGTTGCTATTAATCAATAAATGTACTTTCAGAGATTTTTTATATGTCATGCTAGAAAGGCTACATCGTTTATCGATCCGCGACTACCCACCGAAGCTGCTCATGCACGATTGTTGTTAGATGAAGCTCCCGTGCCACCGCCTAGACCGCAACAGTCGTCCGTGACTGCTACTCCCGACATACCAGTGGCTTACAACGACAAAGTAGTCGCTTTTCTACGTCAGCCTAATATCATGGATATCTTGAAGGAGAGACATTCCGCGCTAGGGCAGAATATTGCACTTCGAGAAAAAGTTAATACGATAAGAGTCGAAGGAACCACGGCGTTACAAAGATGGGGCCACGACGTTCCTCTGGCATTATTATTAAGGTAAGATGGTTATTCAAATATGTATGTATGTCGAAACAGCAATACAGGAATAATTATAAGAATGCTTGCAATGCTTATATATTTTAATATATAAAATTATTCCGTAAAAGGCTGTAGCTTGAACACAAGTCGAAATCAGGTACATGTTCTTATGAAACGCAGACTGAATTTAATATGCGCACATATTGCTTGGTGTTGACTTATGCGTGCCACGTTTCGCGTACACGATAATACTGTCACGTTATTATTTACAGTTTATTCGAGCAAGAAATAATGTCGTATGTACCTGGCAATATGGGCAGATCTCCACTTGGCAGCCCGCATGCGTCGCCCGGGCTGACAAGGGCTTCTGCCAGAGCTCCAGCGCCATATAGAAGAGACTTCGAAGCTAAACTTCGAACCTTTTATCGAAAGCTGGAGAGTAAAGGTTACGGACAAGGGCCGGGCAAGTTAAAGTACGTTTTACATACTCGCATACATATTGTGTAGAAAAGTAGGGTTAGTGAATTTTTATATTACCTGACTACAGATTACACATCAGAAGAGAACATTTACTTGAAGATGCTTTTACGCGTATAATGGCCGCGTCGAAGAAGGATTTGCAGAAAGGTAAACTGGTGGTGATCTTTGATCATGAAGAAGGATTGGATTATGGCGGACCGTCCCGGGAATTTTTCTTTCATTTGTCGCGCGAACTATTCAATCCCTATTACGGACTGTTTGAATACTCAGCCAACGATACTTACACGGTGCAAATTTCACCGATGTCGGCTTTCGTAGACAACTATCACGATTGGTTTCGATTCTCGGGCAGAGTTTTAGGCTTAGCGTTAGTCCATCAGTACCTGCTCGACGCGTTCTTCACAAGGCCATTCTACAAGGCCCTCCTGAGGATACCGGCGAGTCTGAGCGATTTGGAAAGTCTAGATCAAGAGTTCCATCAAAGTCTAATGTGGATCAAAGAGAAGGACATAAGTATCGAGCCGTTGGAATTAACGTTTTCGGTAACGGAGGAGCTTTTGGGACGAGTCGCCGAGCGCGAGTTGAAACCAGGCGGGAGGAATATCGCGGTCACCGAAAAGAACAAGAAGGAGTATCTCGAAAGGGTTGTACGTTGGCGTCTCGAGCGTGGTGTTGCAGAACAAACGGAATCGCTAGTTCGCGGCTTTTACGAGGTCGTGGATCCACGCTTGGTGTCCGTCTTCGATGCCCGCGAGCTAGAATTGGTTATCGCGGGTGCGGCTGAGATCGACCTTAATGACTGGCGAACGCATACCGAATATAGAAGCGGTTATCATGACGCACACCCGGTGGTAGAATGGTTCTGGAGCAGCATAAGCAGATTCACGAACGAGCAACGTTTGAGATTATTGCAATTCGTTACCGGCACTTCGAGTATTCCGTACGAGGGATTCGCGGCTTTGCGAGGATCCACCGGTCCGAGGAAATTCTGCATCGAAAAATGGGGGAGGCCCAACAGTTTACCGAGGTATCTAGTCTTTTTAATTCGTTATAATAGTAATTATATTATTCTACACTTTTTTCTTTCTTCCTTATATAAATGCATTCATTTTTCAATTTTTTCGAAAATTATTTCAAATAAAATTACAAATTTTAGAGAGGTAATATACAGTAATAATGTGTATAGACTCTTTTTTTGTTAAAAAAAAATTATTTTCTATCAATAAGCCCATTCAAAATGTTTCTGCTTGGTATTATTTTTTATTCAATTCACTTGTTGCAGGGCTCATACGTGTTTTAACCGCTTGGATCTTCCACCTTATCCCACCCCTGAAATCTTATATGAAAAGCTGCTGTTGGCTGTGGAAGAAACAAATACATTTGGTATAGAATAAAGTGACAAATTGAATTTATAATTATAAAGAATTTCTACAATCGATAGAATTATAACGGGTTGCATTTTTTGCTGAGAAATATAGAAGAAGGTTTTGCATAGGCCTAACAGCTTATGAATTATGTGGTTCATTACTAATTCAACAAGTGGAGTATAAGATAATTCAACAATTTGCAGCTTAACAATCTCTCAAAAATTTTTGATCAATTAATTCGCTGTGTAAAAGATGTTATAATAATCGAATGCTCTTCTTTTCAAACTTTCACGATTCTACGTAATTTGAACCTTTAGAAGTCCACATTCACGCAGTACTGATTTTACTCGTATCAACAAAATCAGATCTCAGTTTCCTCGGTTCTTCCCTTCCTCTCCCCATTTTTTTTTGTTTTATTTTCCAAAAGAAAGAAATAATCTATTAGAATCTTTTATAAATATTTTCAATTGTTAATATAAATTTAACAAGAGTAGATACGTCCTGGAAAACGTTATTTCGTTAATGTGGGTTTCTAAGGTGTTAAAGAAATTTAGATAAATTGACGCTGTCCGAAAAAAATCCGGTGTAAATATAACGAAATTTTTGGGTTTAGACTTGGACAATTTTAATATCTGCAAATTGTCTTTTGCTGATTTAAAATTGTATTTTTCTATTAAATTTAAAAATTAATATGAGAAAAACCAAAAATTGTTAATTATTTACAGTTAAATTGCCAAAGTATCGGTATTTTAAAACTGCTATTACACGAAATAATTTATATTTTGCTGATCGCCTAATATCGTTTAATTTAAACGCTTTTTTCTCAAAAAAAGTCGATTTCTATTGTAAGCTAGCTATCTTCGGAAAGGGTCAGAAAGAAAATATAAGCTGTTACTATTATTGTCGCCATACTACTGCTACTACTACTACTGTTAACTACCGCTACTTTTGTTCATATTTTATTATTAATACCATAACTGCTATCCTTAATACTGTCATTATCACTAATATCTTTTTACTATGATTACTATTTTTACTATTCTTTCTATACAATCACTGTCTTTGATTACACTTGGATTTCGATACAACACAAAATAAATAAATGCTTAATTCCGCCACAACGCATCTGCATTTTTTTCATACTTCTTTCTCTTATCGGTACGTGGAGTATCGAGGTCTGAGTGTAGCATTGTTGACACATTTAATTTCTAAGTGTATTATGATTGAAATATTTAATTTTTAATGATGACCATCATCTAGTCTGAGTTGAAATTTCACATGCAACTGTTCTTTTCATGTGTTTTAACATTCCGAGGATTTTTATTAGTCGTATTTAAAGAGTTTATGGAGCAAATGTTGATACAAACAATAAATTATTTCTGTAAATTAGCTGTTTTGAAAAGTTTATTGAAGAAGCACTTTTATCTTATTTCTTCATATTTAGTCTTGCTAAGAAATAATGTATAGATTCTTTTAATTTCATCGAAAAATTTTACACATAGCGTAAGTATGATAAGAAGGAATTCGTATACAGGAAATGATTTGTATGTTTCGTTTTATTATAAGCAAATATATTATTATTTATTATTATTAGAGTGCTCTTCACATAAGTAGTAAATAAAATTATGTATCTCTGTACAGTTCTCATATACATATAGTTATTATATGTAAGCGATAAATAAAATGCAACAAACAGAAAAACAACGTGCTTTTTAACGAACAAACTTACTTAACCGATAAGGTATTTTTAATAAATTATTTTATTCAATTTATTTCGTAATTATTTGTAGAAATATAAAATAATCGCAAAGCTCTTTTATATTTTACTTAGCATTTGTACGCACGCGGAATCATGTTTTAAAACACTGTATTTATAAAAGAGATCTTGACAATTGATTCTGATTTTTCTACCAAATCAGCATTATTTTTAGTATTTATAGAAAAGTTTTAATTTATTATATTTTTACTTCATTCTACCAGTCGCGATTAGAATTTTCTTCGCTTTGAAGCTCGATATCTAAATCATAAGATATTTATTATTAATATTGATCCAAATAAGAATAAAAAATATATAGCAAATTAAAGCAAACAATAAGGTAGAATTTTGAAATATTTGAATATATAATATCTTTCGTCAAAACACATAAGATACTACAATTTTATTATTACCTTTTTCATTCCTCCTTATTTTATTAAATTGATTATGCTGCGATTTTGTTTTCAATCTAAGATTCTTAATATCATTCCGAAATAGATATTTCTGCCGTGCTTGATTTTCAAGAATCTTCTCTATCTTTATTATATCACTTTTGTACGTCTCTTCCAGTTGCAAGATTTCCTCCTACAAGTAGCAACCGTTTAGAAAAATGCAAAAAATAAATGTATAACGAATATAAACATAATTTACATTTGATGTGACATGTTGCTTCAATAATTTTTTAAGTTTTGATTGCTCTTCCACTAAAACAGTCGCAAAGCTTAACTTTTGTGTATTTTCCCGAATCAGTTTGTTAAATATAACCAATTCTTCTGCATATTTCTCCTTGATATCTACAATAAAAACATGAAATACAATGCAAAATTAATGTAAGAATTTTTTAAACGGGTTATCTTATAATTCTAATAACTTACGTTTAATTTGCTTGGCAAAATATATTGCTGTCTCATTCAAGCGGGCCTTAATATCGTATGCCAGTCGCCGGAGTATCATTTCATATAATTTATTTAAAGATATATTCTGGCCAAACTTATTCATTATCTCTTGCTTTATTTGACTTTTCAAATTTTTATTGTTAGCACGCATATGATGACAATCGAGCTGTATTCTCTGGAGGTGCGCTCGAGCACATCTGTGAAACATGAATATATTTTATTATAAGCTCCATAAAGACGCGATAAAAATATGCTTACGTACTTGTGTTTAGCCTGCAATTCAAGGGTCTCTTCATACAGCTCTTGTATCCTTGCATACAATCTAGACAATTTCTTTTTATCGAATACAATGCAGTTGTACACCTTGGACAAAGTCTTGGATTCCTTGAGATGTTGCAGCTGGTGCAAATTCATTAGCACCATAACATCCACATCGTTTAATTTCGTCTGTTTCTTGAGCTGTCAAACGGAAGTACAATTAGAACACGCGCAAATTCCATATGGATCTTCTAATAGATCAATATTAAATGGACAATACTATAAAGAGTTTTAAATTTTCCTCATTTTTCTTCAAACTATTTTCTATAACTTTTAGCTTCTTCGTCTGAGTTTGAATTTCTTTATGGTGGATTTCTACAGTTTGGTGTGCATCTTTTATTTGACGTTCACAGGCGTATCGTTTTTCTCTCGTCGAAAACGCCAAGTCGTATAATGTTTTGTCACATCCCGGAGGACATACATTTTCGTCAAAATAAATGAAGTCTAATTCTTTGCTGTTGACACTGTCCGTTTCATCTGAACTCGTTTCAGTCGTTGTCGTAGTAGTTTCTAAAACAATAACAAGTACATACACAATTAGGATTTTTTGTTTGAAAAAAAAGTAGTTTTCCATCAATTTTGTGCATTTCGGATATTTTTAAAATAATTTTACGCCACTTGAAAAATATAAATTTTTTTTTTTAATAAAATAAACTGAAAGTATAGAAAAAAGTGTGATACAGATAAATTTGTTACCATCTTCTTCTTTTAACTCTTTGTACTTCTTCTTAAATATTTTACACAGAAAATTGCGAAACTTATTATTGTTTATCAAACTCATGTATTCAGAGGAAATATCTTTGATCTGATTATACAATTTTGTAATTTCTTTGGTTTTAACATCAATTTTATCGGTGATTGTGTTTATCTGAAAAAATCGATTATACGATTTATATCTTTTTTTACATGTGATTGCTTTTGGCATAATCATAAATCATAAAATTTTCAACTAACTTTCTGTCTTACTGCTGCGATCTCTTCTAAATTACAATTAACTTGATCGTTCAATGCATTTTCCATTGTTTCATACTCTTTCAAAATAGCATATTCTTGACGAAGTGTTAATAAGAATAAATTGATGTTAACATTCTCACCAACGATATTCAATCTATCGTGTTCTAATGCGTCTAATTTTTGGTCTAAATTGTTACAATTGGTTTTTATGTATCGTAATATACAATCTTGTTCATATTCTTTGCGTAACATACGAGAATATTTCATTTCTCGTTCCCACGGACTGTCGATATCGTCATTTAAATGAAGTAACGTTATGTCATCTTGCACAGCAGTTTTGATTTTGATTTTTCTTTGTGAAACCGCTGGTTTATTAGGGATTTTTACATGTTCTAAAATTTTTTCATCCAAGAGTAACACTTCGTATTCCTCATCGGAATAAATAGATATTTGCTCTAGAAGACTCGGTGATCTTTGTCGTTCCGCATCCTCAACTCTCTCTGCCTTTAATGCATATTCCTCTATCTGTATGTGTTTGCATCCGCGTGTGTGTGTGTAAAAATTAAAAAGCATTATTGTATGTTGTAATTTCAACTCTAACATTTTATTAATCTAATATACGTACCATCACTTTTCTTTCGGGAAATTCTATATTAATATTCAACGCAGGGATGGCTGGCAAAGATTTGATGCTTTTCAATGGTATTTCGGTGTGAATTTGTTTGAGAGATTTTATTAAACGTAAAACTTCTGCGTGCAAATGCTCTTTTTCCGTTCTCACAGCTTTCAATCTCTCGTTAAACGCCTCTTGTAGATAATAAAGCTACAATTACAATTAAAAACTTATCGTAAGTAATAAAGCTTTTTGTTAGATAATACAAAATTATGCAAAGTGTTTCATTTCAAATAGAATCTAAAATATCTCGAATTGGATGAAGATACAAAAATTTAAAAGTTTTCATTTTAAAAACTCAAGATATTCCTTCACGTAATCATTGCTTAACTTTTTTCTAAAATATTTTTTTTATCTCATCCAATGCGAGATATTTCAAATTCTTATTCAAAACAGGACACTCCATATAATTGAACAAATTTTGAAATTTGTCAATACAAACCTTTTCCTACAGTGTAGTAATTCTTTATACTTTGAAAAGATAGTATCCCGTTCATCCGATAGCAAATTAACAGTTAAAGACGTCTTCAGTTTGTAATCGCCAATAGTTCTTGTTGCTTCCTCTATAGTGTGTATATCGTGTGTATGAGTGCTAGATATATCTGGCTTTTTATTATATATAATCTTCCACTAAATGAATAGATATGAATCCATGATTAAACTTCAACGGATAAAAGCGTGGACACTTTGATTCCCATTTTTGCATAATTACACTAACTTCTTTTTCTCGTTCTTCTAGCTTCGTCTTCCTCAGCATGTATTTACGTAACATCTGATTCAACTGTATTCTGAGGCTACTATCTGCGTCTTTAATGCTTACGTCTTTCAAGAAATCTGGTTGTTCTTTTGCTTTCGCTACGTCTATTTCTACTTCCGATATCTCTTCTTCCTGTTCTGGTTGTTTCTCTTTATCAAGCTGCATTTGGCTGTCCGAAATGCTATTCATATAAGATAAAAATATAATATTGACAATTTAAACACAACCTAATGTGTACTTAATCAAGCAGATATGAATTACCTATTTTCATTCACTTGTGTATCGAGTGAATGTTTTGTCGTATCGATCGACGATAACTTAACATCAGTATTCAATATACGTTGGCGTAGAGAATATATTATATTATCTGGTTTCCTACATCAAAGTACATAGATCATTACATCATTTCTCGTATTTTTAATATTTTAGTACTTTTACTCACGACATTTTGCAGACGACAAACGGTAAACACATGACAGGTTTAATAAAGTGTTCTAAAAGCTTTTGTAATCCAAGCTCATTCTTTTCCACTTTAAATGCCAATTTCTCTCGCACCGCAGCCATTTCTGCATCTAGCTCTTTATTCAAATCAGCCGTGATTCTAGAATCCAACTCAAACTCTTCGTGAGTCATTTGATGAGATTTTGGCAGAGCGTCATTCCTAAAAATAAACACAATTATCGCCTGTTTACTTACATTACTTGATAATTATTAATATTTAGCATAATATTTAAACCTCTCCACAATCGTGCTGTATTCTTTGCTTAATTTAAATAATATCTCCAAAATCTGATGTTTATTCTGCTTTGCAGCAGCTGCAATCCTATCATGTTCAACTTGTTGAATCATTTCTTCCAAACTTGCACAATCGATCTCTTTAATATCTTCAACATTAGTGAGCGGCTGCATCGAATATTCATTAGATTATATATTTGTAAGAATTAATTACGATAACAATCAAGAATACAAATTAATATTTAGAAATACATAAGAATAATTTAAGAAGTGAAATAACATACCAAAGATACAACTCCTTGGGTTATTTCAAATTCGATTGCTTCTGACGGTGTATCATCGGTTATTTCATAAGAAAATAAGTTCCCATCGTATCCACATGTAAATAGCATCTTTCGATCATGACTGAGAATCATCTTCGGGATGCATCCGTTATAATTATCATGCATTGGAAGTATCCAGTAGTCCGAGAGATCTGTATAATTTTTAGGTTTCCATTTGCAAACTCGAATTTGACCATATTGCATTCCAAAGAACACGTACTTCCTTCCATTGCTGACAGTGAAATAAGCGCAACATCAACAGACGATAACTTGCTAACGAAATTACTTTTACATACAAAACTGTATTTTACTTATTCTTACTAAAATAGACAGCTTCGTATTTCTGTGTCATCTGCGTCGTATATCGCGATACTTTTAACAGGTTCCTTCTCAACAGTCGCAGTAACTTCCGGGCTTGAATACTCGTACATGTATCCTGCGTCAAATCCCGACATTGATAGCCAAATAATGTTATGATCGATGTATTGCGCCATTAACACTTTGCTCGGTATTTTCGGTATATATACTTCCGGTAACGGCTCTTCTTCCATAGCTATTAAAATGATAAATAATATTAGATTGTGTCGCATGAAATCATAGTGCACAATTGAATATAATTACTGAGAAAGTCTTCTTCGTCGATTTCCATTCCGGGGCTTTCAGCCATTAATCGCGCCATCTCTTCGCGCTTCCTCGTGATTTTTTCTTCCTTCTCCTTCTCCCGATTTAAGCGTATTAATTCTCTCCGAATAGCAGATTTTGTAGAATGGAATTTAAATGTTTCTGGTTGACACTGAACGAGCTCGTACGAGCCAGTAGTATATGATTGAGGTGTACTCGGTAATGTAACTTCCACGCAGTCTCCTTGTGAACATCCAATTAATAATGTTGTTTCCTGCAAATTTAATTAATAGTGATTATAAGTATCTTCGATATTTTCATAACGCATTACTTACACGTTGCGGTTTCCACGTGAGACATGTGACTTCTGAAGGTACTTTGATGAAACCAACTGGCATAATGACAGGATAACCATTCGTCACTACAATAGTGAAACTGAACACGGTTGAATCTTCGCCACCGGTTATCAGCAAGCTAAAATATTTTAAAAATTAGTGAGAAATATGTCGTTAGCTTACTAAGATATAATATATTTGATGTACCTGTACGATGGATTTAGAGACATTGCAGTTATTGCGAGCTTATGTGGCTTTGTGACTTGAATTAATCTGATATAATCTCCTTTTATATTGTTAGCAGTGTTAGCTACCGATATTGCTGCGGCTATTATGCGAATAACGCCACTTTCAAAAGCACAAGCGAGTGTTGATCCTGTTGCTTCAACCTTGGAAATATATAAAAAGAATTTAATGTATATTGTAACAGTGGATTATAATCTGTATTATACAAAATATTTTATTAAAAATAAAGAAATTCTTGATATCGACTTACTTGACATGGAAACCACACGATTTGACTGCCAATGTCATTAAATTTGTGCGTCAAAATTAATCTTTTCTCTATATAATTATAAATGTGTAGCTGTCCAGCTTTGCTGAGCGTAGCTAGAAAAGGACCCCACGTTGCATTAGCCATGTCAACTATAGCTCCCGCAGGACATGTAAATATTTTTCGAGGTGGTTCTGCTTTGAAGGTGTGTAAGTCTATTAACCAAATTCCACCATTTCCATCCTAGAAAGGAAACAAGATTATTTTTAAGTAACTCGTTTAGTAGTCTATTATTTTGTTTTTCTTATAAATTTATTTTGTTAAATTTATTAACACCAAAATTAACGTTGTAATGGAAACTTATTACCTACTTGAGCATACCAGAATGTACTTTCTGGATTGTCTGGTTCTTGCTTTCGTATACACATAAGCATCGAACTGCTGGCTTCATCACCTTCACTGACGTGATATTCATAGATAGGTTGCATTTCTAAAAAACAGTCCTCACTTTGGGAATTCGCTTCATCTATTGTTTTGTAGAACCAAATTCGTATCCACCCATCCATGCCTATTAATAATACAGACATATTCTTATTCTAGACTTTATGTACATTAAATAAAACAGTACGAAATTGAAAATATAACGTGAGATTCTCACCAACTGTTACAAGCTCTCCATTTATATATTCAAATTGTGTAATTGCTTTAGCGTGACACGGCTGTCGGTTTTTTTTACATATTTCAAGAGTGATCAGGCCTTCTTCCCACAGTAAAATGTTCCCCCATTCGCAGCCCGATACAACCTGAGAACAAGATACATAATTCTAAATAACTAGTCGAGAAGCGTCGGATTAGTCGAATAATACTCACTTTTCCATCTGGCATAATGTATACACCAATAATATCGGATATTTCCGTCTGACCAAATCTGCCAACTTCGCCTTTTAACTTGAGCCCGGTAAACGTTTCGGAGATTCTCCAAAACTTTATATGTCCCGATCCACTTGTGACCAAATATTCAGGCAGCAATGGAGATATTGTAACATTGTAAATGTCTCGATTGTACGATTTGCATTTTAATGCTATTTCGGACTTTCGCCAATCCCAAAATGTTATTGTATAATCTGGATCACCTCCCTGCGATATCAGTAACAGACCGTCCGTGCTGCAAAGGAATAGCTTTACGCATTACGCAAACTATGCGAAATGTAATTGATGGATTTTCCCTGCGAAATACCTGTATACTAAATGGGAATAGCGTTTTAACGTGCCGTCGTGCAAAACTGTCACAAGATCCATCGAGGGCCACTTGTAGATTATTATTGGAGGTTTGACACCGTTTTCGCCAACAGCGATATGATCAAATGTAGGATTTTTCTAAAAAAAAAATATCATGCAATTTTTTTAATCTTTAAGATTTAAAAATTGTTTTCTAGAATTGGACAAATATAAAGAAAGACACCGTCACATGTCCGATTCCACCACCGGTATATCCTCTTCTGAACCACATTTTGTTTGTTGCAGTATTAAAAAAATGCAGTATATTACCGGAGGAGAAGATGATAACATTCGGTTCTGCTACGCAAAGATTGAAATACTTCTGACAATCGTATGAAAACGAGTGACTTGTATTTTATTTAAGGAACGTGTTTATTTTCAATTGAGAACTTCTTAGAATTATACAACTTTTTATCAAGTACACAATTGCTACAATCAGTAATTTGGAAATGCGCGATTACATTACTATTAAAATATCTTATAAATTATATTATAATTGAAAGGATACTGAAATTGTAAAATATTCATAGGCACTGTTCCGTTCTGCACACGTTTCGCTCCGGATACATATTTATTCGAATCGTATATCTCCTCGTTTCTTCCTTTCTCGACTTTCCCGTTTTCTTCGTTATAAAACGTAAGTTCACTGTCTTGCAGCTCAGATTTTTGCATCTTGTTTAAATATTCTTGCCTTTATGTTAAGCCCTAAAAATTCGACAATAAACTTGTACAACAAAATGTTCAACGAAAAGTTTTCATGCAGAGAGACAACGCGCCTGTCACAATACATCATAATGCATAGCTTGAGGTAAGCAGTGACAGTTTCCATAGATACACGATTTTCTGTTTATTCGATATGCTAAGCGTCAACAATGCCACCTCCAGTTTACGATTTTTGAATCGATTAACCAGCTAATAAATTATTTCCATAGCTCTGAATATTTTAACTAACAATTAAATATATAAAAAATATACCATAATATATATTCTCAATAAGTAAAACCCGATTGTTGAGAAATAGGTTCTTAAAACACGAGACAATTATCAGTTTCTTTTAATAACTTTAATAATCGTACTTTTCAGACTTCGAAACTTTCCTCAGCTGCTGGCAATATCACAGTTGTTACAGCCAAGGGTTTCGGATCTGACTTCTTGCATAATAATATCTTAACTTTTCCCGATATTTGACTTTTCAAGTTCGCGCTAACGGTCAGAGATACAGGTACGGCGTTCGGCAATAAAGGTAAATCCACCACACGTGGTCTCACTTCGGTGTCCTCAGCTCTGCAGAGGATATACAAGTCCGTGTAGGATAAATCCTCGGAGATGTTCGTCACTATAATGCGAATCATATAATTTGGACCCAAGCCGAGGACGTTCGGCTCTACCGTGATGGGATTCGGTCCCGACGCTTGATTCTCACTTAATTGTTCGGACGCTTGTTTCGCCGTCGTCAGGCGTAGACGAAGAAAGCCTTGCTGAAATGTATTATGAATCTTCTTCGCCTCGGCCCTCTCCCTTATCGTTTGATCGACGAACAATCGGGTTTTCTTCGGTATCGAGAACTTGAACGTGTTGAACGACGACGGACTCGACGTTAAATTGTTCACGTTGAAGTCGGCGGTGCGCTTCAGAATCTTCATGCACAAGCCACCGCCGACGGTCACCATAGCAATTGTCCGTTCTTCTTGCCCCATTCGTCCGTACTGCGAAATAAAATTATGTAGAAGAAATTATGTATAAGAAATATCGTACGAGTGCTTTTTCCTATTGTGCTAAACATCAATAATATCTTACACTTTTGTAAAAGTGACCAAAAGTACCTTAAGAGCGGACACGGGCTCTAGAATCTTCACCGTGTCCACGTGATGTTTCCCGTCATAAATGCGGATTCCGTGTCCCGCTGTGCTTACAGCGAGCAAAGACAGTCCATTCTGCGGCACCGGTAAGCTCGCTAGGTCCAGTATTATGCCAGGGATGCTGATGTGCCACATTTTTGTGCCCTGTGGAAAATTTGTGCCCCACGTTTAACATGCTTCGTTGCAGAAGTTCTTAGAAAACATATGCATTTGCAAGCGTACCTTTTTCGAGAATCCCATTAGAGTGCCATCCATAACAGCCACCGCCGCTCCTTCGGAGGTCAGAACGGAAATGGCTACCGCTGGTGCGGGCAACGTTTCCCAAAGTTTCACGGGACTTCCTCTCCGAATTACTCCTATTTTTCCATCCCTTCCAATCATCATCACGCGACCGTCGCCTGTCCACAAACCGTAACAGGCAAATGCCACCGGCGGCCACTCCAGCTGATGCTTGTCCATAACTGAAAAAGCTCTGCGTTGCGATCATTAAACGATACATGTAAGAAAGATGATTCTGAAATGTTTCACGCACGCGTTTCTCCTCGATTGTGCAAGACAAGTACCTGGGATCTAAGATGAGAACTTCACCAGCTTCGGTTCCTAATATAAGACAACTACTGGCAGGATCGTTCCACGAGTCCCTTCGGATAACAGCGATCGCTGTTAGCGCGTTGGCTTTAACAAGCGGCACTCTTCTATACTGCTCGGCGAAGCTTAATCGTAGATTGCTGTCCATAGATAAGAACTTTAACGTGCGAGGTGAAAGAAACGCCGCACCGAGTTCCTTCAGCAACAACTCCAAATCGTCCACGAGTGTCAGTACGTTTAGTTCCTCATCCAGTCCGCATTTATGCCAAATCTGAGGCAAATGAAAAATTCACGTGAAAAACAGTCCTTCTCATCGAATTTAAAAATTAAATTACCAATAGCTCTTAATAAATCAAAATTTAAATATCTTCAAAAAGCATTTAACTTGAAATTCTATGCCAAGGTTTTGTTGATACAAAGATCCAAAATTTGCGAGTCTACTTAAATTTAAATTTTATAAAATTATCATATATTGTTACTATTTTATATGGCAATGAAATATATATACCTCTCGTTCCTTTGGATGAACATCAATATATGGTAGACAGTACTTGAAAAAAGGTCTCATGTTTTTGTACACGTAGACATTGGCCCCAGCTCCTACAGCCACTACGCACGACCGAGGTTCTCCATTTTCCGTATAAAAACCAACTACACCACAAGGCGGATCCACCATGCTATGTTCGGTTACCTGATCGCCTCCTTTGTACACTCGTATCTAAAAACAAGTAGACAACACATAAATTTCACAAAATAAGAATAAAGAGGGTAGTTTTAGTCATAAAATACATCTTTCACCCATTAATATTTGCGTTATGTAATTGACTTTGTGAAACCACGACGATTAAAATCATAAAATGCACCAATATCTAATCTTTTATAATTATTTTCACACATTATAAGAAATATACCTTTGTGGAATCACTCCCAATTGCTCCTAAATCAGCGCAAATGAGCCTGGCATCACCATCGCCGCTTACATCCAGCATGTCAAGACCTCCTGGTAGAGCGAATAAACCAGCACTTGGTTCCCAAAGCGCTTCCAGCCAGCGACTCGTACCGAGTCCTCCGAGAGACTTGTGGTCCGCTCTACAAAAAAATACATTCAATAAATGATGCCAAAATAAGACTTTCGATAATGTTGTATCCTTTTTTACGGTAAAGTAAAAAATCGATTAGCAATATCTGAATAAAGATTGAAGAATGTTCTTTACCTCAAACCATGCATGATTAGAATTTCACAATTTATCTTCTAGTGCAAAAAAATTGCGTAAACCTGCTTACAACTCAAAAATATCAAACTACATATCAATTTTCCTGCTAACAGTATATATAATATTTACTTCCATATACATAAAGCACATTTGGTTAAAGTAAATAGTCGTCTAACTTTACACATGTTTTGCCAATTTCACAATTGTAGAATCGTTTAAGTGACAATTAAACCGATGATCAAAAACAAACACATATATATCGCCACTACAATAACAGAGTGCCATGCGCTTTGTTGCTGCGTTTGTTTCCATAGAAACCTTTATGCATGCGCGGCAAACTCATATTTCGACAAATTGTTTTTCAATATAATAATTATATAAACTGATTTTTTACGCACCGATGAAAAATCAATTGTAACAATTATATAAATTTCACATTGATATATTCATATCAACGATCTTTAAATTGAGAATACTGTTTTTTGGCAATCTCACATTGTAACTTACACACATGCAAGTTTTTACACGCCCACAAATCACTTCACACAATTAAAAAATATACACTTATCGCAATCATATGTAATTGTTCATAAGTACAGTCAATTTTATTTAAACTTGATACAAAAATAATTTCCAATATTATATCTGTAAAAGAAAACTATACTAAATTGTTTACAATAAAAAATAGTTTTATACTGAAAAAGGAATAAAAAAAAAATATATGTAAATATATATATATATATAAAATTACCTTATTGCTACTATATTTCGGTACAAATTATATGACGGATAATCGACAAACATCTAAGTTTAACAGAAAATATTCCGGCATTTACATTTATTACCGCGTAATACTGATGTTGATAAATATTAAAAAAAAGGAACATATCACCTATGACAGAGAATATATCATCGAGATTTCATCATTTAATCTCAACATGATTTCCAATCGATATTATTTACGATGTTAGAGTTAGATCCACGTCATATACGTTTTTAAAAATTAACAACTAAAATGTAAAGTATAAAAGAGATCAGATCTTGTATTAGCGAGAAATTTGAGCTTTGTGAATAGTATTTACTGGAAACAGGAATAAGCATTTTCTGTTTGTCCTCTTCTCGCACATAAGTCACACATACATTTTATCTATAATTTTGCTATTTCGATCCGACTTCAAATCCCAACTGTCCAGACACGTAATACCTTAGCCTATAGCCTCTCGATAGACCCGAACTTAAGCCCCTTAAATGTGGAGCAGAAATTCGAATTGTTCAATTCGTTGAAAAATTCCGCGCAATAAATCTGCCTGCACTGTACACATACGTAGATGTGAATGGTAGACCATATGTCGGAATGACCTTAAAGCTATTTGAACACAGCCAACAGTCAATAATTATACGATATTACACCTACGTACAGGATAACACGTGGATAATTGTTTTACACACTGTTTTACAATCTGAGAAAGTACACGGTCGATCAAGACGGAGAGGCGGAATCCTCAAAGAATCGAATAATTTATATTTCTTATTTTCGCAGTAATGTCGAGACTGGAGATGGCGGCAATGAGGGCGACGGTGGCCTCGCCGCGAGAGTTTCCAGTTCGCTGCAGTGAAATTGACATACAGAGCTGGAAGTGCTTATGGTTGATTCCGACTGCATTCCCCGTGCTTTATAAGTCTTTCTCACGTGATTGTTATCCTTGCCCGTTTCAACCACGCTGTTATCTCTGTATTTGGAGAAACAAACTGATAGTATCTTAAACCTGTAATTTAAATAATTAGTAATTAGTTCGTTATGTAATTTATATATATAACGATCAATTGTGTCTTACTATAATTCCGAAATATATTTACTCACTTGGAATATTCATACTGAGCAAAGTGCAAAGATGGCCCTACAACCGCTAACATTGAACACAGGAATAATGTGGCGTATATCCAGCTGATCGCCATTACGATTAATAAAAATACACCGATTTGTATATACGCTAATACATGAGAAGGTAACATTAAAGCGCCTGCCGCTCCGCTCGTAATCGCTGCCATAAGAGTCGGACCGCCCATTTGTTGCAGTGCCGTTTTCACTCGGTCCACTCTGATCTCAGAAGCGCATTCCTTATAACTAACGGCATAATGCAAACTGAAATCCACAGCGAGACCTAATAAAAAAAAATGATTGCGATTATAAATCTGAGCACATGAAAACATTCTTTAGGTCACTCAGTCGAATTTTATTCCATTTATTCTCACCTATCGCTGTAGATACTGCAATGCTCTCTAGGATGTTGAGCTTCCATCCAAGAAGAATAAGTGTAGCAATAGTTACCATTATTGCAGAACCAATAGCTAAGATAGCATACAGGCTAACAAGAGGATTTAGAGTCACTAACGCCAGTATTATCAGAGCTAAAACCAACGATACACCCACTGCCTTTAGAGTACCTTCGTAAAGTACACGTTGTAGTTCGTAAAATTCGAACTGGCTAAAAAACCACCCTCCTTGCATTCCTTTCGGCGCACTTCGTAATTGATTTTGCATCCAGTCTTCAACCTGATTGAATTCAATGATTAAAACTGCTTTAGAGAATTCAAATATTCTTTGCTTCTCTGCGATAACAGAAGTCGACACCATTGCGAATTCGAAAATTTGTGCCAAAATCATGGCTATGCATTTCAGTTATTTAAAAAATGTTCATGATAAATGTTTGTGTAATTAAATACTAAAATACTGTTCCCTGTGTAATCTTTCTTTCAAAAATTTAATTTATTAATAAATTATTAAAGATAAAAATCTGCTTAAATTACTACTGAAATTTGCAGCTATGATTTTGATACAAATTTTCGCATCTACTTCGCAGTGTTGACTTGTGTCATTGCGGAAAGACATCAATTCACACATACAACCAGCGATAAACAGTACTTGCCTGACGAACAAATTTGTCCATGTTTGCGAACGAGTGAGAATATACATATGTACTGTCGTATTCGACGATAACTAATTTAATTTTAGGCGGTGATTTAACCATAAGCGTGTCATTTGACGTTTGTTTAGGCAATGGTTCCTTTTCAAATTGTACAGTTGCAAAACCATTATATTCCTTATATTCCTTATATTCCTTTAAAGCATTCCAATCAATATTGTCCTTCAAATACGGTGTGCGTTGCAAACTGGCGCTATGTTCGGCTGCACATTGTCGCAGAACACTGGGCTTATACGGAAATTTACTGGTTTCGCAGCAGGGTGTATAATCAATTGTAGGATCAACAGGATCCTGACATCTTTTCTGCATCCACGAATGTAACGGTTCGATAAAGCAATTAGGCAATAGAGGTCCCATGGTACTGCGATAGAAAGGTTGACTCCGTAGATTTCGGCAAAACTTTAAGAGCCAAACTTGTGACTCTTCATCAGAAATGTCAAAAGTTTCATCCCAGTCCAGTGTGCCCTTGTTAGCGGGATCAAGGTAATCACCATTGTCAATTGGATTTAGGCCAAATACAAATCGCAATGGTAAAACTTCGGCGTCTTTGCCATCCTGCATCAATCAAGAGTACAAAATTTTATAAAAGATTTTATAAAAAATACATCTATGAAATAAATCAAACTTACCTTCTCCTGTTCAAACCAGAACTTCCGCCGATATACCATATCATACTGTTCAAATAAATGTGAACTGTGGAATAACTGAAAATCCTTATGATCTGGCAATTGCAAGCCTGGATAATGGAAGACGATAACGCAAGCTATTGTTGCTAAAGTTCCCAAACTCAATAACCAGAACCATCGCAAGCGAATGACTATTCCGGTTAGAAAGGCAGTAAATCCCGCCGTCACTGTATCTCCGAAGGATCGCAAGGGACGAATAATCTTTCTGGTAATGAAATTGACGGGAGATAAAGCGGTTAATTTATAACGCTCTGACACAATTACACATGCCGGTAACCACGTGACCATCAAGAAGAAATTAGCGATAACTGTAATGCCTGCAAATAAACTATTATACACAAATTATTAGAATGCACGACAATTGAGAGCAATGTACGATGAAAATGCTGTACAGTAAAAATTAATACCTGAAGCAATTGATGGCAGACACATTGCTAATAATTGAAGTGAAAAAAGCTATTGCTGTAGTGAGAGATGTGACGAACATAGATGGAAAAGCATATCTCATCGTCTCTTGCACCAAACGGACTAATCCGCCAGGAAGCTTTTGCTGTTTTTTCGATTCCCACACTTTGCAATATATAAATGCATCGTCTGCCCCAATACCTGTTAAAAGATTTCATTTATTATAGTATAATATATTTATAGTGTAAATTTATAGAGTAATACGTTGTGTATGTATATAAATACTAACCCACAGCTACAACAACGGCCAACAAATTCATAAATGGAAAGAATTTAATACGCAGGACAAGAGAGTACACTGCGTACGAAATACCAAGGCTAAATAGCACTGCGAAAATCGTTGTTATGGTCAAAATTATAGAGCCAGTATATGCCGAAATGCAAAGAGCAACAAAGACAAAGCCGCAGATTAACAAACTCGAATCAGATACTAACAGTCGATCGAACAATATACTTTTTAGGCCAAACTCTATGCCTTGAACACGAAAGTTTCCATACTTTAAGTCATTACTGTCTAATTCTTTGTAAAAATTTAAAGTTGCAGAGCTTTTTGCAATCGGAAGAAATAACATAGCAGACTGTAACGTTGAATTTTGTCTCTTTTTCAGATTTGCCTTCTGTAACAATCAAATAAATATTAAAATGGAAAAGAATGGACATTCATATTGAAGTAATGTTAAAACCAAGTATACACTTACCGAACTTGATATAAAATCAACGTCCAAAAGAAAGTGCAGCAAATGGTAAACTGCATTTTTCGCATAACATTCAGATGGCACATGTTTTTGGCAATTGTCATTTTCCTCACAATTAGCCGATAACTGACGATTGTGATAATAATCAGCGCATTTTTGTAAAAGTGCTTTTACACTGCTCAAATCATTTTCCGTTACACCTAAACATGAACTGCGATTCGATAATAACGCAACATAATTAGCTGGTGACCAACTCCGACAACATTTTTGCCCATTACCCTCTCGCGCCCTTTGACACAGAGATGTAAAGTGAGCATTAGAACGAAGTACATCGTCAATATGACATTGAGCTAATATACCATCTGTGGACCACAAGTCATTTTCTTCCAAATCCACCAGGTCCGAAGTACCAATTATAACACGAGCATACACGTCACCTGGTAAATTGCAAAAAAAATTGTCACTATTGACGTGATCTTGATTCTTATTCTCTATTATAATATTATTTAGGCTTTTTGAATTATGCGATTCCTTCTTCATATCTTTAGGCTTCTCGCTCGTTTCTTTAATACTTGTGTCATTTTGTGGCATTTTAGATTTCTTCCCTTTAGGCTTTTTATATGGTTTTCCAAAAACTTCCTCACTAGTCACAGTCTTATTTTTTATATGTAAATCAGACTGCAAAATTAAGTTGGTATATTTTAATAATACATTTTGCTGATTACTCACAGTACGTTATTATACTAACATTTCTAAATAAAAATGTCTGGTTAGTTTCTTAAGTGTTATGAAATAAAAACACATGACCATAATTTATGTATACATAAGAAACAATTTATGCAAAGATTATAGATACTGTTTTTTAAATCCAAATCTGCAGTCAAAATTTTTAAATTCTGAATGATAAACACAGTATAATGACTAGAAATTTAAATAATTCTATGTAAAATTTTTAGAATTAGGAATATAAAATAATCGGAGGAAAAGTTTTAGCATTTATACCTCAAGTTTTTGTTGATGAAGCAAGTGTTGATAATACTCCAAAGGATCAATAGTTAGTTGTCCATTAAATTTTACAGAGTCAATTAAATTCTGCCAGACAGTGATCCTTTGCGCTAAAACTGTACCTCTTGCTTCGAAACCCTATAACATAAATATTTAAATGTAATGTAAATTTAAGTATAAATACTTTAAGTACACACAGAATTTTACAATTCTAAATCTTTTATAAACTTTTACAAAGATTTATTTCTACGTACCGCTATAGGATCCGAAAAATCTGGAAGTTTTTGAGTTGTAAGCGGGATAATGAGACATACTGACGAAAATACAAATACTATCATCAAAATAGCATACGGATGATGAGCAACTACGCGAGAAAACCACGACGCTTCCATTTCTATAATTTTTTCTATTTCTTATATTTTCTCCTTTAAATGTATCATAACCCCTATGTGAAATAAATAGAAAATGATCAATATGATTAATAGAAATTTGTCATCATAATTTACATTTTTATTAAGTAGTGGAATTTGCAATAGCATTGAAATATTCTTTTACGATAAAGACAAGTTTCTCACATATACAATTATTCGTCTCATTTTACTCAAGTACCTACAGCCATAAAATATTCCTCATAGAATGCTTCTGTGATTCCTTGTATTATATAGTCTGTAGTTTGTATATAATTTTAAGATTATCCAATTATTAATATCTAACAAGTGGCGAATACACAAAGAGACGACTATAGAAACATAACAATCCGTTAAATTGTTCATAACCGTCTCAATATTTCTTTCTTTATCTTCGTATTATTTTTCAGTCATTTTATCAATTGTATTCCTTGAGAAGAAATTTTATTTGTTTATCTATATTTAATAATAACACGTGTTTGCACCAATTTAGACTACAACGATGTACCGAATGGTACAATCCACGTAGCTTCGAAAAACCAACGGACGTGCACAAACGAAGGAATACATAGATTCGTGTGATATACCGAAAATCATAAATACTTTATCGCAACAAAATTTACCAAATTTGGACAATTTTGAAACACTCGCAGCTTTTTGCACTAGCGGCAGAAAAGTCACTAGAAATTACTGGTGGAATAATAATAATAAAATCGCTATGCAGCAATTGGCACCAATTGCCGCGTACGAAATAGCATGAGACGAGATTGTCGCGGCAAACATTTCAATTCCTTCGATTTTAGGTAAGCGCAATAAAAATCGATATCCCCGTTGTCCGCAGCCGTGAGATTATGCAGTGACCTTTACATCTCGTTTCCGAATATTGTTCAATCACCGAGAGAATAAAATCGTTTGCGCCAAGACGCCTGCCAAGAGGACAGTTAGTTGGCGAGGTACGTATGAAATGCTCCTTACCGGGGATATCACTATACATTGTAACATAACCTAGTTTGAGAAATTGTATTAACAATAATTTTAAATAATAAATTTTATACATAATCGAAGTTTACAAAGCTTAAGTATTATGTTTTATTTTTAAAATAGTATCTTTTTGCAAAGCAGCAGCACTTATTATTTTTAACATATACAGTCATGTTTAAGACTTAAAAATTTTATACTTAGAAAATATATTGTGATCCATTGACTGCACCCAAACGATTGAGAATTAATAGTGACGATATATATAAATTACAATCTTGTCTTTATTTTACTTTTAATAAAAAATGTTGGTTGTAACATTTTTCAAAGGAATCAGTCATATTAAGTCTATCAAAATTTTGTTTTTATTTTTAGATAAATAACATGCTTATTTTGTATTACAATTTAGTCTTTTTTTCTTGTACAGCACAATAAATGAAAGAAATGGCAAGCAAACGATCAGCAACAACAGAGCTGAATCATGACAACTGGAACGAAGAAAATGAACCAGAGGAGGCAGGGACATTTGCGAAAGCGTCGAGTGATATACTGGAGAAAAGAATTATAAAAGCGGCGAAACGTCGTTTGCCGCCAATGAGGGATGTAAGTATATGATTTGATTCTTTTGTATGGATTATATTTGTATTAATTACTATTTTATATAAACTCGATTGCAGGGAACTGATTCAAAAAGCGCATTTGGGACATTTGCAGGTTTTAAAACTACTCCTGTAACAAACCCTCCTGTTTCATCTCTATTTAGTTTTCTAGCTAATACAAGCGCCACTTCTAGTACGACTTCTGTTGCACCAACAATGACTGTAAATACAAGTAGTAAAAATATCGCAGCTAATGGTGCTCCTAAAACTGCTGAAAACGATGCAAATAAGACAGAAGGTACTGCTAAAGTGCAAACACTGTCCAGCACACGTTCCAGCAAGAAAGTTTTGACTGGGCAAGAAAATGAAAAGACAAAGAGTCACTCCTCAGATTATTATGCGAAGCTGAAGGGATTGAACGAAAGCGTTGCTACGTGGATAAAAACTCACGTAGATGAGAATCCTTTTTGTATATTAACACCTATTTTTAGGGATTACGAGAAATATTTGAAAGAGATTACATCGAAAGAAGAGAGCTCTAAACAAACTTCGCATATTCCACATGTGACACAGGTTCGACAAAACGATAACGAAAAAGATAAAAATATTGAAAAGAAACTTGACAATTCTTCCTTTGCTAATTCAAACGCTAATGCAAAGTCTGCTTCAACAACAGCAACAGAATGGAAACCCGAGAAGTCGATATTGTTTTCTAACATTGCTGCATCTACCAAATTAATATTCAGTAATACAGAACAAAAAACAGAGAATTCCCCTAAATCTATGTTTAGTAATGTAGACGTAACTGCTGATAAAAGTAGACCCATTTTCGAAAAAATGGAGTCAAATGTTGCCAGTAAGAGTATATTTGGCAACCCGGAAAATAATCCATTCTTACACAAACCTTCTACCACTTCAAATGATGGGAAGACTGACGAGGAAGAAGCGAAATCCACCGTGAAATCTGTAGCTCCCACTTTTCCAGCTTCCACTTTTAGTTTCGGACAGAGTTCCACCACCAGCAATATAACTGCTGGATTTAGCTTCGGAAGGTAATTTATTTGTCAATTTGATTAAAGCTTGTTAAATTAAGCGAGATACAAATATAGATATTGACGATTTACAGTGCAAAGCCGTTCTCATTTGCACCACAAACGGTCAAGCCACAAGATTCTGAGGACAATGAAAATAAGGACGAAGAAGATGAAGAACCGCCGAAGCCAGATTTTAAACCGGTAACTGAAGAAGGCGCAATTTATGAACAAAGGTACATCAATGGTTCAAGTTATTCTGATATTATAACATAAATAATTATTAAACGACCGTGATAACTTTTCCTTTTCAGATGTAAGGTCTTCGTGAAGAAAGATGGCAATTTCGGTGACAGAGGTGTCGGGATGCTGTACCTAAAACCGACACCAAATGGTAAAACGCAGTTAATAGTACGTGCCGATACTGCTTTGGGTAATTTGTTACTTAATACCCTGTTGACCCAAAGTATTCCGATTAAGCGTATGAATAAGAACACGATAATGTTGGTCTGCTTACCAATGCCGGACTCTTCGCCGTCACCAGTTCCAGTCCTCTTAAGAGTGAAAACTAGCGAGGCCGCGGATGAGCTACTTGAAACACTAAATACACATAAAAAGTAAAAAGTCGTGCAAGAAATAATCGCAAATAATTCGCGAATCTGCAGAAAGCCATTTCTTTGACCTCATATGCAAGAAAAGAATGCGAATTCTTGCAGATCGAGCACTGAATCTTCCCTTCTAATGGTTCCCTATAACATTACAATTACTGAATTGCATTGATTTTTATAGATAGTGATTAACTCCAGTACTCGCTAAAACGAGACAATTTGATTCAACGATTACATGTATTCTATAGATCACTTTTTAGCAAGGAACACAAGTCGGCGGTGGAAACATTTTTATAAACCTGCCTTATATTCCAAATCGTTTTTACTTTAATCTTTAAAATGTTACACGAGTTTAGAATTGCAAATGTAAAAAAAGTTTTTAATTTGACCACGAATTTTAGGTCACATTTAAGACGACTTGGAATATAAGATCAAATTATGATAATTGCTTCAAAAGTCGATTTGTATTTCTTACTGAAGAGCAACTGCAATTATCTATCACGCAGGTACTAAAAGGTTAAATATAAATCTTAATTCATACGTAATGAAATATTTGTTCATTATTAAATGTAAATTTTGCATCGAACTTTTTTTTTTATCTTAAAAAATATAAATTTTGCAATCGCCTAAAAGAAGACTTTAAACACGTTACGAGTAAATTTGAAATAAACAGAGGGACTCTATTAGAAAAATTTTTCTTCGCTGTTACTTCATTCGCAAATACTGTACAAAAGTGTAATTAATGTATCCTCGTCTCCTTATTAGGTCCTGTCTAGTAAAAGATAATAATTTAGTAGATTCTGAAAGGATATCCCGATTTATACAGATGTGACACTTCGGAATGAGCGTTGCTAGTGGTTGTAAGCAATGATGTAACTGATACATTGGAAATATATATGTACATAGTAAAAATACAATGTATATTATAAAACAGGCAACCTGTTCGTGTAATATTCAAATATCCTATACTATTAATTATATAAGAGTGCAAAGAAACTGGAAATTATATGAAATTGCCTGATATCTTCACAGTATTCTTTTTATGAAAGGGATTCTTTGATGGACTTGTACTATAATTATAATTATTGTAAGATAAAAAATATAATTCTACGAATTTGACTAATATTACATCATATAGTGAACACAATTTAGGTAATGATATGAAATAGATTGCACATATTTGAAAATCGATGAATGTACGGGATAAGGAGACATTTATTTTAGTACTCGTAAGATTCTGATTTATATATATCAAATTTTTACTGTTAATTTGATATACATTTATTAGACGTATTTAGTGAAATTATTTGTATTCTGAACATGTCTTTAATCAAAAGTATATTTTCTTTGGATCATATACGAGTATATACGAGTATATTTATATACATATCCTCGCATATACAAATATATAAATATACAAGGAATATATTAAATGAATTTGTAATCTTTGCATATAATACGCGAGAAAAATAATATCGCTACGAGTGATTTTAAAATGCAAAAAGATTAAAAAAACATTCTTATTTCTTGTTAGATTACGATAAACTATTATAATTAATAGAACTTCTACTATAATTAATTATAATTAATTATAATTACCTGCAACTTTTAAATTATCCTTGCACTGGTTTTATAAATATTTTTTTATAGTACATAATTTGTATAAATCCATTACACAAGGATAGAAATTTTTTTAGATATCAGAGAAATACTTTGTTTTTAGTATTTCGCAATTTGTACACTACCGTTGCATTCGATTCCATAGCGTTGCTGTTTATAAATATAATCGAAATATACATATAATATGTAAAAATCTGAAACATTAATATATTTAGATATTTATGTTTTAAGATATTAATATATTCAGCAATATTCAACAATACACATATTGTTCCTCTAAGTATCTTGTGAGTGTACTGTGAGATTAAAGAACAAGTCCGGAAATACATTCTTAAAAAAAATCAAGGACTTCCGTCCTTAATTTTTTTTTGCGTATGTATTTACAAAACTAATATAATTGCTTAAATCCTATATACGTGTGAACATGCGATTTACATAACAATATAATATAACATGGCCTATACACGAGAGATGAGAAAATAAAGTTTGATTTCTTGTTTTCTTTTATAAAAAAATCCTGGTGCCGTGATTGCCCGTAATATTCATCAATTACACTGTACATTTCGTAAGAATATTTGTACGACGGTGTCTCTTTCAAGTTCTTTGTGCCATAAACGGCGTTAGAGCACCTATCTGTCCTAGGCCTAATTGAATGTGTTGCATATGAATTTCTACGCAATTTTGAAATACTTCTTGATTCTGTGGACTAAGCTTCGCTCTTATTTGCTCCATAGTACCTTGTAACACTTTCAGCTCGTACGCATTTCGATTAGAATCCGATAAACTCTGTGAGAAGAAAGCCATCTTTAGTGTCAGACATATGAATACAGTAGAAACTTGCGTATCTAATATATCAATTTATCTTACTTTCACTTGTAACATAAGTGCAGTCAAATCCGTTATCAACTGATTCATCTTTCCCGGCTCTTTGTCGTTCATCATATTATTTCGAGCAACCATATCCGCCGCTTCCTGCTTGCACTTTTCTCGCAGATGCGACGGTGCTAACATCGCCGCTACGCTGGGCTCGGGTGCCATCTCTTGACACAACTCTTGTATCTCATTCAGAAAGTCTTGTAGAGCGCCGTTCATTCTTTCCAATTCAACGACAATTCTGAAAACAATAAGACGGCATAAAAATAAATATATAAATAAAATACACAATATGACGAATTATATATATATATGTCTTACCCTGCGTATTTTCGTTCGAAATCAGAAGGCAACAATTCTCCAAAAGAATGTCTCTTCTCAACTTCTCCGTTCATTTCCTTCAACTTCGTGATTTTCGTTTTCTTAGCTGCTAATATTTTATTCACCTTCACCATTAACTCGAGTAATCTCATCGGATAACCATTCATAGTGCCACCGGTATGGGATTTTTTCGGCAGAGACACCGAGGCATTGGATATTAAAGGATCATTGGTAAGTCGCGGTGATAATTTCATCGAGTACGGCGATGTCGGTACGTATTGTAAAGGTCGTGGTCTGAACTTTTGAGCGAACGATGCGACGCTGATTGTTTCAGGTGGTTCGTTTGACTGTAAAATAAAAATACACACATTAAAGCAAACTCAAAGGAGTTTTGACACACGAAAAACAAGACGTACCAAGACTTCGTAATCAGGCACACTGTGTGTTCCAAGTCCAGCTCTCTCAAATGTAATTCTGTATGTATTATTACTAGTGTCGACGGCATCGATGCTCCCAGTGAACAATCCGTCTTGCGGTTTTCTCAATCTTGCCGTCACTTTTGTACCAATCACTAACTGTAACGGTATTTCGGATGGTAAATCCTTATAACTGCTTATGTCTGCTGTTTTTCTTTGCTGCAGCAATCGTATCTTATGCCTCTTTCTTTCAAGCTCGCGTCTCTCCTCCTCAAAGAACGATTGTGAACATCTACGTGGCTTGCCCATCATCCTTCGAATTTTACACCATTCCACGCGAGTAAGCTTGCGAGTTTTCAATTGCGGAAATGATTCCTTCAGACATATCATGAAGTCGTTATCACCCTCGAATAACACTCTGCAAAAATATTATGGTAAAGTGATCGTTATATATTTCCACATTGATGTTTTCATATTTTTCCATATAACTTTATATTTCTATCAACATTAATCGCTTTAATATAATTATTTTATACATACTTGTCAATATTGCTGTAGAACCATTCATAACACACCCATTTATGTGCCTTTGGCAGCTTTAATAAATTTCTCAGTCTCATGCCAATTTTTTGTCCTATTCTACGATCAGGTGATGCAGGTTGTGGTGGCTTATCGAAGTCTTTCTCTTGCTTAACTGGTGTTGTCGAGTGTTGCAAAAGTGAGCCTGTGCCTTTCTTCTGATCACTCATCATCTTTCCTTGCCTCTTCATTGGTGATCGTAACATCTTCCTAGGAGACTGTTTAGCTTCTATGCTTAAAGGATCCTTCTTAACTCTGTAAATATGATTATTGCACATTCAATTAATTAACTGAGTCTACTTTGCTATTTATTTAGATATTATCACAAAATAACAATTTACCTGTGGTGTGGATGATTAATTAAAACATCATCGTAAAATAATTTATTCTTTTTTCTGATTCTTACTGGCATCCCTCTGCGATTTAATGCTTGTACAGGTTGGGTCGGTGGGTTTGGTTTAGCAGGCGGTTGAGTGCCTACCCTTTGTAAACCTAAAGCAGCTGGTCCTAATTCCGGTATCGGTTCTAACTCCTCTGTATCCATTTGTAGATCCGATGGATCTATCGAATGATTTGAAATTTGCTGATCGTCCATGTCCATTATATCATCATCCATTATCTCTGTTTTAATTTCATCCACTGCTGGATACCCGCCATTCTTTATAGATAGCAACGCTTCTGCAGATTCACCTGCAAAACAAATTTTGTATACATAAGTGTGATTAAATAAATTTCTTAAAATCAAAATGTAAATATTGTATTCTAGAGTGATCTATAGACGTAACAACCAATGCTCTAAAAAATTACTTCATTGCTCATATTAAGAAAAATCAGTAATAACATACACAAAAAATTTATATCGTGAAAGAATAAAAATAGAATTTCATTGAAACTTAATAAATATGCATGTAAGTGTATAACAAGCTTCAATACATCAGACATACATTTGTTAGAAACTTAAAAAAAAAGCTGAATTGACTCATTGTAGAAAACAAGGAGACGCACTTCCATCTCCTCGCGAGCATGAGGCTTTGTATTTCTCGAAGAGAAATTCAAGCGTTGAGCGTCGGAACGTCGACATAAAATTCGCAAGTTTGTAGTGACTCGCGAAAATATCTACCGTACGAGATATTCATACGACAGAAGCGACATAACCAAACTCGAGTGTTTGGTAAACAGTCTGCGCGGGTAACGTTCGAACGGGCGACCGAACTCGCGTTGCGCGACCGCCGTTGAACGGCAGGTCGCGGTGCGAAATGTGGACATCTCGCCTTCGACCCGGACATCCGAGTATCGCTATCCCAAGGATCACGATCGTCCCGCTTGAATCGTATGTTGGCGATTTTTGAAATTTTAAACCCGATACGCTCACGATTGCTGTTCGAACAGCGATTGTGACCGAGGCGAACGCGTCAGCGGGTGCGCGATCTACCGGATCGATAAATCGGGAACGCGAATTCCGCCGAGCCTAATTTCCAACGGCCATCGTAGCCGGGCGTCCTAATAATTTCCTCGAAAATAAGTTAAAGTTTACTCACTTTCAACTACGTCCGCCATGTTGACATCAGTGATGCATCATGGGTACATACGTACTTCCGATTCGGGATTCATATTCCGCCATCTGCGTGATTAGATTCGGTCGGTTCCTTTCCACTGTTTCCGGAGTCGCTGCTTGCGCGCATTGTTCTCAAGTTTTGTTAGCGCGAAAATTCAAAAGGATAAAAATTGACGGATTTTCTCGCTTGATGAATTAAGAAGTTTTATAACTTCATAAGATGTTAATGTGCAAAATATTATGCATCTAATCGCTTAAAATATCTCTATACTTTTGATGATACGAAAAAATATGTCAAAGTGGAATTATTTAATTCTAAAATAGAGAAATATTGTAAAATAAACAGAATATTTTAAATAATGATATAAAAAATAATTAAGACCTAGAAATTATAACCTTTTGTACTAATTAATTTTTTTAATATTCTTTTAAAATGCTTTATATTTTGATAAAAATATTTAATTGTTTGGATTGAAATTGATGTAGTTAATTTAATAAGTAATTAATGTAGTTAAATTTACAAGCTATAGTATATTTTTTTAGAAATAAAATGAAAGAATTATACATATGACTCATATATTTTAATATTATAAATGTTACCTTACTTCAAGCGGTGCTTTAAATCACACTTTTTTAACATATTTCAATTTCACTCAAGACAATAAACAAATTATGTATCTCATTTGGGTTATGATAATATTTTTAACATGCACAAACTGTATTCCAATTGACGATATCTTTGCAAACGTTAATAAATATTGCAGAAATAAAGACAGATTAATTACATCTGAAGAGAACGACGAATATTTGCTTGTCAGTGCCGAAAATGACACGACTATTATGCTAACATGTCGTTATTGGTAAGACATTGTAACGTGTATAATTAATCAAATAGGGATTATTAGTGAAACTATTCTACAGAGCTTACAAATGTAATAAGATTGTACAGGAGAAATATTTTTGAAGTACTGTAAATAAATCATTGAAGATCTGATTCTATAGAAGCAACGAGGACGAAGAAGTCCAACAAAAAATTTGGTACTATCAAGAACGGTATCGAGAAAGACCAGAAAAAAAAGTCGAGCTGGGGATGGATAACAATATTTCGTACAGTAGAATCTACACAACGCCAGATTTTTCTCTAGTCATCAGAAGCTTTTCAGTAGCTGACGCTGGCATTTATCGATGTCACGGAGAAGAAGAGCAGAAGGATGAAAATAAATATAATTACAGAATCGAACGTAAAACAGATAATAATAAATGATATATTATTATATAAACATTTTATTACATTACAATATATTGAGAATATTTTTTTATCTCTCCTTAGCTTTTTTAACGACAATTTGTTACAATTGAAAATGTTTAGTCAATCAATTATACGATATTAATAATATTTCCATTGCATATTGTCAATAATATTTTTTTAATTATTCAATATTTATTTTATTCTAATTTTTTTGTGTATTATGATGTTGCCAAATACAGATTATTCTTTAATAGCAATTCTCAAAGATATTAGCGGCACATTTGTGGAAGAAGGGAATATAACTGAATGGGAGAAATATCGCGAAACATATTTGTGGCCTGTCACTATGAGATTTTCAGTGAGTTAATTAGCTTCCAGTTTAACATGATAAATAATACATAAAATAACCTATATTTCATTTCTGTTGCATCGTTCAGTTCAACTTATCTACATTTTTACAACTTTTCGATTTACATTTAATAAACGTAGCTGTATAAAAGATGCAGTTGCATATACAGGTCTCGCAAATGACGGACTTGGTCGAAATTCGTGAGGAAGGAGTAACTCTTCAAGTAATATCCGAATGGGGTCCTTGGAGTCCGTGTAAGCAGTGCGTTAATAGCCGCGGAATTAAAACCAGCAGAGGCTACTGCCGATTAAAGCGCAATATAAATTCGGCGAGTGTTATATTTATCTCATTTCATTGTTTCGATGAATTATAATTTCTTTATACATATTATTTTATATTTTATATGTGTAATCCTCTCCGAAGAAATGCAGTTCACAACGAAAGTTTTGGGTTCGTAATATCCACAAACTATTTATTTTTTATTAAACTTTAAATGCGTTTTTATTGAAAAGTTGATCTTTGTTATAAGCAGGATTTCTTACGGGAGGATCACATATAATTACGATTTTATTACTCACTTTATTAGAGTTTTTATTATATCATTTCTCAGACAATGATAAAAAGAAACGACTCGACTATTGTACGCTTTTTTCGAGAATCTCCAATACTTCCCTGCAAGTAAATAGTAGTGTTTTTATTGTTCAATTAAAAAAATTTTTTGCACATTAATTTAATCGATTTTAATAACACTATTTTAATAACGCAATTTTAGATCCATTCTGCTTCAAGATGAATTTCCTAGTATCAGTCGTATTGTACGATACTTGCCAGAATTTATCTTAAAAGAATTTTGTAAGAAATGTCCACTGAAGAAAGGACGAAAAGGCGAGAAGTTTCGATATAAGAAGCGATATGTTCTCGCCGAAGGCGCGCATCTCGTCATTGCTTGTCCAGAGTAATCTTTATACTCATATAAGTAGATATGAAAAGTAAAAAGAAAAAACGAGATATTTTTGACATAGATCGAGTACAGCATCGCAAGTAATTTGGAAAAAAGACGCGCTTACCTTGAAAAAGGGAACAAGTCGGTCATTTCGCGAAAAAAATACAGAGGCTCGAATGATGGTAGACACTTTCTCAACGCTCTATTTAACAGGTGATGTAATATTAATTACATAAAATAATAACTTATGTCGAAATATGTAAAACTTTTTAAAAAAGTATAACTCAGAAACAAGGCAAAATCAAATTGAAATTTATATGAACTTATTGTATTGTTTTTCATGCTAAATTTATTCTTAAAATGTTTCCTACATGTTAAATTACATTCTGTATATTCGTTTATTTACCCAACCGCATGGTAAGATTTCATGTCTTTTATCATATTTTATTATATTTTATATTTTTTATAGATGTGTCCAAAGAGATGCAGGGCAATTATGTCTGTTATGTAGATAACATCAGCATGATGCGCTTGAAAATCATTATCGTGTCCAAGACTCGTTTTTTGACACAAGGTTAGTTAAAACTCGATAAAAAGACAACTAAAAGCATGTGAAAGTACAAACTTTCAAATGCTTTTTTCAAATTTTTTGTTTGCGATGATTTTTCGCCGAATTACAGCGATTTAAAAATTGCTAAATTTTAAATACTCGGACGTCTCGACGCGGCAGAGCAGCGCGACCGAATGTATGGGTGCGCGGTGACTTTTATGCGTGCATAGCACACTTGCATTCGTGCATACTAATGGCGCATCGCAAATTTTTCGTTAAATAGATTTTGTCTCTGGATTTCTTTAATCGTAAAATTATTATTAACACCTCTACATTCATAAAAGTGTTTTATTCACAGGCGTTCTTACCGTTTTTTACAGCTTTCTTTCGGCATTTGAGCTACTTGGGAGTTATAATTTTTTTGACTTTGTTCTGTTACTGCGCAGGTGTAATAATGGCCTACCGACAAAGAGATAAATTTCAGCTTTTGCCACAGAATGATTCTTTAGTAGAAGATATTGAATAATTTTTAATGTTATAATATATTGGCATACTTTATTACAATTGTATATGACAAATGTAATAAAATATTATGTTGGATTAGATTTAAATTTTCACTTTGTACTATTTATTACCTTGTAAGCATAAAATTTTATTTTATCCTCACATACATCTCTCCATAATATCTCTAATAATCTGTAGTAAAATATTATATATATCTGTAATAAAATATTATGTTAGATTAAATTCTTACTTTGTACTATTTATTACCTCATAAATATGAAATTTAATTTTATCCTCACATACAAAATAATATCTACTAAAATTTAAGAATTAAGAATTTATTAAAAGAATATTAAATTGTTAAAGTTATAATATTTAAATTTTGGTCGCCCCGCTGATCTCACAATTACGTTGCCTTTTTATTATACACAATTACGCGCTTTCAGTACTATCGTTGATCAATTTATTAATGTCTTACCGTTGTGCAACAGACCGGTTATCGGTCGAGAACATTGTACGGTCTTCTTGGCTGTCTCTCTTGCATGTTTTCTGCGATCCAATCTTCCTCGGCATACGATGACCTTAAAGCCGAGTGAAAGGGGGAACTGGTAGAGATAGTTAAGAGGTGTACGTGTCCGTCTAAAGACAGTTAAGTTAGTTCCAAAATGGCTGTGTCTCATTGTAGCTCCCGGCTTCTTATCTGCAGTGCTCTTTAATTGACCAGTGAATTAATTATAAATAAGCTAAACCGATATTAGAAATAAAATAGGATGAAATTTCGAGCAAGCGTCCAAGTGATCCTCGTGACTTTCTCCATAGTCGCGCTTCGAGAAAGCGCTGGTAAGCTTCGATCTCTACGATCTTTCTCATGGTTTTTATGATAATGTAAAATTGCAAATGTGCGTCACGTCTATTGCTATGCAGTTTACAAACAAAATTAGCTATTTCATTCAAATATAAATTGATTTTTTGTTAAATTAATTTGCACGTTATACGCGTTTGTTTACCTCAATGTGTTGTGTAAACTAAAGTAAAAAAAATCCTACATGTATTAAAAATCCTGATCTATTGTGCGAGATGAGTAAAATGATGACCGAGCGATACCGAGTAAAAGTGACAGTCGCATTCACTTTTACAGGCATTCTTCGAAGATGCGTAAGCTGTAGGTCGAGAGGAGAATTGGGTTCCTGCAAGGATCCTTTCACTATGAATTCTACGCAGATCACGTTTGAAAAAGGCATAGACGTAGTGCCATGCGTCTCTGGATGGTGCGGAAAAATCATCGAAAGTCCAAATTTAAATAACGGTGAATTATTTTAGTTTCAACAAATTTATATTTAGTAATACACTCTTTCTCTCTTGTTCCGCGTGAGAAAAAAAGAGAGTTATTAATTGCGTGTATGATAAAAAAAATGCAATAAACATTTCTTCTCAAGTTTACATTAATAATATATATTATAGATCTTTTTCAACTAACAAAAAATATTTTTTACATTGATATTTGACAACCCAACATTTTTTTTTGCGATAAAAATTTTCTAAAAAAAGTAAAATTGTATTCTGGATTGTAAAAAATTCTAATAAAATCATATTACAGAATACGGTACCGCTACACAGAGATTATGCTTTCAACGCGGCCCTGACGACACCGAAGAGAGATGCGCTTATACTGTGTGGAATTACAAGAAAGTTTACATGTGCCTCTGCTACGGAGATTTTTGCAACAAAACAACGAGGACGAGCATTGCCAGTAATGTTTTGATAGCGACAGCAATATATCTAGCACGGTGGCTCATTTGAAGATACAAATGACATTATTCTGTCATGAACAGAGTAAAGTGATCGAGCTCTCGGCGAGTTCTTTGTTGAATACGTATAAATTTCCACGAGAATCGACGATATGAATCTCGTGGATGTGTGTGCAATAATGTGTTCTTTTTTATAATGCATATTATAAAGTAATCATATCACAAGTGAGATTGTATTTGAGTATTAGATGCATTTATATTTGTATTTTAGCTTATAATTGTAGAACAATTTTGTGATTCAATACAATTTATTGATATTACAGCAATTTCTCTCTCGTATTAATTTAGAAATTTATGATTTTGCGCGCGTCAATCGTCACTTAATCAATTACTCTTCTTTCTTTTCTTGCTTATATATTCAGAAATCAATTCATAAATATAAATTGTTAGATATACGAGAGTGTTGCAATTTCAATAATTTGTATTTGCTTACGAAAATTCGTGTAATTAATTTTTATCATTTAAGATCAATTTTCGAGAAATCAATTATTCGACATTGATTTTATTGACGGCATGCTTTATATTATCGGTTTTAAAGATTTAAGCAGTCAAACACGTCATTGCTCTTTTCATAAAAACATATTTTACTTTTTAATTCTTTATATTTTGTTTCTCAATATATTACAAAATTCTTTAAACGGTTTAGTAAAAAATGTTACGTATTAATAAGTAAGATTAAGCTTATGCACAAAAATTTTTCGCCAGTTTGAGTATAAATAACTTTTCAATCCGATCACTCTTAGCTTAATTACGACTGGCACCTTTCCTGTAAAACGGAGATCTGGGATTTAGACTGCTCAGAACATGTCCGTGCAGACCGTTTCGTCTCCTCTCTTCCTGATTTCGCAACAGTGCTTTCGTGTGCGGGTAATTGTCGAAGAATAATTCGCCTAGGCTGTAAAGATATTTGACAGCCGTCATTGCTTCACGACCAGTTAATAAATACGGATCTCGTCCTGCAATCAGCGAAAAGCAATTATACAAAAGTATAAAATAAAATGCTGTTATTTCTTGTGAGAGACTGAATTCTCTTGACAGAAATCGTGAAACAAACGGTTATTCTCATTTGACAAAAGTATTCTGATAAATAACATTTTTATAATTTTCCTATAAAAACGTAACAAATTTATTTAGTATTTATACTTGATTGTAGAAGCCACTGTTCTGACGAATAAATCATGTACTCGTAACAGATTATCAAAATCAAATTATTGTATTATTTGAAACAAGTGTATATTTGATTGTGTAATAAGAAACAAATAGATATAAATAAATTTCAAGTTAACATAAAATTGTCGACGGAAAAATACTTTTACCTGACGATTTGTAGAAATTGGGAAGCTCGCGCTGCGTCTCGTGCCAACTATATCCGAGATCATTGACATCAACTGGCGGCAAGAAAACGCCAACTGGCCAAAGAGCTTCGGCGCTTCCGGAATTCGTTACTGGTATCGCATGTTGTAAGTGATTTTGCCGCAAATTCGTTCTATGACCGTAATCTGCAAAGATAAAACATAAATATAAATCATTTTTCTCTCCAGAAATGTATATTGTTTAGAAAATCTATATCATTTAAACTGAAACATATAATTTAATTGATAAAATTATCAATTAATAATATTAATTTCGCGAATCTTTAATCATTTGTCAATCTGTACTCGATTCACGAGTTTTCATTGACTTTAAATTCATAAATTATTTACGATAACAAATATTAGTCTTATATCAATTGTTCTGAATTAATTATACCATCATTAATCATACAAGTAAAAAAAAATAAAATAGTCACCGTTATTCTTGATACGCTTCGTTGCGCTTCTTCGGCCAATCGAGATGAATGAGTTTTGCGCTAGCGTTTGATCGCCTGAAGAGGAATGAACTAGTTAAATACATCAACTTAGTGCAATATAAAATTTTTGCGCAATAGATGCCTAACCATCTGTCGTAATGCTGTGCTCGTACACATTGGGAGGCGACACGAATTTCACGTGCACATTGGCGAGCGGCAGAGAATAAGCTACTGTAACCGTGAGAAGCAATAACACCACTGTTGCCTGAAATTAAAATTAAGTTTTATGTACTTTTATCTGTAACTTGGAGTGGGAATTGTCTTGTATTCAATTACTATCACATTGTTCACTGGTCTCAACAATAAACACGCACAATTACATATTTAAGCTGTTGCCACAGTGAAATCTATGTAAAATAGAATTTTTGGAATTTCTCGATTTGTTCTGGATTTCGTAGAGCGTGTTACAAAACACGATATGTCTGTGAGAACGCACGTAATTCCAGACTCACAAAAAATTATATCGCCCAACTACAATGCGCGATTGCTGAAATCGCGTATTGTGAATATCGTTGAATAGCTTTCGTAAACAAATTTCGTTAATTTCTTAAAAGATAAAAATTATGCCATATTATGCGCTCCACTTTTGAGACATTTTCTGTATAGCGTGTCTACGGCGTAAAAATTTGCTTGCGAACTAAGCTGTCAATGTCATTGTAAGACTCGCTTCGGCTTCTTAAAGCCACTAATAATTTTGCGACAAAATTATTTATGCAGTTTGCAAATTTATATATTCCACATATGCAATCTTACTAAGTGAAGACCATGGTGTAAGAAACAAGGTGTGCTCATTCCTCGAATGCATTTTCGTCACGTTCTGCGCAGGGAAGGGAAGGGGAAGCGTGACAAGATTCCGCCATCTTGAAAATCACCAATAGAAACGCGACAGGTTTCGAAGTGCCACGATAAAGAGGTTATACGTGCAGTTTTTGTAGTGCTTTATAGCGTTTTTATTATTTACGTTCGAGAAATAATATTTTAAAATGCCGTCGTGTGCGGTAAAAAATTGCAAAAACAATTCACGAAATACCAAAAATACCGGTATAAGGTATTTTTCATTTCCAAAAAAGAACGAAATGATAGAAAAATGGATAGTGTTGTGTAAGGAAAACGTGGATCCAAAAATCGGTATGTATATAATATCGACAGATTAATAAAATATAAAATTGATAAAATACATTATTAATAATTTTTTTATATAGCTCGTGTCTGCTCCGAACACTTCGATTTTTCGCAATATAAGAATGCTTCGTGGTTACGTAAGATATTGCCTGCTTATAGTCCTGTGAAAAGTAGGAAACTAAAACCAGATGCAATTCCAATTCCAATTGTGATGGAAAACGTTTTAGGTATGTATATATATTTCTTAATTCCATTCTTCCTTGCTGACTTACGTCCCAACTGTATCTCATTTGCCACATAACATATTGAATATGCTTACAGAAACAGATGTTGTGGCACATTGCATACAAATTGCTACGGACTGTGTCGCATCGAGCTCTGCGAATCCAGTCGTATCATCGTGCTCTGTGAATGAAATGGCATCATGTTCTGCGAGTCCAATCGCATCATCATACTCTGCAAATGAAATGGTACCATGCTCTGTTAATGAAATGGCACTATGCTCTGTGAGTGAAATGGTATGTTCTGCGAGTGAAATAGCACCATGTTCTGCGAGTCCAATCGCATCGAGCTCAATGAGTCCTGTCGCATCATGCTCTAGAAATGATGATAACTTTGGTACGTCTTTCTATTATGTATAACTTCTTTTTTTTTTTAGTTTTCTTTTATTTAACTACATTTTGATTAAAGTCTCAAAACGTTCCAAACATTACGTGCACATATTTTGTAATAATCAATAATGTTTAAATTTAAATTTGTGCTTTCTGCGCAAACGTATAAGTACTTCAAATTCACTTTCAAGACAAATATAATTATTTAATATTACATAATATACAATAATGTACATAATTGTAATAATTAATTTTATTACTAATATGTTTTTCATCGTAAAGGTTCATCGGAAGTTTCTAACAACGCTGAAGTACAGCAGCTGATGAAGGAAAATGCATCCCTGCTTTTAAAAAATAAAGTTCTTCAACAACAACTGGTTCGGAAGAATAAACTTTTTGATAAGATGATGAAGAAAAAATTGCAAGACATGCTAAGCCCTTTTTTCACGCCTGGACAAATTAAAATGATTATGAACCCTAAGCAAAAGATGACTCATTGGTCTCCGGTGGATATTGCGGCAGCAATATCTTTAAGGAGCGTAAGCCCGAAAGCTTACAGGTATTTAAGAAAAACAAAAAAATACCTCTTCCGGCACTATCAACTCTCCGAAGATGGGTAGCACATTTTGACATGAACGAAGGTATTTTGAAGGACGTCTTGCAAATAATGAGATGCAAAGGTCAAAGCATGACAGATATGGAGAAAGCAACGGTGATCTGTTTTGATGAAATCCATTTGTATTAATATTTTTTTGTATTTATTGCCTCTTACATTTGTCATTTAATTTATGTTAAAATATATTTACAATAAATATTTATATTTATATACATTTTTCAAAAACTTGTTCAACTTGCTTCAAATACCATTTAAATTCTACAAGATGGCGGAAACTTGTCACGCTCTTTTATTGGCTAATAAAAATGCCTGCGCATATATTCCACATATGCAATCTTACTAAGTGAAGACATTTATTTGTGCATTTAATCATTATGTAAGACTATTTACTGGAATTTGCGCTTTTATTCATGAAGTAGTTCGAGGTGAAGGTTTCTGTGTCATGATATGTGCGATAACAACTGAGATATCTTCTTTTTGATGAATTACACTCGATGCAGAAAACAACTGCACAAAATACGTATCGTGGAAAGTGTGTCAAGGCGAGTATGTTTCTAAAATTCATTCTATGTGAATCGCATACGTAATTCGTAATCTTATAATGTGGCAGGAAGTTACATAATAATAATTGTTTTTGAAATTTCAATATTAAGATTACTTTTTGAGGTATCATTTTCATAAGTGATACATTATTAATACGTAAAAAAATCCATTAATATCGTAATAAATTAATTGGATGAATTGTCAAAAGAATTAAAATTAGATCAATACATGATGCAATTGATTTACAATGTTTATGTTTCATCGCTCGTTATTTGGACGTTTTTTTTATCATTGATTATTATACAAATCAATTATACTGATAATACCGATATTTTATGCGCAACAATCTTTTGAGAAACAAAAGTCAAGAAGTTTTCTCAGAAGGATCAGCTACATTGTGCATTTGGAAAGCAGATTTTCGTGACAGCAATTACATTATATCTCCGCATTCCATCGATTACTGTGTACTATTACATCAGTCACCTACTCTACGATAAAACGCATTCACGCGCGTGCATACGAGCGACTTGGAGGAGGAGAAGGTTCGGACACACACATACTAGACGATGCGTTAAACCACCCTTTCGCCTTCCCTTCCTATCCGCTTACCTTCACCTGCGAGCATACTCGCGGTTGCTATTGAATCGGTATTTGAAACTCAGCAGTGCGGAAATCTCACGTGCATAAGTAACGATTCTTGCATTGATAGATTATCGATCGGTTAAGCCGGTTTTGCGACAATGGAATTCGCGGTGAGAGAATCGAATCTCGGAAAGATAATGTAACTTTTGTATGAAACTTTGTGTAAATTCGTCGATTTGCAAATTGTCAATCAAAATTAAGCTTTTACATATTATCGTTACGTTAAAATATTTCGTGTAGAAAGATATATTCGTACAGGACACGTGCAAGTAAAAAGGAAACGCATGAATTGCTGTAACTTATTACCGTTGCTGTAAATTGAGAGCGATCCCGTTTTCGTGATATGATTTGATGAAGAAAGAGCAAGTTATATAAAAAAATTACATCGATATACGCGCACACAATAATTCATAAGCACAGTCCATAAATTATTTTCTCATTTTCTTTAATTAATTACGTGAAGTATATCATCAAGTCTATTGCTTATAACTTTTTAGATCACAATAGTGGTTTAAATTATTCTTTTCTTTTACCAATAAAAATATCAAAACTAATTAAATGTCAGATTTCATTAATTCACATAACATGTGTAACTCTACAGAAAGTTATTTGCAATTTTAATCTCATTTTTCTCAATTCAAGCCTAGAATCGCTATTGTTTTCTGAACATTTTATATGTCTCGAGATCACTACAATGCGTTTTGATATTTCAAGTTTAGTTATTTTTTAAATGCTGTTAAATAGAAGATCTTGATGAAATACAACTTTTTAAACTTTATTCCACCCACCGTCATCTTCCCGCCTTCGCAATCGATCGTTGAGATACCAATCGAAATTTTGACAAGCGAGTCACTGTGCACGCACTCGGATCACTGTTTCCGCGGGGATCCTTTTTTTCTCGCGAGCAGGAGTTTTAGGATCTGGTCAGGTCTCGTGAATGTGTGCTAAGGAACTGATCCAATTCGAGTTAGAGAACGTCACGGCGGCAACGGTAATAGTGTGCATGAATTTCAGCATCTCTCCCTTCTCGCTACATACATCATATACCCCACCTGCGTAGCTCAACTTTTGCGAAGGCTCCTGGAGTAATAAGGATCCCGCCGACTCGTGGGAGATCATGGCGAAAACTTTCATCTCGACTTTAGGTCGCGCGCCGCAATAAAAAAAAAAAATGTTTGCAAAATGCATTCGCGAACGCGCTACATTTTTTTCTGCGGTTACGCAAAACAACCGCAAGGGTTGAATTACGCTATCAAATTAGCGATTACATATTGGATTATCACAATAACAATGTTACTATGTCTTTGCGCGAATACACATGTTTATGTTGACAAATTTGCATATATTATATAAATATATCGTTAAAGATGAAAATATTCTAAATAATCAATTGTATTAGAAAAAGTTCTTTGTAATAACGTCAGCTTGAATCTAAAATTTCACATAAATTATTTTACTTAAATTAAACACTAAAATGTCTCTTATTTTCAGTGGCAAGAAATGAATAAAAATGAAATGGTTTCATTCGGGAATAAATATTATAACTAATAAAAGAAGCGCAATATATTGCTTGTATTATATTGTACAGTGACTTTCTTCACAAACTTTCAAACGTTCAAATAAGAGCGCGCGTTTGCTACTCTGACAAGATGGTCGTCTCATAAGTTCCGGTTCACCGCGCGCTAATCGCATGAGGATTTCGCGGGTGGCCGAGTTCATGGGTAATATTTCCCAAGATTCTTTGTGGTGTATTGGCGTACCGGGGCGTCGACGAAAATTCAATTCATTGCGAGCGAGTGAGCGCGCTGTGTCGTGCACGTGTTCGCGTCGCAACGCGTTGTCACGAAAGGTTTTGTCGCGGACGCATCGTGATATATCGGCTTTTCGTTTCGCGGCACGGTCTGTGCGCGAAGATGGCGAGTTTCGTGGTGCGAGATGCGTTTCGCGGCACCGCGCGTTTTGATTTCCCTTCGAAATGTCAATCCTGCGCGGATACCACATATTTGTCCGGCAATAACGAGCAATCGACAGTTGCCAGGCGATCAGTCGTTGATCCGGTATTACGCGAGAAGCCGCGACATTTGATACACATGCGACGTTATTTATTAGCGCGCGGGCTTGAAGAAATTGCAAGCGGAACACGACAGTATCCTCCTGTTATTTGACGTCTGTCAGCGAGAAATGTTGTTTGATTGCAGCTGCGGCACTGTCGTGAGGGATTATGTCGGCACAAGATGCAGATTCTCTGGACTGCACTGCGGGTCAGGAGGAGATAAACTTGCCTGAGGTAATACTGTGCAACAATTTTATCTAAATTTTTACTTCATCGATATAATGTCAAAAAATAGATTGACATTGTAGTAACAGCGAACGATTAGCTTTATATTTATGAGATTTTTGTTATTGAACATTTGTATTTTGCTGATCTAACGATTATTTTGTTTACTATACTCTTATATTGTGTAAGATCTTGTAGTAACAGCGAACGATTAGCTTTATATTTATGAGATTTTTGTTATTGAATATTTGTATTTTGCTGATCTAATGATCATTTTCTTTATCATACTCTTATATTGTGTAAGATTTTGTTTCAGACCAATCCAGATATTCTGGAGTGTCTCTCAGTCATGGTCAATCAGGATGCTGAGAATAACATTGGCCAACAAGTACAAGAACTTATATTGGATGATCAACTACTTGGCACAATGGTGACCACGATTACATTGTCTGATGGAACTCAAGCTTTTGTTACCAATAATCTCATTGACATTGGTTAGTAGCAACTTGAGTTTATACTCTGAATTTTATTTTAGATAGCATAAAGGAACTATAGAGCAGAGCTGTTCAGATGATTAAATATGAGTTTTACTAATCCTGTGAAGAGCAGTTGTGAGAAGTTTTCTGCCCTTTTCTAGCTATGCCTTTTCCTTCACCAGGTTAGACCTTTTCTTTCACCTAGTTAGGCCTTTTCAAGATTGTTCCTGGTCGTTCTTAAAGAGTGGTGAAGTGTGCAGCACTGTTGTATAATTTGCAAAACATTAGCTCTGCACTATTTTCTGATTTTTAACATCTTTATTTTTAACTTCTCTTACTCTTTAACCTCTTATTGTTTTCTTCTATTTTATCAAGTTATTTATAGAATATAAAGTAAAAGTTATATATTTGTAGATCCAGACTTCAAGACACAAACACTGCAAACAACACTTAGAAATGGAGACACCATACTATTGCGAGGATTGTCGGAACTCGGCGATGGCAAAACTCTTCAATTGGAATTAGATTCATCTGCCCTTGTACAAACTGAAGACATGGCTACCGAAGATGTAGAAAATACATATTCTCAAGTAGAATTTATCAATGGCACAGCTTATATGGTAGCAGGCCATGTGGATGTTGGCGAAAGTGTATGGGAAATCAAAGATGGAAAGTTAAAGAAGAAAGAATCCAAGATTTTAATCAACAAATTATCCGATGCAAAAATTAGATATCCTTGCCCCAGAGATGGATGTTCAAAGGTTTACAGCACGCCTCACCATCTTAAGGTAATTAATTTTTTGAGTTCATTCACAAATAATTCGGAATTGCGTGGATAAATATAAAAGCATTAAATTTCTTGAAACACAGATGCGACTGTTTAAATTATTAATTTAACTTTTTATGTTGCAGGTCCATGAACGTTCACATACCGGTCAGAGGCCGTACAGATGTACACATCCAAAGTGTAAGAAGAGCTTTTCGACAGGATACAGTTTGAAAGCTCACTTGCGAACGCATACCGGTGAGAAACCATATAAGTGTACAACCGAAACGTGTAACAAGAGTTTCAAAACATCGGGCGATCTACTGAAACACGTGAGAACTCACACAGGTGAACGTCCTTTTGTATGTCCGTTCGAGGGTTGCGGCCGATCATTTACTACAAGTAATATCAGAAAGGTATGGATGCACAATATATAGTCAGTATTTGAATTCGAAGTATTCGAGTAATGAAGATCTCATGTTTATCAGGTTCATGTAAGGACACATACTGGTGAACGACCATATAAATGTACACAGCCAACATGCGGCAAAGCGTTCGCCAGCGCGACAAATTACAAAAACCACATACGAATACACTCTGGTGAGAAGCCTTATGTTTGCTCCATAGAAAACTGCGGTAGAAGGTTTACCGAGTACTCTAGTCTGTATAAACATCACCTAGTAAGTATTGTATATTATTTATTGATATTAATTTTTGTTCTCGATTGCAGATATCAATCTTTAGAATTTTTTAATTTTATTTTTATAAAAAAAACTTTTAAAACTTTCCAAGGAACTTAATACATTGTTTTCTAGTGTGAAATCTGCACAAAATATTTTAAAAAGGACTGCAATTCTTTGAAAGTTAGAAATATAATTACGGTACTAATGAAGTATGTTCATGAAAGTATTTTTATTTTTTTAGGTGCATACATCACAACGCCCATTCGAATGCCCACTGTGCTCTAGAAGGTATCGCCAAAGTAGTACTCTATTGATGCACAAAAGAACAGCTCACGCATTGATTGATAGTGATGATAATAACGATGTATCTTTACAAGATTCTCTTGAACCTTCTAGTCAGAATAAAAATAAAAAAAAGAATACCAAAGAGAATGTGAGTATGATGCAGAAAAAACTCGACTTATTTACTCTACAATTACATAGTTGACATAATTGTGCAACTAATTGATTTCAATTAAATTTAGCACAAGCAATTAGGAAAAGACAAACAGAGCCAGGCTTCTAAAATAATTGACGATGCGAATGATAAAGAATCACAAATTTTGTTGGTAGGAGATTCTTCTCAAATTGCTGCATTACAGGTTTGTGCATAAGAATTTTGTGTAGTAGATTTATTTCTAGACATTTGTTTTTTTAGTCTTAATTTTTCGAATTTTAGATAATAAATTTTTGTTATTGTTTTTCTTTTATAAAAATTGGTTTGCATTTGAAATTTTGAATTGAATTACAGAAAATTGATCTGGACGAAAATTTCGACGATCCCAGTATTGATACACCGTTCGAAGGATTAAATATAAAGATTGAGGATATAGAATTTGATTGGAACTAGTGTGCGGCCAAAAGGAAAACGTGACGTTGTAAGTGTAAGATAGTTTTGATCATTAAATGTTAACAATTGTTAACATTCATGGATGTAGTTTTAATATCAGCGCAAAATCAAATAAGCAAATGGAAAATAATAATGTTAAACTATATTTAATTATAAGTCGTAACGTACAATTCTTAAGAACAAACAAAAAAGGCTAAGAGAATCAGAAGTATGGATGTTTGAATGCAAAAGATATAAATTAATACACAAAATACGCAAATACATTTTGCTACACTTTCAAACTCTCTTCAGATTAACAGGGTATAATGAACGGACAATTCTGATTCTTGTAGATTTTTTTGTTCTTTAATTATAAGGACAACGATGAATATGTAAAATTTCGAAAAAGAATATAATCAAGAGATTTTGGCTGCGTTCCGAAATTCACTGCCAGTACTGAAAATCTACAATATACGTAACGTAAACTATAGATTTTCAGTACTGAAAATCTACAATATACGTAACGTAAATTATAGATTTTCAGTACTGGCAGTGAATTTCGGAACACAGCCGTAATAACGTCTTGCGTCACGTATACGCTATATATGTATATATGCTGGCATATATATGTAATTTATATATATATATATTAGAAAAACCATGTTTTCAAAAGTTTTAGAATTCGAATTTTTCGAGACTTTACATATCCAACTATGATAGCTCTAATTTTTGTATCAGTTATTTAGTAAATTTACTAAATAGAAATACACAATAGAAATATAAATTTTTTAACGATGAATGATAATTAATATACTATAAAAGATTATTTCAATATTTATTAATGGAAATAAGGGCTATTGCATACAGGTGACTTTTGTCATGCAACAGTTTCGTCACCAAAAACAATTGCAGGAGATGCGCGCACGTAATGACGTGACTGTCACATCACTACGGCAGCCCTAAGACATCTGACATGATTTTGATTAATTCAATTTCTGATCTAATAGACAGCTGGAAAAAAGATTTTAAAGAAACGTGCGGTATTTGTTTTCATGTATCTAAAGCATTGAAATCTAATCTCAGTGAAAAATTATACCGATTTTCATACTCTGAATATAAGATTCACCGAGAAAAGTGTGCCGAGTAAATAAATATCTACAGATTGTCGATTACGTTTTTGAATTAAAGGCAGTGCCTTACCTGAAAGTGTATGCGCGAAAGAAAATATATATAATATATATATTATATATTACTATATTACATTTTTCATTTATATATCCGTAGTTATTGAGCGCGATATATTTATGTATCTTCCTCGGGAACCTCTTTTTCAGTCAAAATATCGTCAGATGTGCTGAGAGTACGGTTATCTGTATCTTTATACCTATATAGAGTTATTTTTGATGTCACATTTCAAATAAACATAGTTTATTATATTGTATAACTTTATTACATAGATTATTTTATATTCAGATTTATTATACAAATGAGCAACTATCAAAAGAGTACTATATACCATAATTTTATGTGATGATATACCTTGTAACAATAGACGAATACAATATTTATATCACGCATAAATGTTCCGAGAATGTCAAAAAGAAATATATGTATTATGTTTTGTATCATATCTTCTTTTTTCTTCTGAATTAAATTGCTTTCTCTTAAATACCACCACAAAAAAAAAGTGTGTTTATATAAAATTTCAATAAACAGTGTTAATATAGAAATAAAAGCATCCATATTAATTTAAAATAATTTGCGAAAGTTATAAAAATATGTTATTAGAACATACGTTAATCTATATATTGGTTTCTTTACAAACAAATTTAATATTTTTCTCCAATCGAATTCTGGATGGCTAAAAAGATTAATCATGCTGCTATTAGTGTTTAGTTGCCAATTAAACAGATTCATTAACACAGCTAGGCACGAGTCACGAAATGTAACACAAATACATTTCGTGATCGAATGGCCTTGCATTAAAAACGAATTAAAAGACATTGGATTTTTTTGTATCAATTCCAATTTTATTTTTTTATTTAGGTTGTTTTATACTTGAAAGAAAAACTTGGAATTTGTAGAGAATTTTTTTTTGTTCAGAAAAATCGAAGAACTGTGAAAAAAATTTTTTTAAATTTTTTTTCCAAAATTTTGTTCTTATTTTGTGCAATCAAACACGCGTAGATATCCTGCTATATTTTTTCTATCCTTAAAAAGCTTAAGAATCGCTTAAGAACATTAATTAAACATTTCTTTCTAGAGCGAGAAATTCTTTTTTCTTATATTTTTCCATTTATTACACCGCTTAAAAAAATAATTGTTTGATGAACGTTATAGAACTTATTTTCGATCCTCCCACCATCCGCATCTTTCGCATAGTGCTGTGTTCTCGATTACGGATAGTCTCTATTCGACCAAGTACTCGACCGTGCTGATCCGTTAATCTCGTAGATAACGTTTAGGTTTTTTATGAGTACAAGATCGCTCTGTGCTTTCTGTTAAATTAATCTTGCCCGAAAATGATTCAAAGTTTCGCGACTGTGATCACGAATGTTATTACAAAATGCAACTCATTGACTTAATGTGGATATGTGCAATGAGCTTAAATGGTTTGCAAAGGACAGGTGGGCATCTCATTAAGTAAGCTGATAGAGATAAAAGAGCAGTAATATTTTGACATTAACCATTTGTTTTCTTAATTTTTATATTATCAAAATTTAACAGACCATGTGTATGTGTATGTGATATATTCATTTCAAGTTAAATATCGATTGTGCTAATTCTTTTTTATGAAAACTGCACCAGTATTGTCAATTTGGAATAATTTTTATGCTTTATTTATGATTAAAATTAGAACATGTATATTCATTATATACGTTAATTAAGTAAGTATGCTTTAAAATCGAAACCTCCACAGAATGTATAATTTTATTTTATATGGAACAAGTATATAACTATTCACGTTACTGTTTTAATAAAAATTCGGCAACTCAGTGTTATACTTCTTAAATTTACAGTTTATGGCAATATGGTTTTTCGTGCAGATTGCTTTTTGTAAAAGAAAATATTCAAAGTAAAAAATAAGTACAAGCGTTTAAAAATAATTAAATGCAGTAGCTGGCTATTGATTAATGGAAAATTCAAGAAATGTGAAAAAATAATTGATAACATATCGATGTTGGTTTTAGTGTTATCGCTGAAGTAGCGAAACAGAAAAGAAGCTATCAATTCTCAATCAATTACAATCTCGTGTGTAATTCGATTGCTGCTAACGTAACTACGATTACTACTGCGTAACGCTATCTTGTGATATTTACTGTCGCACATTTTTCCATAAATTTTAATGATTTACGTCGGACATGTGTTCATATTAATTAATATACAAAAATAGAATGATTTATATATGGTAGAATACATTGACTTTGTAACATAATATCTGAATTTAAAAAAGTGAACATTATTTTTGGACATTGGACGTTATTAAAGCAATCGTAAAGCTCACATTTAAATATACTTTTAATTGATAATAGCAATGACACAATTTCATGCTTATCTTCATATTTAATCCTTTCTGAAGGTGTAGCTAAAAGAATTAATTTAATTGCACGATAAGTACAAAATACGACGATTAATTTATCTCTCCTCACGACGAGCTGTTTTACATATTAATTGTTAACTAATTACTGCGCGTGCATTAGTATCAGCATATTTCAACCGCAGCCATGACCGAAACGACGTCTACGGTAAATGGAAGATAATAAGAGTTGTTAAGTGGCCGTTAACAGTCATAAAATTATTCGAGTTAAAAACGCCGTCATAAAGCATAGCCTGTACAACTAATCACTTCACTCGCTTACATCGAAGTGTGTCATTTACGCTTCGAAGTTACGGACATCGCGTGAGATTTATAATTATTACTGAAGTACGATGAGACGGTGGTAGAGTTGCGTTATCAAATGTCGTCACCGTGACTGGAAAGCAAAAGTGGATAGTTGTAAAGCTATTGCTTCTGACGTATTCATGCCATCGTAATTGAGAAAATTATAAAATAAAGTATATTAGAAAAAAAATGTACGCAAATCTTTTCTATATACAATTGTGATCATTGAGAAACTATGCGATGAGAATTCGCATTGCGATAAAAAAAATATGCAATTTATAACAAAATGTATTTTTTAATCAAATAAAATGTACACAAAAGTATAACAAACTGGTCATAATTTTGCTTCGGGCGTTCGCCGATTAGGGTGCGATCGCATTTTATAGTGAATCATAAGTATTTTCCGTTCTAGCTAAACGGATAGAAGCAAAATTAGCAGAATATACTTGAGTAAAAAATAATACGATGACTCGAACATCATCTGTGTTGTTTTGCGAATAAAGGAAAATGTCCATGCATGGAATTCACTCGCAAATTTATCTCACCCATTATAAGCGATAATCGACACTAGCGTGATGTATGATCGTTAACATCGCCGAAGGTTTGCCATGTCTGACGCGTTATACTTTCATCGCGAGCAGTTTATGAAGAGGCTTACCGGTTGAATTATCGAACAAAGTAAATAGAGTGAAGAAAGAGAAGGAATTGGATCGTGGGTTTATCTGAAAGAGACCTAAAAATTCAAAATTATAACTTAACTACAGTTTTATACTTTTTTTCATCATTTTTTTCTCCTACTTTTCATAATTTTTACAAAAATATATATTTATATTTCTATAAAGATATTTCTGTTCATTTTTTAATCCTTTTACATGTCAACGAATGACTGTAGATTAATTATATTTTTTATTAACATCTTGAACGCCAAATTTGGGATGGCAAAGGATTTCTTGCGCTGAGAGGGGCAGCTTGGAATTTCTTCGTTGCGAAGGGCTTCTTGACCTCGCGATGGACGCGAATTTTCTCAGATGTGTACAAACGAGCGGTGTCTACATCGGCGTCATTAGCAAATAGAGATCGACGCGTAAGACATTTGCAGTCGAGACGTTTCTCGCGTCATAAATAATATTTATAGATATGCTATAACGTAAGAAGATCAAGATAAATCGAACACATTATAGAGCCGTTCTCGCCTCCGATCGGTCGACAATCGCCGTTTATTTTTTATTGTTGCGCGACAGCGTCTTGTCAATACGTCAAACCTTTATTTGCTTAAAACCGACATATGCGACGTATCATTCGTCTCAGTTTGAAATAGGCACGTTAATTTTGCCGCAATAATTTTAATTAATCAAGATTTAGTTAAATTTTAATTCAACATCATTAAATAAATGCAAACATAAAATAAGCAGCTTTGGATTACGCAGAGAGTCACAATGTTATAACTTAACATAATTTTGGCTAAGAAAAAAACTGACTTTGAATCTCAGAAGCGCGGCACAGGCTCTCTCATATGACTTCATATGATTTGCCGCTAATTCTGAAGTACTTTGTACTGTTCCATGAGCTTATGCGACACGCTTATGCAAATTCGTGTGCGCGATGCACTTAAACCGACACGAGTCACGAGATGCCGAGGAAGTGTAAACTTCAGAGAGACACGCGTGGCGTTGTTTCACGCCGTAAATCATCCTTACGAGTGTAAAAATCGATCGCTATTACGATCAGCGATCGACAGGTCGGCAGGATATATGATGTTCGACGCGATACCAACTAAACGCATTGTGCAACCGGCACTGCCGAAGGAAGGAAGGGTTTCAGTAGCTCGACATCGAAGGTGTGACGTATTCTTTCACTTCGAGTAAACGCTCAGCTTTTACAGATCGCAACTAGAAGCTTAATTGTCGCAAATTTTTATAATCGCTATCATATTTTTTATACTAGCGCACTTAAAAGAGTAAAAAAAAAACCATCATCCATTTATCATCAACTGTGCAGACTCGAAAAAGTTATGCTAAATTTGTTGATTGCAGAATTTTCCGAGTGGCTTCGACGGAACCGCGTCCTTATCGTCGGACAGATGAGTTGCAGCCGCAATGACGACGTAGCGATGTAAATCGACAGGAAGACTTCTGACAGATCGAAAGATATCGGGCCACACAGTGATAACGTCGGCTGTATAAGAGCCCGTCGTAATCAATATAACGACAATCGGAGTTCAAGGAACCATAAAAAGGAGCCGTTCTTCGCGGCAGAGCTTTAGTGTGCTCGTGGCGAGCGACTCGCTCGAGCGGTTGTTAATTTCACCTTTTGGACAAACCGATGTCAAGAATACGCGTTCGCGGCGTGCGCGCCGCTTCGACAAAGGTGTCATGATTACGTGATTGGCGGGAAATCATCGTTCCAATCATTTTCACCGCCGGATCATCCCGCCAGACGTCATCGTTTCGCACCGATAACATCCGAGAATGTCCAAGAAGCAATGGCTAGTTTTGCTGATGTTGTTCTTGATGTACTTATTGTTGGGCGCTTTTATCTTCTATCAAATCGAGAGAGATATCGAACACGAGAAGCTCGAGACGGCTAGGAAAGAACGCAAAGAGATCAACGGTAAGAATGACGATAACAATAATCGGTCGACTAACAGTTGCTAATTTTTTAATATAAATTTAACATTTTATAAAAATTTTATAAAAATTTTATAAAAAAAGTTAGTTAAAATGTAATTTAAAATTTTATAGCAGTTCTACGCTCTCTTTTTTTTGCACACGAGAAAAAATTGCGACTTCTGACTGGGAAGAACTGTGCTTCTAAAAATTTTAAGAAGTTTTTGAAGATGTATAAAAAATAATTTCCCTTTGTTCAGAAAAAGTATATTCTAGATTCGCGAAAATTATATTTTACATGTGTCACGCTCGTCTATATTCGCGATTAAGTATGGTAATAAAACAGAAAAAGCGTTTTGATTTGTAAAATTTGCTTTAATCGACGAGATTCATTAACAAGTCGGCGACACAAGAGGTCAAATGCGAGCGGAGTTGCATATCATTTGCAATGCATATTCGTGTCATTGAACTATCAACATACTCTTTCTTATTGCAATTGCAATATGAAAAAAAACCTTGAGATATGTACTCGCGCGCATTGAATTTATTTGATAAATTACTTCACAAAATATTCCTATTCATTATCTTCGAGCTAGAAGATTTTTAAAAATAAATTGATAATAAAAAAATTAGTTACACATGATTTTCTGTGAAATTGCAATTTTAATAAATGGTAATTTTTCACTTACGATGCGCTTCGAGACTTCGGCGACACTAATGCAAATAATGCCATTGCCGTGCAGAAGACGAGTCCAGCGTGCAAAACATTTGACACTTCCGACATGCGCTTGCTATATAACAAAAATACCTTACGCATCTAGCGTCTTAAAACAGTTGTCATCGATTAAGGCTGCAACGAATGCTTCGGTGTGTTGGTGCAGCCTTAATAGATGACAGCTGTTTCAAGACACTGTATACGTGATTAATTGATCACATGACGATTGTCTGTTGCTTTCTAAATCACAAATTTGCAATATAAATAAAGAGGAAAAATCAAATCGCTTAATTTGGTGCAATTATTTATGAAGCGCATGAAATATCGAAAGCGATAATATTCGATTTTTGGAAGTTTTGAAACATTGGTGTTATTTATCGTCTCTTATATTTTTGATTATTTAAAACTACAAATTTTCAAATAAAATCGCGAGTTTCAGAATCTGCGTACCATTGAGCTTTCAGATTCGCGAGTTTGTAGGTTCTCGATGGTTAAACTTGTCGGATTGTTAAATTAAAAAGTAGCATTTAAAAAGAAAATTATAGAAAAGAAGCTATGAGAATCAAATTAAAGAATTATACATAACATCTAAAAATTTTTAGGTATTATAGAATTTTGAAACCATAAATCATAAAATATTGTTTTATCTTATTCTCCTTTCTATTCTCGAGATTTCTAGGATTGTTGAATTTGAAGAATATAAATAAACTACGCGAATGTAGGTTTTCCGTAACGACAACCTCGCAAATAACCGGAATGCAACCGCGGCTGATCGATGTCATTGAGTTTTGTATGCCTGATCGTCCCCGGCACTATTGTTGCTGCAAGAAAGGGCGTCATTCAGATAGCAATGTGGTTACAATGTCGCACACCCAAGAGCCAGCCTTAATTGACGGCCAGTGTCATTGTCACTAGAAAGGTCAATCGATTACGAAATCCTCAACTTGTCAACCACTCCCGTCAAAACCGTCACATTCCGGTTAAAAGCGACGATATCCGTTTCGTAATGTCTGCATTAATCCTTAAGTCGGCGTGTTTGTTAAAATTGTATTTAATTTAACAACAATTTAATTAAAAAAAAGGATAGAGACGAGCATGTATAAAAATTATTATTCGCCGACTTTGCGTGACCGACGAAGATAGGCTTTCACACATTTTATGCGCATGTATCTTGACGAGATTCGTTCGCATTCCGGTTGCACTTGTGTGCGCGGAAGGTCCAGGCGAGGTTTGTATAAACGTAACGCAATATAAAACGACAAATATCACCTGATAAGATAGTGCGTGCAGCAATTGTCTTGCAAAGCGATTCCGTTCGGAAAGAGTAGGATTATCTCGCGAAAGAAAGAGATCATCTTTCGGCGGATAAGCGAGAAATCAATTTGTAAGATGATCCGAGTCAACGCTTGAAATATGTAACGATCTTTTATAGATTTACTCGAGAAGCACTATGTGCCCAGTGACAACTACACTGAGATCCTGAATAAGCTCAGCGAATACTGCGGTAAGTCGGTCCACAAACCGGGGAACGAAACCGAGCACAACCAATGGACCTTCTACAACAGCTTTTACTTCGCCTATACGGTCGTCAGCACTATCGGTAGGCATCGATCCTTGTCGATTTGAAGCTGCGATTCAAATTGCGATATAGAATTTATTTAATTATAACTTCCATGTCCACATTTATTGACTTAGAGTTACTAAAAATTTAATTTTTATCTAAAGTGGATAAACTTGTATCACTCTTTCGATCGAATCGCGAGCGATATTTATCTGAATGAATCGTTCGATTGCTCATCTCGCTTGCTCCAGGATTTCTTTTCGTTGGATATTGCTTGTAAATCTTTCGTCGCCACCATTAATAATCGCCGATTTATCATTTTATTGTGCAGGATACGGCAATCTGGCGCCGACAAACACGCTTAGTCGCATCTTAATGATCTTCTATGGTCTAGTGGGCATCCCGATGAATGGGATTTTGCTGACACAACTCGGTGAGTTCTTCAGTCATGCGTTCATCAAGGCCCATCAGAAATATAAGTCCTATAAGCACGGTCAATCGTCGTCCGATTATTGCGACAAGAAGCCCTCGCCGTTCGAGACGTGCAAGGTCTGGCTGCGTCTGGCTGCGCAGATCTTCATGTACCTGACGCCCGGCTTCGTCATGTTCATCTTCTTCCCTGCGTTCCTGTTCATGCATTACGAGGGCTGGACTTACGACGAGTCAGTCTATTACGCTTTCGTCACGCTCACGACCATCGGTTTTGGTGATCTCGTGGCGGGTAAATATTTCCATCTATCTTATCGATTCGTCAGACGTGCGCGGAGAATGTGATTAATTTGTATTTTTTTATCGATAACAACTGAGAATTGTTTTGCGGTGCAAGTCGCGGAATCACGCGCTCTTGGCCACTTCTTAGGATCGCGGCGCTCACTTTTGTCTTTTGTGTAATAATATATTTTTTTAAATATATTGTTTCTCTCTTTCTCTCTTTAGTTTGTTCACGTCACTCATTAAGTGTTTAAAATATTACACGAACGTATGAAAGAATATATATATTTACAATATTTATAAAAACTTGCAAGATTAGAAGAAATCTTAATTAAATAATTAAAAACAAGTTAAAAACAATTATAATTTATGCTTGTGCGGAATAAAGATTTTAAAAAAGAAAGAAAATGAATACAAATTTTTACATCTGAAACATTTATTCTTAATGACAGGTAATATAAGATTTGGAACAATATCGATTTAATTTGTTTTATAAATTATCAATACGCCGCATTATTTGAGAATATAACATTCAATAAATTTCGTCAGCTTTCTTGTGATTGATAGTCAGATATGATGTATATTTATACTCTTATCACATGAATCAATTGCTATGAATTTATTTCCGTTCCATCCAACTAAAAGATAAATGTTTTCATCGTTACATGCTCACGTGGGAAGCAGATTTTATCAGATTTTAACACGTAAGTAGAGTGTTCTCCATATGCTTGCTATAAATTAAGAAACGATTTGCATACAGTAATCAAATACAACAAATATACGATCAGAAACGAGGTGTGAAATATGAGAAATCAAAAAATGAATTATAATACTCGTATGAATGTATAATTTGCGACTCGCACAGATCAGGGAATTATTTAAAGTTATTATTGCAAGCAAATATCTTCGTGAATAATTTGTTAAATTGAACAAACAAGAATTAATAAAAACAAAAATGCAACTTTTGCAGTAGAGATTTTTAATATTTTCAACTTGCCGATTAAAATTTCGCAGGTCAGGATTCGAACGGGAACGGCCCGTTTTTCATCATGTATCAGATATTCCTGATCTTTTGGATCTCCTTCGGACTGGGCTACATCGTCATGATAATGACGTTCATTGCTCGTGGTATGCGCAGCAAAAAGATCATAAGGCTCGAACACAAACTGGCGATGAATCTCAAACACACGCAGAGCAAGATTTGGAACGAGTTCAACAAAGAGGTCGACTACCTGCGTCGCGTTTTCAACGAGTTGCAGCTCTCTAAAGTTAAAGTAAGCGACCTTATTGCTGCAACTGCGCAACATTGCGGTTTATTACGAAAACGTTTTCGTTTATATATTTCTACAAAAGATTTTTTTTCCATTCGATTTTATTTTCGACAATTGATAGAACGTTAATGTGCATTATTTTGCGTCGATATCCCAGATTTCGTTACCAATAAAATACACACCGGTGTATTCATTTATTAGAGAGTATACGTTGACGAGTACGATTATGATGTACCGCCGGCGAAACTGCCGCGCAGCAACAGTTTCCCGGACCTCCGAGATTTGGCGATCGGTGGATTTGTGGACGATTTCACGCCGCATCCGCGACGACGAGCTAACAGTGAAGTGGTGCCGATGGTATGCAAAAATTTTCTACATAATCTACATCTTTTCGTTCGTGACAGATTTTCATATCTCAGACGTAATATTATAAACTCCTCCCAAATATTGTAGAATAAAAAAACATCATTTTCTTATTGTATAAATGTTGTCAATTTTGGAACCAAATTTCTCTTATTTGAACTCAGCGCACAAAAGGCTGCGGAATACTACTGTTATCGATATCTTTTTATATTTATGATATTATAAACCTGAATTTATTTTCGCACAGTTTGAACTGACACGTGTGGTGTCCGAGACGGATCTTCAAAGGATAGACAAAAATGCAACGTTCGCTGCGCACGCCATGGTGCAACCGGCGGAGCTCCTGGCACGCTTGGTGAATATTCTCGGTTACATCCCACCGCGGGATGACTGGGACCAGAACGAGGATCAGTCGAAGCAAGCTGACATTCAAAGCGACACGCAGAGCAAATCGATAGACTCGGGCCTGAACAATAGCGAGTCCAATTGGAAAATCGGCAGTGAGAGGTTCCTGTTCGCCAAGCCTCGATCCAGGGCAGCCAGCGAGACGGGTTACACGACGAGGAACAACTCCGTCAATCAGAACACCGAATGGACGTGGTCCGGCCCGGTGACTTCGCACACCAAGGAGATGATGACGAACGACACGGTTTCGTCCTCGAAGGAGAACAGCGGTAAGCCGTACAGGAAGTTCCCGTCGCTCGCTCTGCCGATCACCGCGCCCAAGAACTTCTTCCCCAAATGGCGAAAGCAGTTCACGAGCAAGAGGACGTCGGACGTCGGTTCCGAGAAAACGGTCGAGATGACGAACGGCAGCGAGAGAAGCTATCAGCGGGCCAATTCGATCAGTCCGATCGATCCACCGCCCGCGTACCTGGACGAAACGAAGGACGACTCGAGGGCGTACTACACGCACACAGGCGGCAATTTGTCGAGCTATCTGGAGGGTAACAATCTGCTGGAGGAAACGAGCCTGGCGGACTTCCTTCGAGCGCTGACCGCGCTTCACACGCGGGTAGGAACCGTCCCGGACGAATACGTCGCGAAACCGAAGCGTAAAATGGGAACGGCCTGTCTGACTCCGCCGAAGCTGCCCAGTCTCTTCACCCTCTTCTCGCAGAACGCGACCGGTTCGGAGTCGGCGGCTCAGAGCCTGCAGAACACTGTTTCGGATCAGTCGCAGTCGTATCAATCGAGCAGAAGAATGTCTCTTAGAGCGGCTGACAATAATTATTCCGGCACCACCACCCCTACGTCGTATATCAGGAGGGAGAGTGTCGCTGTAAAGCCCAGACGATTCTCTCTCAGACCGGTCGTAAGCACAATGAATCCTCTCGCACCGCCTAATTACGGATCACCGCGACTATCGGTAAGCCTATACTGCGAACAATTAAATTTCAATATAGAATGTCCGATCGATCGATTATTTATCATGTTTTCGAAATGTGCTTACTTGTGAAAATTTTGTCGCAAAAGTATATATTGACGTCACAAGACGCGAATGCTTTTTAGCTGCGAGTCTCCCGGAGGACGGACGATCGAAACCGCCAGGAGCCTTACGTCTCGATGGAGCCCTACATTTCCACGTCGCCGAAGGAACCGCTTGTGAACATGGAGGGACCACCGGGAATATCGTCGCCGATCAAGCAGTCAACCGGCGGTCGACGTTTTTCCATAAGACCCGTTCAACTTAGCGGTCAATCGAGTCCGGCTAGCACCAAGTCCACGCCGACGCCGTTGCACACGCCGAAGCCACTGCCGAAGTGGAAGGCGGGGATGCTGCAGCGGCAGATCAGTCAAATGCATTTGCGTCGTCGCGCCCGGGCGTTCAGCCTCGGCGACGTTCATTCCGACAGGCGCGAAAAGAGCACCGCCGCTCCTCTCAGTCCCCTCGCCATGGACAACTCCAAGAAATCCGTCGACGTCGGTAGAACGAGCGGCTCAAACCAGAAAACGGTGACCATCATGTCGCCGAAAGAGGAGAGGAGGATGACTCAGGACAAGCATCAGGAGCATTCCGCGATGGGAGACGCAGCTTCAAATACTCACAAACCATCGTCTTCCGCATTCGAACAGAAATTGATAGACTTCAACGACGCGTTGAGTAAGATAGTTCAAAGCGGAATGCAGGAGACGAATGTGGACGTGAAGGAACATCCGCTTAAAACGGAGAAGCGCGACACACATGTATGCGTGATTGACAATTTGTACGAGGCGCAAACGGCAAAGCCTTCTTCTTCAACGAGCAGCGGCAGTTCCTTTGAATCGGAAAAAGAGAAGCCCAGTGTGCCGATAGACTTTTACAAGCCGCAGCTGCAAGTGACAATTGAGAAGCCGGCGATCAATCCTTTCGAGCAATACAGAGCTATGACGAGATCTAATCGAAAAGACGACGTAGACTTGGAGGAAGTAAGAGTTGACAAGCTTCGCGAGAAGAAAGATTAATGCTCAGACTGCTCAGTGCAAAACACTCGAAAATTAGAGAAAAGTAATTTGGATCTAATTTTTGGCGATTTACATGGTATCATTACTTTTCTAGCACGCGAAATTTTGCATTTTTTCGACATTGAATTCAAATCTGCGGTTAAAACTTCGGAATTCTGAATTTTCAGCACACGCGGTAGAAATTCGAGCGATAGACTTTTTATGAAATCTTTTCAATTTAAAAAATTTTTATTTAAAAAATGAAGATATAAGTAATTTAATAAGAATAAAAAGTATAGAAAACCTAAAATAAAAGATATAACAATATATTAAAAGAAAAATAGTTGTTAAGGCTTAAAATTTTCATGTGAATTATGTAAATTCAAAATTCAACTTCAATTAATTTCAATTAAAATTTCAAAATGAACTGTAGTTTAGCAATAAGCAACATCGATCAGCATTGTGAAAAGTTAATTTTACCGATATTTATAGATATCTAATTTTCCAGACTAGTCAGCTTTACAATATTTTCTCAATAAATATTTAGTTTATAAAATAGTAGATAGTATTAGCAAAAACAATTATTAAATTATTAATAAATTAGCAAAGATATTAAATGTAATTGATTTCTGGTTCCTCGCTATAATTATACTTATGACATTCGAGGTGAATCGTGTCGAATTCAAACTATAAATCGAAACAAATTAGTTTTTTTTTCACGTATCACATATTTGCTTGATAATATTGTACAATTGATAAGATATACCGAAGACTTTCTTTTACTTTCGTAGATAATTGTAATCTTGATAAACGTCACAAGTCTCATTTTTGCTAGAAATATAGGATACATATATATTGAATTACATATAAAGTTATTTATTCAGTGACGAAAAAAAAGAAATTTTTACTATTTTAATAATCTATACTATTAAACATGAGTGGGATAGCGTATGAAAAAATTAATTTATTTCGACATATATTACAAAAAAAGTCACATAATTTCTCATTTTTGCTATCATTTAATATGATTACAGCGAGAAAACAGATAAGATACGTAAATTATTAAGTTTTAACTCATTGTCAGTAAGATATCGAAGACTCTGTGATATAATGCATACTGTGAGAACATGATGAAATAAATATATTATTCATTTAATAAATTAAAAATAAATTATTTAGAGAAAATAAATATTAAATAGATTGTTAAAGAAAAACTTCATATGAATAAATAATTCTAAAAAAAAAACTAAAGAATCTCCGCTGATCTAAAATTCGCTAAATCGAGATCCGCTAATTCGTGGATTTACTATCTTCTTTCAAATAAGTAAAGTACATAATTCGCGAGTATCTCGTATCGCAGTTCAAATATTGTCAGCTGCGATCTTATGACCAGCATTTATCCACTTAAACCGCGACCGTAAAAAAAACGAAGACGCGTTTCACGAAATGATGTAATATTTTATTGACAAGTTCTTGTAAAATAAATTACAAAGATGTACTTGATTTTTTGGATGATAGAGCTCATATTACACATATTATGATTATCAATCACAAAACTCGGAAAAACTAAACAAAAAACAAACTTAACTAAATGATCATTTGTTTGTCGGAACAACAAATGCAGAGTGGACACAATCAATGCATTTTCTTTTTTTTTTAGAAATTTCCAATCAACTTCTGTAGATGACGAGAAGCTTGTCGTTTTACGAAAACAATACAAATAAATTCGTGCAAAATATAATAAATAAATGTTTTCTAACGTGCGGATTAAAATCAAACTAAATTCGACATAAATATCTTATTGCACTAATGTAGATTTCCTTGCAACTGCAAGAAATGTATATGCAATAAAGACATTACGATTAAATTTGGAAAAACTCGAAAGAACTATAATCATTCCACAATAAATGCAGAGCGTGGTCACTTTCTCGTACATTCATTTCATAATTATATCTATGAATGACGAAAAGCTTGTTGCTTGGTAACAGAAATAACACAAATTCGCGCAAAACCAAAAATTACAGATTCTCGAATCTTACACATTTTCGGGATTGAAAAGGAAAAAATTTTTTAGAAAAACGTGGATTATTGTCATTAAAAATCGGAAAAGCACTCAATATTACGGTAGGAATGTAGTTGGTGCAAATCTGTGTGCAGGAAAATATACAAAATTGGGTTGTGTATTACTCGAGTATGTAATAAATAAAAATGCGCGAGTTACAATGAAACTAAATGCGATATAAATATTTTTTTTCTTATACCGATGTTGATTTCCTCGCAATAGCGAGAAGTGATGATATACAAAAAGGCCGTTACGTGTCGTTAATGTGCTACGATAAGATTTCTAGCCGTTTTCGTATTTCATTAACAAGATTGCTACGCTTCACACGAGTTTCTTCTCGAGTCGAGACAACTCTCAGTGTGACTTCGCCCTTCGCCAGTTCGTTTTCCCCAATAATTATCGCTAAAGGAATACCGTCTTCTTCGCAGTGTTGCAACTGCATCAGGAGCTTCGCGTTTTTCTTGTAGGATTGCTCCGCCTTCAATCCACTTTCCCACAAGTCCACCAGTATTCTCATTCTCTCCTCGTGCAAATTCTTCTGCGCACTCGCGACAAACACTTCAATCTCGGTGGTGCGTATCTTTATCTTCTCTTTCGCCAATTTTGCTTCCAGAACGCTGAATATCCGTTCCACGCCCAACGACACGCCGACGCAAGGTACGTTTTTGTTCTTGTTGTCGAACATTCCTACCAAATTGTCATAACGGCCGCCACCCGCTACGCTACCGACGCCGACATCGTCTCCTGCAAAGATCACGGAATACTAATCAGTATTACTTCAGAATTACTTCGTGACAGATAGTCGTAAATTTTTCTGTTTTCTCACTGCAGTCATATTAAATTCACACGAATCATAATTCAATGATTGCAGGAGAAATCAAGAAAATGTAGGAAGAAAAAAATTGCATACCGCACAATATAGCTTCATAAATGACACCCGTATAATAATCGAGTCCTCTGGCGAGACTTAGGTCGAACTTAATTTTGTCCAGAATTTTGTAAATGTTACAATACTTCAGCAACAATTCCATGGAATCTAAGCCTTGCACGGCAGCGGATTGTTTCATCAATTCTTTATCTTTTCTCAATTCAGCTATCAGTTCGATCCCACCAGATTGAGAGACGTATCTGCCGATTTTATCGGCGACATGCTCATCCAATCCCTTTTCGTCCGTCATTTCCTTCTTCACTTCCTGCCAGGGGCTCTTATCCAGCTTATCCACGGCGGAGCAGATACTGCGGAATTTGCTCTGCGGCACGCCGCACGCGGCAAATATGCCATCCAGCAAAGATCTATGATTCAACTTAATTAAGTACGGCCCTAGATCCAGGACCTGCAGCGCTTCAGATACGACTCGAATGCATTCCACATCCGGTATCATCGGATCGTATTGACCGGCGATATCAAAATCCTTGAAAAAATAGTGATTAAAATATCAATTTTCAGTACGCAAATGTATTCTCAAGATGTAATTCAATAATATGCACATTGTTTTTACTTACACACTGATAAAATTCCCTGTATCTGCCTTTTGTCGTGGCCGGGTTATCTCTTCGATAGACTTTCGCAATGTGATACCTTTTGATATTGGTCATCTTATTCATAGCTAGATACCTCGCAAAAGGAACTGTCAAATCATATCTAAGTGCGAGGATCTCACCGCCTTGATCCTTCAAGTCGTAGATAAGCTTAGAGTCTTCGCCGTATTTACCCATCAAAACATCCTACGTAACAAAATCAGTGTAGCGATTTTCAGTATTTTAATACTAAATATTAAATGACCATTGTTTTTGACGGCAATTATTACCTTTAACTCAAATACAGGCGTGTCTATGGTTTCCGCGCCATGACGCTTAAATACTGAAATTACTTTTTCCAACACTCCCAATCGCAGCGCCATTTGCTCTGGATTGTAATCCCTTGTGCCTTTGGGCGTTTTGAGAATGAGCTTGTGAGAGCAGCCATTTTCCTCCCCCAATTGCGTTTTCAGATCCAACAATTTGCAGACTTCCTCCGCTATCTACAAACAGGCAAACAGATATAATCGTTAGAAAAACGGAATGTGACATTATTTCTTATTAGTTATCCAGGGTACGATAGTCGAAAACGTCGGACCCACCTGTGGCGTTGTGGACATTGATACGTTGCGATTGCATTTCCACAGGACGGTAAAAGAATTGTGGCATATCAGGCGTAACATCATGAATGGATGAAGGAATTGCAAGACAACCAGAATGAAAGAGAAAAGCCCCCTCAATGTTGAGATTTATCAAACTAGTCCAAACAGCAGAGGTAATATCAGTGAGCAAGCTAGCAAGGAACCACCATTAATTATTGCCAGGTCTACAATTAACAAACACATTTCTTTAATTAATTTTTTTAGAATAAAACATTTGTTACACCAATTGTGCCAAGTTTGGCAATTTGTGAAACAATCATCTCATGTGATCTAGTCAGAAAAATCTAGAGAATCTTCTATACTTCCGTGATAGTAATCTTGCAATAATTTATGACAGCTCTGCTTGCAAGCAACCGACTGCCTCACCTTTTTATCTAGCAGTTTTGCTAATATAGCACATTTGCTAAGATAGCGAGTACTTTTTAATCGCTCAGTCTTTTCTGCCAGAGAAGTAAGCGATGCTTCCACAGGAAACGCTAGACGCTCTTCTTGGGTAAAGCTTTTCATGTTAATGTACCATCTGGTTAGATGCGGCCACCTTGGGAACTCGATGACATTACCGATGACGATACACAGCGTGTCGTACAGCTCAGTATCTTTGGATGTTGGGCACCAACCACACACGTAGCTCACATCCGCAAAATCACTGTTTAAGCTTTCTAATTGAAGGTTTAGATCGCGAAACTGCTCTTCGCGTTCCTGAGAAACGAGATGTCTCTCTAAAGTTAAGTCTAACATATTGACAACAAATTTATTCTTTACACCTAATAATGCAAGAAAAAAAAAGAAAGATTGCTATCACGTTGTAAGAAGTTGCATCTTGTTCACTGTTATTAATACATTGGCTATGTAATACTAGCCAAGTCAGTAAAATTTTTTAAATGTATTTATTTTATATTTTATCTTAACATCAAATAAATGAATTTGCAAAAAATTACAATATTACAAACATAAGTTTTGATATTTTTATTGGAGAAAATAAGTATGAACAAAATATGTCAGAAACGTAATGCCTGTTTTTATGTGCTTTAGAATTTTATATCATATTAATATGATGGAACTTTAGAATGCACGTTCTTTTTACAATGCATTGGAAATCTATCCATATGATATAAGATTCTAAGGCATAGAAGTGAATAGAATGTACATTTTAGCATTCTATACCATTTCTTTGTTTAAAATATAAGATTTCAATGCATCGCAGTACAAAAAATGTGCTTGCTACACTATAAAATTTGATTGTATATTAGTATTTTAGTATTTTAGAATTCACATTTTCTTTACTGTGACGCATTAAAAAAATCTCATATTTCTGCACATAATCTAATCTTATATTAAAAAAAAAATTAGTGTAGCACTCGCAATGTTATGTTCTAGTTAATTTAAATGCTATCAAATAATTAGTAGAAATCTGTAGAAACCAATGTCCAGATGAAGTTAAATTAAACAAATGTTATTTGAAATTAACTTTCTTTATATTTTGTCGGTAGAAATGAGACCAAGTGCAAAGTGAAAAAGGTTACAGGCAAAAACCGAAAGACTTTCGAGTGCGGTAGCGTTAAATAAAATTTCATTGTTATTTACGTAGAGAAGTGAAAGGAATATAATTGGTGACAATCAAGCGCGAAGTCGACCCCGACAACAAAGAAGAGAAAGGAGGTTGTATTATCGCGAAATGTTAACGTGTCGAAATTTTCGTGATCAAGAAGAGAAAAAAAAAGCTGTGTACCTGCGTTTTTTCAGCCTTCGTAGCTTTTAATCGCGTACTATCTCGCCCTGTTGCTTCACGCGATTTAGCAATGTTTCCCTCGATGTTTCATCAGCCATCGCTTGTACCATGTGGTTTACGGCCTTACGAGATCCAAATCCGCGTGCACTCCTTCTGACGATGCATCACTTTATAACCTGTTAAAACCGAGCAAGCCAACCAGCCAACTGCGCGACGTTTCGTCACGATGTTACACGGTAGCGCCACAGAACATGCCATAACACTTGGAAGTTGCTCGATACTGCCATCTAAACTTCTCTTTCACTCGCTCTTTTCATTTCCGCTCGCCGCTGTTTCTATTTGAATAGAAGTAAAACGTGGAATTGTGTTTTACTTCTATTTCGGTTACAATACAGAGATAAAAGCGCATAATATCTACGATATTCCTATTCCGGAGAAGTGTACAAAACTTTGTTACAAAGTGATTTATTGGAAAAATGGTTAAAATAAACATTTCTTTGAACGAAAATGTGTACTTTTATTTTTTATCAATTTTTGAAATTTTTCACGTACATCAAGCAACATTTTTTTATATATCTCATAGTTTGAACGGTATTCCCCCTCAAAATTAAATATACCATGTCAGCTTGTAGGGGTTGCGTCAATCTCTAATATGATTAAGCACATATAAAATAAATAAGTATGTGTCTCTTATTTCTACTTGACAACGTATTCAAAGTCCGTCAGAATCGGTGGGGAACACTTCCGTCCATTTCCTTGCGAGCACTTCTGAATACTGAGCGAGGCATATAGTAATTTATGAATGTATTGAATAACAATTATCTTATCCACTCTTATGTCAGTTATCCATTCTTGGAAATTTCGAACTTCAGAGAACTATATGCTATATAGAAATAATAGAAAGTAGTAATTTTAATCTTATTATTTTTTCTGATTGACATGTGTTTCTCTTTCGAAGAGAAGAAAATGATCCGTTACAGAAGTTTTTCGGTTTTATTGTTCAAGAAGATAAATACCACTTCTGTCTATAAGATCCACAATTATTGAGCGACGTGACATGTGCAGAATAGTTGTACAAGAATTTGCGTACATGCAGCAGATTTATTATGAGAGGGAGTTTTATCATGAATTTGTTTCTTTCACATCAAAGAATGAAGAACTAGTCGTATAACGATTTGGAGTTAGTCGACTTCGCAGTGACGCGTTGCGTTTTTTTTTTTAACTATGGAAGATACTTGGAATCATTATTACAATATCCTTTTTAAAATATCATCAATCACTGGTGCGTGGCCGTATCTGAAACTAAGAACAAAAATATTTCGTGTTACACTGCGAACCACGATCACATTGACCATATTAATTCCGCAGGTAAATTAATATAATCACTGAAAGAAATTTATTGCAGAAATTGCAAACTCAATAATACTTTCAGTTGGCGTATCAATTTAAGTGCAAGAAAGACATGCAGTGTACTTTTAAGGCAATGACAGCGTATCTGCTGTCATTTATAGCTATGTTGAAAGTGTACACGATTCAGTCAAACACCCGCACAGTATGTTTTATAATATACATGTTGCAAATGAATATTACAATACATTCAAGTGTAAAAATTGTAATTTGAGTTAAGAAAATTGTTTTTTTTTTTAAATGTCTTGACTGGAGTATCTCGGCTTAGAAGACTTACAGATGTACTCTCGTAAGTCAGCATAAAAACAAGCCTTGCGAGTTGAACGGTTTTCTTTGAAACGGTTTACTGAAAACAGATCAGCGACCAGATCTATCTTACGCTACTTACCAGCCAATCATTCGTTGATTCTCCTTTCGAAATAAAGTTAATTTGTTTCTTGGTTTCTCTGACACTTCAGCGTCTTCTTAAATTGCTGTAAACTCTTTCGATAATCTAAATGGTTTAAAATAGCAGTAGGCAATTCGGCCCGCTTATTAGATACAGTTTTTATCACCCATTTATTCGAAATTGCGTAAAAGAAAAGAATCGTGGATTCCCGTCAGGACATAACAAGACATTTCTTTAACTTTTTAAATAATTTTTTTTATATTCTTATTGCTATTACTATTTTATATTAAATTATAAGAAAAGATTTGTTATTAATGTCTTATCAGATTAAAAATTTCATCCAACACTTACTTGGCTACTGGAAAGAATTACAAACTTCCGAAGAGTACGAAATTATGAAGTCGTATGCCGAAAATAGTAGACGATTCTCTTTAGTATATACGAGTGAGGACTGATAAAGGATAATATGCTCTATATTTTTATTAGATTTTTTTTTCATTAATGGTTTTGTTCTTTGCAGTATATTGTTTCATAGCAGTGATTGTGTTCGTGTTAATGTCTCTTATACCATATGCACTTGATATCGTATTGCCTCTCAACGAATCCCGTCCTTTCTTACCGCCATATCAAGGATATTATTATTTTGTGGACATGCAAGACTATTTCTTCGAAACTATTTCGCATGGTATCGTGGCTTGGACAGTAACCGTGGCCGGATTAGTTGTCCACGATTGTATGTTCGTGACTTTTGTTGAGCACGTTTGTAGTATGTTCGCCGTAGTTGGGTAAGGAAATAATTACAAAATTGTTAGCAACACTACAATCTTTATAATTTGTATATAAAATTTAGCAGAATCAATGTTGTACGAATTTTACAGATTTCGTTATGAACAATTACTTTTCAATCGTAACGAAGAAATGAAAGATGTGAATAATTCAAGCGAAATATCTCACAAAAAAATTGCATTTTTTGTGCACACACATCGAGAAGCTTTAAAGTGAGTACACGATTAAATAATGATAAATATATTTCAAAAAGGCTTGATTGCAAAAGTTTATTAGATGGAATATAAGTGGAATTAATTATGCGCATTTTTGTAAAAACAGTTTAGGTGCAAAACATAAACAGTTTACGAATTATTTAGCAACTGACAAGCTATTCACAAATTGTTAGCAAGTTGTATACGGACAATGTTCGTTATTGTGTAATTAGCATATTACAGTGTGTTTGGTTAGAATGTAACGTATTTATATGTATAAAAATAACAAGAAATATCTGAAAACAATTATATTCACAATTTGTGGTAAGTATTGCGCGCGACGACTTTTCCGTCTGGTTAGTCGCACCCAAACCGGTAGGCGTGCCAAACTTCGTTACTCGTTCATTTTAATATTAATCCCGACGATACATATGTAAGCACATAATTGGGCGCCAGGCGCGGATTGACGCGCCGCACAAATCAACAAGTAAAAGCAAAAATCTCGTCAATATGGAGTCGAGTCGTAACGGCTTGGATAAGCGCACACCAAATGGCAGAGGGGCGGAGTTCTTAGAGATTTCCTCAAAAGGATTTGGAAAGAGGAGTTCAGAAATAAGGCTGTAAAAGAAAACACAGATTAGGTAACAAATAACAAGTATATATAAATAACCATGAGAGTAATAATCAGGTGACACGAGGTGTTCTGTGCCACTAAAGAAAAGGATCCGCTGGGCGGAGATACAGTTCGTACCGGTGAGAGGTCTTACAACTTCGGATGTTCGGTTCGCGGCATTCGCGCAATTTGGTCTCACTCGGTGTACAACGTTGAATTTAGTCTGGCGGTAATCATTTAGTACGGCCGTTACGACTCGTTCTATTTCATGCTTTCAATCTTGGATAACGCACACATTATTTCTCTTGGTATAGCTCCGAACGGTTCTCAATTAACGTCCTCGACAGAAGGTCGAGGGGAGCTCTCAAATAAGGCGACGAGAGAGACACGCCAGGTTAATTTCCATAATATTCTCATACGCGATACTCATAAACACGGATTGACGCGAAATTATGACATAGATTCACAATAAGAAACGCGAAACAACGACTGTCGACTCGGCAGCCCCGAGGGGGAAAAGCGTGGTGAAATCTTAGTCTAATTAGCGGCAGTCAGCGGGGCCCGGCCTAAATCTAACCTGACACGGTACCGGGAGAAATCTCAGTATATACGGTACCCCTCAAGTACATTATGCAGGATATTATTTCCGCGAAGCTCGGGCCGCCTATTGATACCGCTCTTACCGCGAAGTCGAAATGGTGGCCTTACAAAATTGTCGGTACGCCCGTTGTGATCCTCGAGGTTCCGCTCAGGTTGCCGACTCGCCGAACAATGACGACAGTGAGGCTCGCCGGACAGCGGTGACATTCCGCGCATCGTCCTGCGCATGGTGTAAAGAATATAAGGTGAATGGCTGGTTTATGCTTCGGTCTTAATCTTAATCTTAGGGCGGTATTCATAGTCCGTTCTTATATTTAAAATCGTCTTAAGCACGGACTTATATTCGCTCTCTTCGTCACACATAGATTGTGTCTGACGAAGAGAGTGAATATAAGTTCGTGCTTAAGACGATCTTGAATATAAGAACGGACTATGAAT